TGTTTAGGATTTGATTGACAGCTCTATTTTTGCACCTTCCATATTTGGGCGTGAAATTGATGGCCTGTGTTAAAAATCCAAGGTCAGGCTGATCTGGTCACTCTTTAAGACAATTTAAAAACAGATTTTTTACTGAAATAGATCAATTCTGTCTTTATATTTCTCAGTTAAAACATACTTGTAGAAGAAATCACCTTTCAAATCATTCTTGGTTATCTTTTAGCAGTTCATTAAGAGGTTTTAGTTAAAAATTATTTTTATTTGAAAGAGATTTTTGCAGTGTTTTGTAGGACTCTTTTGTCAAATAAATAAAGAAAAAGTTAGTAATAATTATGTGGTTTTACAATTCACTGTTTATTTAAAGAAATATGACTTTTTTACGTCAAAATCAGCAATTTCTTGAAAACTGGGTGAACTTGAGAAAGGACGATGGCAGGTCAAATAGGCATTATAAATATATTATGTAAAATGAATGTGGATATGACATATGACTAAAAGCAGTTTTAATTTGTATGGCCAATGTTGATGAATGGATAGATGGATGGATGCCTAGTCAATGCCATATGCTCATTGTCAATATCACCTTGTCCATTATCAACACCAAAGTTTGGCAATGGATAAAACTTTATGAGAATCTAGTGCAGAGAATTACCTTCATTTCTTGCAATGAATTACATCATTATTAGATTTAAGCATTCCCTACATATTGTTCAATATATGTCGGCATCAAATTTTTACTGTTTTCGAGATATTTGACGTCAAAAAACAGTAAAAATAAGTTATTTTTTAACTTGGTTCAATTTGACCAAATTCATTTTGAAAATCATCTACAAGTTGCCAGGAGTTCAAATCTGACATTAGTTTTAGGATTTGACCTTTAGTTGACCTTCAGTGACCTTCGAAAGGTCAAAAAAGTTGATTTTTCAAATTGATTTTTGGATGTAAATTTTGGTCAGCTTAATCACAAAAGACCTTACTGAGCTCTGACTAAGTAAAATTTTCAAGGTCAAAGGTCATCAAACTAGGTCACACAACTGTGCTATCTAAGTTTCTCAAAGTTCGAGACTACAAATCCAAATCAATATTTTTGTTTGAAAGTCAGGATATACATTCCTCTGAAGGTTCCAAACTGTGTTAGCACAGGACCGTGGGTCCTTTATTGTACCTGTTATGGCTTTTTTCCTCAAGAAAGACTCAAGGGAAATAAATAACAATTGTGAATAAACAACATATCCACTGGGGAGTATCGTGATGCAACAACACCGTGTTGTTGCATCAAGATGGCCAGACTTCCGGTGATAGATTTTCGTACGATATTTTGTTTCCCCAATTAAACCCATTTCTAGGACGAGTTGCTCAATAACCATACACGTACAGTTAGCGCACGATCTATATTTAAAGAAACTGTCATTAGTATACATATACCATCACCAAGAAGCAATAAGTTCACGGTTTTAGTTCCTCACTATTGATGCAACAACACCAAACCGAAGATGCAACAACACTCCTCTAGATTTGAGCAATGATGCAGCAACACCAATTAATACTATAATTTCAGAAGACTATCTCGAGAGGAACAGATTTTTAAATGCTACTATTGCAATACCGTTACCAATTAGCCTACCCATATTTGCGTTCTTCTCAAGGCATTCAAAATACACGTCCTGCGGGCGAAGATCTTTATATGTATTTTCAAAAATTTATACTTTTACATATTATAATGTACTGGACGTTATTCTATAACATAGTTCAATCGCCTTTAACATGGCAAGCTTTAGTAACCCAATCTATTTTCATAAACCACTGTTCCATAGCTTGATGACCCTGACTCCAGTTAGTATCATTCAAAATGGTGGACAAATATCTTTCGTTCTCGGTAAACATGATGAGCTATTGGATATTATCATGATATTATCTGTCATCCTTCTGTGGAACAGTGATAAACTAGTAGATGTACGTTACCACTGTTTATCAAATTATAACTAAAACAGTTTAACTGTGACATTCGTGAGCTGATATGTTAATGGGATGATTGCTTCATCTATGATATAATATGACATGATTCTTTATTTCCTACAATTTGGAGAGCCAACGTGTAAAAACGTCTAATTGACTTTATTAGAGAGGCCGTTTAGTTACACGTTTAATGGAAATCTTGCACGACGCACATGTAGAATTATTGCTCTCTTTGGATTCCTTCTCTCCGACTGAGTAAAAAGGTAAACAAAAGTGATAAGATTTAGGGCCCAAAAAGGTAAATTGATAGGGGTACAGTTATCCCAGATATCCCGGGCCCTCGGGAAATATCATATTGTCTCTCGAAATAAAACCAATATTGAATCCCTCTCAGTAAATAACTTTTATATAATAGCATTGTATAACTGCAATATCATTAAACCAACACTCATCCTATACAACTCTTGAGAACGATGTACAACTCCTGGATAGCGTAAACTCCTGAGCAGCGTATACAACTCTTCAACTTGATATATGACATCAAACTTTGGGTGGGATAACAAAGGATATACAATAAACAATTGTAGACCCCTCTTGAGGTCAACTGGCAAAATTGTATACCGATACTGTAAACCTTGAAAGTACTGTTGATCAAGACCAGAGGTCGAGGACACTTTTGCCAGTTGACCGAAAAGAGAGGTTAACAATTGTTCTGTTAGTCCAAATAATATAATAATTGGACGAATATATAATCGAATATCACGTGAACATATTTGATAAGTAAAGGTATCATATTTTAGCAAAAAATCCCCAAACCGTCGAATACTTGTAATTTTTTACACAACTTATTTTTTCAAAATTAAAAAAATTTCAACATTAAAAAAACAATTTTTCAAAAATAGGGGTCAACAGTACCTAGTAGTGGTCAACAGTTTACAATTGTTGACCTCCCCAGAGGCCAACCGGCAAAATTGTATACCGAGACTGTAAACCAAAAAAATACTGTTGACATAGACCGAAGGTCGAGGTCAACAGTAGTTTCAAGGTTTACAGTCGAGGTATATGATTTTGACGGTTGATCGAATGGAGATCTACAATTGTTTTGTTAGTCCGAGTAAACTAATAATACACATATAGACGACGATCATCAATCGGCATGGCTTCATTTCACAACCTTTTCTCCGAACCACGTTAGCAATATTTTTTAGAAAATATGGAGACAGTGCAAGAAGCTTAACTCTGTATTTGGCACATCACGGCGTACTCGTTAGTGAATTAATGTTAATTTTAAGTTTCTATTTGTATTTTTGCTATTCTTGTCGCCTAGTAAAGTCATTTTCCTCAACATTTACAAAATGTCCGTCTTCCATGTTTTTTTTGTGACGTCATGAAACTTTTTTCAGAAGTAGCGGTCAACAGTACCTAGTAGCGGTCAACAGTACATAATTTTGACCGCTAATCACCCAATCAGAATCGAGTATTTCAGTTGAGGTACTAACAATACATTTTGTTGCCCGCTCATCAACCAATCAGAATTGAGTATTTCAATTGAGGTACTAACAACACAAAATGACTGATATCTGTTGTCTTTCCAAAATTATATTAGTTATTTGTAAGCAATTTCCATACAGTAAATCAAGGGCATTTAATTTAGAAAATGTATAATCTTTTTTTCAGACGGATACAATATCAATGAGATTGCCTCCCGGGGATTCTGTACTTTATTTAGTTTGCCTTGTATATCCTTTTAACTTTGATATAGACAAAGAAACCAAACAAAATACGTTTCGTTCATGGACCACTGACTCACGCGTTTTATTCATGTCCCAACCTACACCTGTAAACAGAACATAAAACAGTTTCTCTTGTTGTTCAATGATACATTATATTGGCGTTTTTGCATCAGCACATTGGTGTTGTTGCATCATCGATAAGAAATAGAGTGGTGTTGTTGCATCAATAGTGAGGAATTAAAACCACGAATTTATCGCTTCTTGATGATGCTACGTGTATACCAATGACAGTTTTTTAAAATATAGATCATGTGCTAACTGCATGTGTATGATTATTGAGCAACTCGTCCTAGAAATGGGTGTAAATTGGGAAAACAAAACATCGTACGAAAATCTATCACCGGAAGTCTGGCCATCTTGATGCAACAACACGGTGTTGTTGCATCACGATACCCCCCAGTGATATCCATGTTGAAGAGATTTTCAAAATTACTAATGATTATCTAACATATGGGACTTTCATGATGCATTATTGGATCTCTGGTTTTACCACAAAATAATAATGTACTTTTATTGCATCATTTTCACGATGCAGACAAAATAACTCTTATTTAACAGGATACGAACGATGCTATAAAAACTTCAGTTGTAGCCTTGGGAAATAGTAGAAACCTGAAATGAAATAATGAATAAATGTGAAATGAATATTTTATGAATGGTGTAAGTTATTGATTCCTGGGTCTTGTAAAGGTAAAAAACACATTTGATAGTTATCTTTATTATGAGGTTCTAAAATGTGGATTGTTATTTTTCTTTTATCATTACAACTCCCATTGACTTTTTTCCAACCGTCAGTTTCACCTATTTGCTGTCAACGGTAGAAAGGAACTTTTTTTAATCAGATTCTTCTGTGTGTGTGTAAACATTTTCAAGTGAAGACCTCCCAACATGAGCTTTTTTTCAGGACACGTGTGAACACCTCATAGTCAGAACTCTTTTCCCAGCAGTATCTATAGTTTAAGCCCAACTGGTTTGATTGTAATCTGTCTCTTTTTCATGTTACAATTTAGTCTTAATCAGCCAGGTTGGTCTATTTTCATAAACAAGATATATTATCCAAAAGCTCTACAATAAAATAGTTTTACGTCAACTCCAAAATGATGTGACATATTGTTACAGCTCCCATTTTTGTGACCAGCATTCAACATCAGTATTTGGTATCTGTAACACATAGTTACATTTTTGTAACCAATTGCAATAATTAGCAAGTGATTACATTTTGTCATGTTATTTCCTTGTTTATATTTTCAGTTACTAGAGGCTCAGACAGCCAGGGCAATATTCCAAGACAACGTGACTTTGTGTAATGAGGTCACGGACAAGGTTGTGCAACATTTTGTGCGATGTATCGAGACGCATGGTCGCCATGTCGAGTACCTGAAGTTCCTCCAAACAATTGTCAAGTCAGACGGACAGTACATTAGAAAGACACAGGACATGGTCATGGCAGAGGTAGGTCTTAAACACTCGTATCGACATTTAATTATGAAAGACATTTGGACAATTTCGATGACAATTCTTTGATTGTTTTAAAGTAGCAACAATGGGTGATTCCCATTAATCATCAAATCTTTCCTATTAGATGTTATTTGCTTAGAATGAATAATGCCAATCACAATTTGTACAAAGTAATTTTTATTTGGAAAATGTCTTTTATCATTAGCTGAAACAGTTATGTTTTCAATTCTCATTTAACGTTCGGGTTCTTACTAGACAAATCTTAAGAACTGCTGGATCTGTTAAGATATTTAAATTGAACATTTTATTACCTGAAAAATGTACATCTTTACCTTGAGAATTTTCAAAATATGGACTACATGTATTTTAAATGAAGACATACTCTGTTACATTTGCAGCTTGTGAATGTTGGAGAAGATGTGCTCTTGTTTTACAACGATCGTGCCTCATTCCAAACTCTAACCGAGCTAATGATATCAGAGCGTCATCGCATGGATGAAGACAGTGCCTTAATGTACCACATCAACCTCGTTAAACTACTTGCATGCTGTACGGAGGGGAAGAATGTTTACACGGAGATCAAATGCCATTCTCTTCTCCCATTGGATGATATTGTTAGAGTCGTCACGCACCAGGATTGTCTTCCTGAGGTAGGGATCAAAAAATAATTATCACTTTTTCAGTGGAATTGATGTAGATTCGGTAGCGCAAGGCTACATCTATACATTTTCTGCGATTATTATTGTATTGTATTGTTATGGAAATTATGCAGTTTTTGTAATATGTCTTTATTTTTCATATATTATCAATCACATTTTTTGACATTTTGTTTATTTAGGTTAAGCATGGGTATTATGGTACATACAGTAGACTTTAATCTTACTTTAATCTTGAATGTTTAAAAGGCAATATTGTATCTATTTATGCATGACACTCAATATGAATGTCTCTGGTAAACACAGCTGATCATATGAACTTTAAGTTCTTTTTAGTACTTTTTATAATTTAAGATCTAACAATATCTCTTTATAATTATGCATGCCACGTTTCTGATCTTTGCAATTTGTCTTGTTTTATCTTCTTCTTAGGTGAAAGGTGCATACATCAATTTTCTAGAAAATTGTTACATTGATACAGAAGTGCGAACTCCTGTTGTCAATCAGAAACAAACAAGTCAGTCACCGCCCGCATCTCCTGTGTCACCAAATGTACGCAACGCCATCTATATGATTTAAGCATGCTTTGGAAATGTTTGCATTTTAGCTGTGGCATTATGGGACTTTTTCTTGTGTCTTTAGAATAGTCAAATTTTGTTTTCTTTGACAAGGTTGTTTTTCTTTTGGGATATTTTTAGAGTCTGTTGAGAGGTGTTACTTTTCTTCAACAATTTAAAAGGTGTATTTGGTGTATTAGTTCCATAGTGTTAGATTTGTGACCTGTACTTACAAATTGTTTGGGTTCTTTCCATCCCCCATATTAACCGCTTTGAAGTTTTAAAGTGTCTGTAACATCGAAAAATCACAAAAAGATGTCCCTAAAAGTTAATAAATTCGATTCTATGTTATATCAACATACTATCTATCCACTTGATGATGATTATCGAATCAAATTACATGTAGTTTGAAATTAGTAAAACAACTTTTAAAGAGGGATATGAGTGTGCAGTCTCATACTTTCATATTATTGTCAATCGGAAATTACAAATGGAAGTCCATGTTCATGTTAGAATAAGAATTTAATTGTTCTTTTATCATATTTTGAAATTAGCATTTGTCTTTCGAAATACTGCAGACAGTGTCTTTAATCTTGATATTTCATACTTGAGCTTGTGCTAGATATTTACTTTAACGTTTCCATCCCCTTTGGGATCAGGTATGATGGTTTTGGGTATTTTGGGTTCTACTTTGGGTTCAACATCCGAGTTATCTTAATTATTATTTTTTGGATAGGCCCTGGGTTATGGTTAAAACTACTAGGGAGGCTAGCAGTACCTCTTTCGGGGAGTAACCCAATGTGCAGATCATAGGCCATGATTTATGTTAGATTATACATTATATTATCTACTAAACAAGTGTATACTACTAATTTTGGTAATTTATTTGTCAATTGTAGTAGCTCAACTCCACTATATTTTATATATTTTGAAAGTCTTTCTCAACCATGTGTTATATATAGTGACCCAATTTGTACTAATGATGTGTGAATGGCAGACTGTTCCAGCATGGGAGTTGAATTGATAGCATGTATATGGCCATTTAGCATCAAGATTTGTTTTGTTTTTATAGAACATGTATTTTGATTTTCATAGTGTTTTAATTGCTGCAATAAACAAATTCTATTTTTCTTTACTATCAGCCATTAATCACCATGTTGCATTATATTTAGATCATCCTGGCTGCATCACATAGGAGGGAGGGGGTTGACACCTGATGCAACATTTTTTCACTCTACAGATATCATAGACATCATCGATGAATAATAATGATATCCATAGAAATCATAGGATACACTCTATATTTCTCCTTTACTTATAAGAATGCATAATATCCAATAACAAATATCACATTAAAATGACTGCCAAATATGAGAATATGCATTTTGAGATTTCTTTAAAATGATTACGAAGTGTTCTTCCAAAAGTATTTACTAGTACCTTGAACAATAAATATATATACCAGAGCTTTTCAGATTCATGAAATAAATCAGACTAAGGAGAACATTTCGTCTGTGAGGATTTTCTAGTTAACTTGAAGTCTATTACTTTATAATATATGATGTATTGTATTTAGTTGTACTATATGATATATATTGTGTGTGTATTTAGGTGAAGGATGCCTACATCAACTTCTTGAATCACTGCTACGTTGATACGGAAGTTGAGATGAAGGAAATCTACACATCCAATCACATGTGGACTCTCTTTGAGAACTTCATGGTTGACATGGCAATGGTACGATTGGTTTATTAAATGAAAACAATTGTTTTTAATTTTTTATTCCCATTTTTGATTTAGTTTATGCAAACTAACGTAAAACGTATGCCAAGCACCCTTAGGCACTACAGACATAAATCTATTGTTTACCATATCATTGACCATGTTAATAACAAGATACCATACTTTTCTCTTTTCTAAAACCTCTAAATATTTTTTGATGTTTTTTCCAAATAAGTCCCCTGGTTTTAAATATCACTCAGTTAAAAAATAAATGGGTTTTTACTCCCCAGAAATGGATTCTCCGATGTAAATTTTCCTTTCTTTCAAAACCTTTAAAGTGCATTCTTTCGTTTCTCTTTATCTTTTAGGTTTGTAACACTACCACTGATAGGAAACATGCCGACAAAGTATTGGAGAACTATGTCACTCAGACAGTTATGAACATCATAACGACATTCTTCAATTCGCCATTCTCCGACCAGAGCACTACAGTACAGGTATGACATCTATTGAGCAAAATTGAAACTCATTTTATAAACTTTTTCCTAAATTACTCAGATTTGATGTTATATTTCTGTATATGTGACTCTAGATATATGGACAAAAGCATTTGCAGCTTTGAGGGTCTTATAAACTCCTTTGGGTACTGGGTCTGAATAAGAATGAAAAAAATATTTTGAAGTCCAGTAAGTAAAATGGAATATTTTATTGTCTCCTCCAGATTATATCACTACCCTAATAAAAAATATTTTGATTCCATTTCAGGATTATGATTTTGTTAGCATAAATATTGATGCACAGATTTCTTTTGAACTGTTTTACTCACAGAATTCACAAAAAAGAGTCAAAACGTTAATGTATAGTAGTTCAAAGTGAATTACACACACAGACCCTACAAGATTTGATATTCGTCCTCTAGGTTACTATCTATAACATATTCAGAAATAAAAAAAAAGAAACTTCACTTATTTGCATCAATGCTTTGACTCTCATCTATAATCTGTGCTTAGGGCTATAGTAATGAATGCCTAATAAAATGGTGCTGTCCATCTTAATTGGTCATTCATTTTGCATTGGCCTAGACACACATCACACTGTCACTTGTATGACTTTTGCTCTGTTTTATCACTGAACATTTGAACACTGAACAATGTGAAGATTAACACTCCTGAACATTTGAACACTGAACAATGTGAACATTGACACTCCTGAACATTGAACACTGGACAATGTAAACATTGACACTCCTGAACATTTGAACACTGAACAATGTGGACATTGACACTCCTGAACATTTGAACACTGAACAATGTGGACATTGACACTCCTGAACACTGAACAATGTGAACATTGACACTCCTGAACATTTGAACTCTGAACAATGTGAACATTGACACTCCTGAATATTTGAACACTAAACATTGACACTCCTGATCATTGACACTTCTAAACATTGACACTCCTGAACATTGAACACTGAACAATATGAACATTGACACTCCTGAACATTGAACACTGAACAATATGAACATTAACATTCCTGAACATTTGAACACTGAACAATGTGAACATTGACACTCCTGAACATTGAACACTGAACATTGACACTTCTGAACATTGACACTTCTAAAAATTGACACTCCTGAACATTGAATACTGAACATTTAACAAAGAACATTGAACATTTGAGCACTGAACACTTTCACTTTGCTTCATAGAGTGATGAAGAACAACCAGAAATTGCAAGTCCCACAAAATCATTATTCTTGATGAGTCTTACAAAGGTAGCTTGTTTTGATTTTTTCTTGAGCACGGAAACTTTGCATCATGTTGAAGTTCAAATTTTGTGTTATTTTTGATTTTAGTTTTTAGTACCCTACAGCCTAAAGAAATCCAAATGATTTCTCTATTTATTCAGATGTGTCTCATGTAATGTTAATGTTTTCTGAGGGCTGTATGAGAGACTTTTGGCAGCAGCCATGCAAAATAATTAGTCCTTAAAAAACTAATTCAAATCCCATCCCCAGTTTTGTTTTATAAAAAGCAAACTTTTTCTCCGAAAAAGATGGACAAAAAACATGAAACATTGAAATAGAGAACAGTCTGTTTTGAGTTTGAGAGAGATTAGAAATATCTTGCAAATTATGAATATAAAATATAATTTAGAAATCGCATTTCAATTGTATTGGTGTTTTTCATCAAAATGTGTATATACTTGATCGTAAAGGTTGCTATACAAATAAAATTTCCTCATTTTTAAAGAAATATTTTTGTTTTTTGAAGTTTTGCAGTTTACATGCATGTTTTTTCCCCGACTCTGACTTAAAAGATCCAAAGTGTATCATATTCAAGTACAATACTGTATACATGGCATGTCATTTGAGGATATTGCTTGATTTTGATTGACTTTTGATATGGTTACAGTACAGTATTCTCTTTTAGTTATCTGATTGATTTGCTAGTTTTATTCATTGTTTATGGGGGTTTGCAGACTTTAACATGTTGGCATTTTATAACAAAATGTGTTCCTGGTTCATACTAAAACTGTTAAAATGTTAAGTAATATTCGAAATCTAACAAAAGTTATATAAAATGTAGAATAGTAAGCTGTAATTTGAATTTATCGTAGTATTACACATGTCATATTATATAATACAGGGTTTCCAAAAAAAAACAGGACCGTAAGAAAGTTGAATAACTCGGTCAATTTTGCATATTTTGCCTTAAAATTCAATAACTATTTAGTTCATTCAATGTGAATTTTGTTCTGAAAGTTTGATGGTAATCTGTTTATTGTGTCAAAAACTACAGTCCTTTACAAAACATGCTCAAAGTGTGCACTTCTCCTCTCTATGCACAAACGAATCCTGCGAACAAAGTTGTTAATGACCCTTACCTATACACATTAATGTGGATGGTAAATATTGGGGTAGTTATTGCCCTCTTAAAATTGTTAGGGGCCTCTCAGTATACAAATTGGCTTTGAGAAATCCTCAAAGATAAAAATTTGGGGGATTTAGATCAGGCGAATGAGCTGCCCATATGGTTTGCATTCTGCAACTGATGAGCTGACCACCAAAGCATTGCCTAAACCATTTCAGCATATCATTTGCAGTGTTGGGGTGGTATTGGCTTGTTGAAACCACTGCTTAATTATCTCCTTAGATGTCCCTTCTGGTGCTTAGTGACCTCCAAAACTTGGTGAGAACTTACTGGTCCTTGTTCATGGTGATAGCAAGTCCCCAGTCACCTTCGAACCAAAAGGGACTGATGATTCCATGTTTCCTCATTGCCACCCAAGGAGTGCATTGTTCAGAATGCAATGGATGCTGTAAAACTTCATCATGAGGATGTAAGCCCCAGGAGCAATTGTTCTTGGAACAAACTTGTCCATTCAGAGAGACATGTATGTAGGAGGATCATCAACAGCTTTGTTCGCCGGATTGAATTGTGCATAGGGATGAGATTTGCACATTTGGGGCATGTTTTGTAAGGAGCTGTAGTTTTTGACTCAATTGGTAGATTATTGTCAAACTTTCACAACAAAATTCACATTGAATGAACTAAATAATTCTGAAATTTCAAGGCAAAATATGTAAAATTGACCGAGTTATTCAACTTTCTTACGGTCCTGTTTTTTTTTGGACACCCTGTAGATTGTTTATTAGAAGGAGAGTTTTTGAATTTAAGAATTGTATAATATGTAGTCTCATGCACTCCCAAGAGCAAGATTACTTTATTGTTCATTAACACAAGTCAATTACCTAAACCTGGCCATGTTTTCTTGGCTATGTGCATTAGACTGATATTGACCATATTTTCATAACATTCACACTGTACTGGTCATTGACATATTTAAAGCTAGATGTCTTTATCCTTCATAAGGTTTTGTTAACCAATATGATTTCTATGTGCTGAATATATCCAAGTTATTATCCCATCGAACGAAGTTCGGAGGGATATAGGGAACGCCTCCGTCCGTCCGTCCGTCCGTCCGTCCGTCCGTCCGTCTGTCTGTACGTCCGTACGTCCGTCCGTCCGTCCGTCCGGGCAATAACTCAAATACCGTTGGCCCGATTTTGTTCATATTTTGTACACATATACCCTATGGGAGTAGAAGTTCTGCTCTAAAGCCGAATTTAGTGCCGAATTTACAGTAATTTAGGTGCAATATGTAAAACTGTAATAGCAATATGTTTTAGATGTAAAAAATTATATAGGACATTAATAAAGCTAGAAATGTAGATATTAAAGAAGCACGTGGCAGCCATCTTGAAAAATGGTGGCCTTTACTCGTTATTTTACGATTTTTGCTGTAACTCGAAAAGTAGTGAAGCGATTTTGTTCATATTTGGTATGTGAATACTATAAGCCTGACACACTGTCCTATGACACTTTTGGTAGAAGGCGGCCATTTTGAAAAAAAATTTGAAAAATGGCCGCCATTCTAACATATTTTACTATAACTCGAAAAGTAGTGAAGCGATTTTGTTCATATTTGGTATGTGAATACTATAAGCATGGCACACTGTCTAATCACACTTTTGGTAGAAGGCGGCCATTTTTCAAAATGGCCGCCATTTTAATGTATTTTACTATAACTCGAAAAGTAGTGGAGCGATTTTGTTCATATTTGGTATGTGAATACTATAAGCATGACACTCTGTCCTATGACACTTTTGGTAGAAGGCGGCCATTTTGAAAAAATTTTTGAAAAATGGCTGCCATTTTAACGTATTTTACTATAACTCGAAAAGTAGTGAAGCGATTTTGTTCATATTTGGTATGTGAATACTGTAAGCATGGCACACTGTCTAATGACACTATGGTAGAAGGCGGTCATTTTTCAAAATGGCCACCATTTTAACGTATTTTACTATAACTCATTGAGCTATATACTTTGTTTGTAAAAATGCCATCCATGGCTGTTCGATGGGATTCGCTACGCTTTGGCGTTGCCGTTGTTCTGGTTCCTGTTGTATCCATTTTATTTATTATGTCACCACCAAAAGTGGTGACATATTGTTATGGTCTCCATTTTTTTGCGACGGCGGTTGGTGGTTGGCGTCCGGTGGTTGGCGTCCGGCGGTTGGCGTCCGGCGTCTGTAACAATTTCTTACAACTTCCTATAACTTAACAAATACTGTTTAGACTGACTTCAATTTTTTTCTAAATCATCTACATGTTCTCAGAAGTTCAAATCTGACTTTAGATTTGACATTTGACCTTCAATGACCTTCTCAAGGTCAAAAAGTTCTTTTTTCAACTTGCTTCACATTGACTAAATTTTTTTTCAAAATCATCTACATGTTCTCAGAAATTCAAATCTGACTTTAGATTTGACATTTGACCTTCATCTCTGACTTTAGATTTGACATTTGACCTTCAATGACCTTCTCAAGGTCAAAAAAGGTCAAAAAGGTCTGTTTTCAACTTGCTTCAAATTGACTAAATTTTTTTTCAAAATCATCTACGTGTTCTCAGAAATTCAAATCTGACTTTAGATTTGACTTAAGATTTGACATTTGACCTTCAATGACCTTCTCAAAGTCAAAAAAGGTCAAAAAGGTCTTTTTTCAACTTGCTTCAAATTGACTAAAATTTTTTTTCAAAATCATCTACATGTTCTCTAAGCATCAACACATACAATTTTAACCAAATCCATCCACTGGTAGTTGAGTTATCAATGATTATGTTTTCTACAACAAAATGGCAACCATTTTAAAATTTAGTGGCCAGCTTGAAAATGTCTTCTAGAGCAGAGCTCCATTGTCTCTGGGCATCAGCAAATAAAATTTGAACCAAATCTGTCAACTGGTATTTTGGGTAATCTAAGATTACATTCTTTCACGAAGAATGGTGGCCATTGAAATTCAGCTGCCATCTTCAAAATCCCTTCTCAAGCAGAGGTCATTGTCCCTAGGTATCAGCATACAAAATTTAGACAAAATCTGTCCACTGGTATTTGAGTTATCGAAGATTATGTTTTTTATGTCACCACCAAAAAGTGGTGACATATTGTTATGCTCTCCGTTCTTTTTTTGATGGCGGTTGGTTGTTGGCGGTTGGCGATCAGCGTCTGTAACAAATTCTTACAACATCCAATAACTTAACAATTACTGTTTAGACTGACTTCAATTCTTTTCAAAATCACCGGCATTTTTTCAGAAGTTCAAATCTGACATTGTATTGTATTTAAGATTTAACCTTCAATGACCTTTTCGAGGTCCAGAGAAGGTCAAAAAGGTCTTTTTTCAACTTGCTTCAAATTGACCAATTATTCTTTCAAAATCATCTACAAGTTTTCAACAGTTCAAATCTGACTATATATTTTACCTTCAATGACATTCTCAAGGTCAAAAAAAATCTTGCTTCAAATTGACCAATTTTTTTTCAAAATTGTCTACAAGTTCTCAGAAGTTCAAATCTGACTTTAAATTTGAGATTTCACCTTCAATGACCTTCTCAGGGTCAAAAAGGTTTTTTTTTTAAATTTAATATGTAAACAAGTTCTCAAAAATTCAAATCTGACTTAAGATTGAACTCATAATATTGTGAGCAACTAGGTGGTGACATTTTGTCATGTTAATGCCTTGTCATTTTTACTTCATGAGGAAGAATATTTATTAGAGATTCCTTAATGTTTTATCCTAATTTTTTTTTAGGAATCCTTGTTCCACAAGCTTTTGGGGCAATATGCCTTAGCTTTCCAACACCCGTCCCCCAAAAAGTTTCCTTTTTTGCTTTAATTTTTTTCCTGATTGTTTATTGTTTCATAATGAGTCTGGATTGTCTTCCTTTTAGAACCATATAATGTACTTTACACTATATATGTCACAATATGAATTCAAGTTTTTCAAACATTGTTTGTTTTGTTTTAGACACGTCAACCAGTGTTTGTGAGACTATTACAAGGGGCCTTCAGAGTCTCGCACTGCCCATGGCTTACGGGAAACCAGAAGTTCCATGTAGAAAATTGTATTAAGACCTTGTCAGACATTGGTACGTTTTTTTTATTCGAATTTAGTCCAAAAGATAAGAAATTGTAAAGCATAAGTTTTGCATTACTGTGACCCAATTGATTCATGTTAGATGGATTAGTGTTCACACAGTCCAAAACTTGAATATAAACCTTTATTTTCCAGCCAAAAACCGTGGTATTGCTATACCTGTAGACCTTGACAGCCAGGTCCACACAATGTTCTCAAAATCGCAGATTGTCATGAAGCATACACGTCATTGGTTGAGTGCCAGAAACAGACGAGACTCTACAATGACCATATCCCGTGATTATAGGAGCATAATTGAAGGTTTACAGGTGTGTGAAGTGAAGAGTTGAAATCGACCTAAAAAATATATATCATCAAATGTATTGAACCCCTTTTGCATATAACTTTCAAATGCATGCAATAATCTTTTATTTACACATCCTTGAATCACATTCCCTCTTTAAAAAGTTAATTAAACTTATTATAAATCAAGATGACATTTATATTTTCCACCTTGGACCTGAAAATACTTTGATTGTTCAAAAAGATGTCTTGTTTGTACTTTACAATGTATATCCAGAGAATTTATACTAAAACATTAAAACAAAACAATCATATTCTTGTCTCTATATTTAGGACATAGTTTCTTTGCTGGAAGACCAATTACGCCCCTTAGTTCAAGCAGAACTTTCTGTTCTTGTTGATGTGCTCCATCGGCCGGAACTACTTTTCCCACCGGGAACAGAAGCAAGAAAGAAGTGTGAAAGTGGTGGATTTATTTCAAGGTTTGGATTTCTAAATCTGAAATCTTATACCTTTAAAGCATATACCTCATACCCAAATGACAGAACTATGGTTTAATAGATAAATTGAAATTGAAATTGAAATACAGTGGATACTTCTTCAATTATACAGTAGTTTTCTGTGCAAATTTGAGGCCCACCTTGCATAAGACACAGGTTTTTCAACAGGGTAGGAGGGGCTAAATGGCATTTTTATTCACAAAGAATGTTGATTTTTGAAATGTTCAAGTATGAGGCAAATCAATATTTTCAAATTTTCTCACGAGAGAGGAGGGGTTGAACAATTAATAAACTTTGTATTTACAGACCTGTTGACAATTGGACACGATCCATTCTGGTTTACCAGCCCCCCCCCCCTTATCTGTTTTTCGCAAGAGATAGAAACAAAGGGGGTTGGTGTGGTTATCACGATGAACACCATCCTATATTTCTCTTTGTTTCCATTTCAGATTGATAAAGCACACAGAGAGACTATTAGAGGAAAAAGAGGAAAAGTTATGTATTAAAGTGCTCCAGACTCTCAAGGAAATGATGACTGTGGACATTGACTACGGAGAAAAGGTAATTATATACCATCACCTTGGATTATTCTGTGCAGCAACTCTGCTATGTTATTCTTATGCACTTAAATTTTCACTTGGCTGAATTTGAATAAAAATTTGCTTGAAAATCATTTTTCACCAAAGTTTTACATGTTTTTATTACTGTGTTGAGATAATTACTGAATTTCATTTTTTATGATTTTTGTGATTTATGTGTCATGGTCTGTAATATATATTTTTGAAAACAACTGTTGCTTGGATACGAAAAAACATGATTAAAGCTTTTGAATGGCCCTCTTTTACATGTTTATTGCAACATAAAAAAATCTTCAATCCATTAGCAAAATTAATTCATTTTGAACTTGCATGCACTTGCATTAAAATGCAGAGAGTAGTGAAAACTAATGCTTTTTATGCTAGCACATATAACATTGCAGCATTCATTTTTACATTTTGTTGCATTCTTTTTTTATTGCATAAATGTGACAGTATAAATTGTGCATGTTGATGATTAAAGATATTATGCATAATTATACTAGCATTCTTATTTAACCCTTAGCAGTCTGGGCAATAGAATGTGTTTATTAGCAGATAATCAAAGATATCTCATCCTCGGGCTACTAAAAGTTAAATTACATACATACTGTATCAAATATACCATTCAGGCCCGTAGCCAGGATTTGCCAAGAGGGGTTCACTTTTGAAAAATTTCCAGGGGGGGTTCACATTTGACAAATTTGTCCCAAATATGGCTAAAATCACTTGAGAAGTGCTCAAAATGGTGAAAAACTGCATGATTTTGAAAGAATTTTTGGCCCCCCCCCCCTCTGGCTACGGGCTTGCTATTTGAAATATTCAGTCATTAAAGTATTCAAAATTAATCATTTTCAATAATACTGTACAATTTATTATCCATATTTATCTGTCATTAAATGTTTCATTCATATCAATCACATCATGTTTGCCATATACCCTCTATATGATTTTAAAATCAAATCATCAAACCAGGGTCTAACATATGAATATAAAACTGCTGGTGCTTGCATAATCATTTAACTTTACTTATGCGCTGCGCCCAGAAGGTTGATTTAAAGGGACTTTCGCCAAAGGAACTAGATGACCATAAAAGGGTAAGATCTCTAGAGGCATCGTGTTCGCCATAATGCTTCCTTATATGGGTTTATTATGTTGTAATTGTAAAGTGATCGTAAATAATTGTTTAGCTGTTGTACTTCATGCACAGCTAAGTATTGTTGTAATTTTGTGAATAAACCTCTCCAATAAACCCTGCCACCTTTTGGTACATCAAGGAAACTATGATATATGAGCTTGATTGATGGTGTCATAGGTTTAGGCAGTAATCCGTCAAGGCAAAAATAGGCATAACTAATTTTGAAAAGGTACAACCAATGACATCATCAATCCCTTGATGTACCAAAAGATGGCAGGGTAAAAGGTCCAATCATACATATATTTTTGATTTCATTTACCACACATACACTACATAATATTAGAATATGATATTCCCATATCTCTGGCATTCTTGATTTTCTAAGACCTTGTAACCATAAAAATAGCTTAATGAATAGAGGTGATTTCCCGAAAATAACCTGATGAATATAGGCTATTATACAATAATAGCTTGGTGTATATAAGCTATTTCTCAACAATAGCCTGATGAATAGGCTATTAATACAATAATAGCCTGTTGTGTAAAGGCTATTTCACAAAAATAGCCTGATTAAAATAGGTTATTAAAACATGTTTGAATGCCTTTGGATGTATCAGTTTCCTTAAATATTACTTGACTGTGTAGACATTTCTTTTAGACCGATGTCATCTGATATCAAAATTAACTAAAATCTACTAATACATGTAATACTGTAAACATCTTTTATTATCCCAATGAATTAAGTTCAGTAGGGATATAGTGAGGCCATCTGTCTGTCTGTCTGATCGTTCGTCTGGAGCATAACTCCAATACCGGAGACAGTTTTTTTTCACATGTAGAGGAAAGATGTAAAATGATCAGTTCTTTTCCAAAATAGCCCCTGCTTCGAAAATAGCAGGAATTTTTGTGAAAAAATTCAATGGCCACATAATGCGGGATTTCATATAATTTTATGATCTCTTAAACATATATATTCTATATTATACTCAAATCTTCACAATTATGGTATCATTTTTCTGATTTGTGACTTGAAAATTAAAAATGGCTGCCTAAAGTAGGAATCAGCCATAATTTATAATATATTGTGACATGTACAGTTTCATGAATATTTTGTTCATTGGGATTTCCTACTCTGTGTAGTTCCAATTTTCATGTTATTTCATAAACTAAGAGATTGGGTACAAATTCCAAATTCTTTTTGTGAGAATAGTTTTAGAAATTCAAGCAATAATGATATTTCAATGAAAGTTGAAAAACCTCAAAGTTCGATTCATCATAATTTGGCTACAATTTATTTACAAAATGGAAATTTAAATCATCTTCAATCATCGATTCAGTTTAATTCATCAAGCATAATTGATACATGTAAAATAAGTATATTGTCATCAGATGTATAATTAGAAAAAATGTTGTAGAAATAATTATTTAGGATATTTTCACTTTTCAGTACATTGTCTTGTACATTATCATAAATTCTATGTGTTAAACTCTGTTACTATGCATGCTTTCGTTTGTTTGTTTGTTGTTTGTTTGTTTGTTTGTTGTTTGTTTGTATTATTGTTGCATAAGATTAGTTTGTCAGTAAATTTCTTCTCAGTGGACATTCAGATATTCTAAACTCGATGTGCAAAATACATTTTATAGAATAAATAATGTTAATTTGTATTATGAAATAATACATATATTCACATGAAGATAACCCATATTATGCTATATTTGATTTATATAGTTGTGTTATTTTCAATTATATTGTGTATAGAGTAATATAGTTTCTTAAATGTAGTACATGTACATTATAAATGTTTGATTTATTGATAAGTTTCTGTTTATGAAAAAATGTTTATTTTTTATTATGAAGGAAATCGAGCAAAACAATGGAATTCAATACCTTAACAATGCAATTCAATACAATAACAATACAATTCATTGCCGTACAATATAAAACATAACAGTAGTTTTTTGTTGTCATATTTTGTCTATCCCAAATAATACCATGACTTGTATAAACACCCCACTTGAAAGCTAAGAGGTTCTTCAACACTCTGTATTGACGTGATACCTTTTATTTTTGGCAAAGGTAAGTAATGTCACATGATACCAGGTAACCATTAAGTTTATGCTTTTGAGGAAATTTCTGTCCAAAGGAAAGTATCGATATGGAGAACTGAATTCAACAATGTTTTTCTCTTAAACCAATCATTGAAAACATATCAAAGTCAAGAACTGATTAGTTTTTGGGCATTCTGGGTAAATTTTAAGGTGGCCATTTTGGATTTTCCGTCCTAAAATCTTCATTTTCAAGACTTGTCTACAGGTTTTCAGCCAAACCATTTGAGGGATTCATCTGAAATTTTCAGGGATGTTTCTACATATCAACGTCAAAAACTGATTAGTTTTTGGGCATTCTGGGTAAATTTTAAGGTGGCCATTTTGGATTTTCCGTCCTAAAATCTTTACTTTCAAGACTTGTCTACAGGTTTCCAGCCAAACCTTTTGAGGAATTCATCTGAAATTTTCAGGGATGTTTCTACTAGAGGTGTAACTCCCGAGTCAGTAACTCGAGTACAGCTCGTCAGAGCTGCCTATACATTGGCTCGAGTTGTCCTCTAGAAACTCGCGAGCTAGCTATAACTCGAGTCAACTCGCGAGTTTCGCCTATCTTGCAAGCTTGAAAATGAATTCAGGTCCCAGAGATCGTGCAACATTACTTCATTAGTGGAATAAATATACCAATGATCGCCATATTTAGCGCCCGTCACCTAAAAACACTCTCAAAGCTTCACAAAGTTCAACAAATATAGTGGAATGAAGAGTTACACCAAAAAATCAGAAAAAGATCGACTATCGAAGGAACTCAACGGGCGATAATAGAGTAGTCACTAAAATTGAATAAAAATGGTCCCCTTATTCTCACGTCGCTTACACTAAATCATTAAATTAAGATCATAAGTCTTAACTTTAGATTGATAACCAGCAGTCTTTAGTATAAATAATGAAGATAATCCGGGAAAACCATTCATTAATTTGGGGGGCCCTTCTGGGTTTTCTAAAATATTGTTTGGTTAGATTCTAGCGATCCTTACCGTATGTGGTGACGTCTTTACCAGATCGTTTTTGATTGAAATATGAGATAACTGTAATGAATACCACACTTTCTTATGGCCCCAATGTGTTAAACACCTTTTAGATGAGACTAAACCAGAGAAACTTGCCGCTTGAAGTTACAGTAATTTTTTATACCCGGGTTTACAATATGTACTGGACGAAATGAATGAACTCGAGTTTTGGAAATATTTGGCAAGTTGAACTCGAGTTGGATTTTTCTGGCGAGTTACACCTCTAGTTTCTACATATCAACGTCAAGAACTGATTAGTTTTTGGGCATTCTGATTAAATTTTAAGGTGGCCATTTTGGATTTTCTGTCCTAAAATCTTCACTTTCAAGACTTGTCTACATATTTTCAGCCAAACCATTTGAGGGATTCATCTGAAATTTTCAGGGATGTTTCTGCATATCAACGTCAAGAACTGATTGGTTTTTGGGCATTCTGGGTAAATTTTAAGGTGGCCATTTTGGATTTTCCGTCCTAAAATCTTCACTTTCAAGACTTGTCTACAGGTTTCCAGCCAAACCATTTGAGGGATTCATCTGAAATTTTCAGGGATGTTTCTACATATCAACGTCAAGAACTGATTAGTTTTTGGGCATTCTGGGTAAATGTTAAGGCTGCCATTTTAGATTTTCCGTCCTAAAATCTTGTGTATCGAGGCTTGTCCACAGGTTTCCAGCCAAACCGTTCAAATTTTTACATATGTTACACAGTGATAAGTTCTAGAGCTGATTAACTTTTCTGCGGCCATCTTGCTTTCTTGGTCAACAAGACCACAATGCTGTGTTTTAGGTACGATATTGTTCACGTCTGTGCCTTGTTTGTTTTTTAGTGCAATTGTTTTTGCTCCTTTCTACCAATTCTTGAGAATGAAATAAAATGTCTTTCCGAACCTTGTTGGAACAAAATAGCATATACAACATGTTTTTAGACCTCTCAATATTAAAGTTATACAAAGGAATTTTTGGTTGATTTTAAAAAAGTATTCAAAAAATTAAAACAAAACCCCCCAAAAATAGATAAAAATCAAGAAAAAACTTTTATTTCATTAACAAGATACTTTTTTAAAATCAACCAACATTTCCTTTGTACAATTACAATATTAAGAGACCTAAACATGTTGTGTTTATGTCGTTTTGTTCCAAGGAGGTTCGGAAATATGTTTCATTTCACTCTGGAAACATGATACCAAGAACAAAACAAGTGTTTGATGTGTTTTTATTAAAACAATATAGATGAAAGTACATGTATGTATATCTATTTCAAATTATATTGTTACCATTCAAAAGATGGCCATTAAATTGACAATTTGTAAGATTTTCAGAACTTTTTGATGACTGGTTTAAGAGAAACGTGTGTTCAAAAAGTTCACGGTTCACAGAACACGGTATATATTGTAAATGGACCCTCTTGCTACCTGCTTGTTTGGGGTTCACAGCTCAGTCGGTGTGATGCAGTCATTTACAAACATTCACCATGTTCATTATTAGTCTATGTTAATAAGACAAAGAGAATTTCTGTAAATGATACATATTATGATTTTTTTGAATAAATCGGGCCATGCATTTAACTTTTCTTGAGAATGCTGTGCAGAACATAGGTACCAGTATCTCCTGCTAAGCAGTGTCACTTATAGACTTTAGAACTTTACAAAAATAAAGGCAATAAACTTCCCATTGAATCAAATGTAATGTTCAGTACTGTATCAAAAATACTCTCATCAACAGCAAAAAACACAATAAGCAGTTAAATTTTTTCAAGATTTATTCTGAAAGACTATATTTTTCATATAATAGAAAGATCTCAGTTATTAGTTAGTTAATTTGTGTTGCATTGTTGATATTGGTGTTAGTTTGCTTATCATCAGTGTCATTTACATCATCATATTCTTGTTTTGGCATCTAGGGATTCATATCATTGTCTTCCTCTACTTCAAAGGGACACTCATGGTCAGCTCCTGTAAATCAAGTGATTGAATCTTGATGAGCCATGAAGTATACATTGTTTTGAAGATACAAAATAACAGAGCAACTAAGAATAAACCCAACCAAATCCTATAAAATCATAAGAATGATAGAACTTTTATTGAAACCAAAAACCATTCACTCTATAATATGAAACAAATCATCAAAATAAATTACATTGAATATGTTATTATATAAACCTGTTTTTAAAATGGTTCACATTGATTATGTACCACAATTAAATTATTTGTATTGTACCTTGTGCACATATTTCCTTTGTTAAATGGGCTCCAGCAATGCCCAAATTTTCGAAGGTACCACCGCCATCAGTGAAGTCAATGATGTGACAAGGTGTGGATTCACTTGCTATGTGTCGCCACTCTCTTTCATACCCATCTGTTCTGTTCTGATGGTTTGGCAATCCTGAATATAATATAACTTATTTATAGCTCTGTCATTGAAAAACAATATTACACACAGTAATATGCTTGAAGAATATCATACTTTTTATATTATATGTATAATTTCTTCACATCAGTGAAATTGTCAGACCATAGATATTTGAGCATGATGGCAAAAGAGCAAACAAGGGACAGTATCTAAACCAAAGGTCAAACATATAAAGAAAGTGTCAAATAATGAACATTTATGATTGAGAATGAATATGAGTTCTAACCCACCAAGCACATAGATTTCTTTTCCTTCATCTTTAAGAGTCTTTGCTGCTGCAATAGTGGCTGCAGGATCAGCGACGTCCCTTTTATAACAATTCCACGTCCTACCATCTGTAGCCAATATAACAATTTGACGTACTTCAGAATCGTTGTTCCTGCCAAACCTATCGAATTGGTTCTTGGCCTCTTTCAATGCACCTACAGTGTTAGTGTATGCATCTGTGGTAGCAGGGATATCCTCCACACATCTCACTGTACCATTGTAATCTTTCTCCCCAAGGTAGCAATGGACAGTCACCTTGCAGTTATAGCTGAGGATAGCAAACCTGAGCCCAGGTTCGTTACGACTTAGTCCTGGATTCAATATACGTTCTTGTCTAGCGATAAATTCTCGGTAGAATTTTAAAGCCAGTTTGATGTTATCTGGGCGGATACTATTTGAGCGGTCAATTATCAGCACAATGTCTGCATTGCAACAACTCTCTGGAAGAGATGTAAGTCAGCTATTACAGGATTATGTTTTTTTTTATATGGTGGCATAATACGAGTATGATTCTTTAAGTTCTTATACTCACGGCATTTTATGATTTCATCTTTTTCTTTGACCAATCCTTCCACACTTGGTACAGTCATTGCTTGTGGACTTGTTGAGGTTAGCTCTTTTATAACTATTTTACCTTGAGGAAGACCATCAACTTCATTGATGTTAGTGAAATTTAATGTCTCCCATTCATCTGATTGACGCAAATCCTCATTATAATCTGGTATTTTGAATGGACGCCCAGCAGTATTTTCACACTTCCTAACATTGAGAATGTTCTTCATAACAGTGTCATTTTGATAGCCCAAGTCATACTTGTTACTGAAGCTTATGCCATCAGTGTATGTTACCAGTACATCAGGTACCACCTCTCTGGTCGGATCATCACCATTCAGGGCTTTCCACTGTTTCTTACACATATCAAGAGCTAAAGGTAGTCGCGCTTCACAGTCATCACATTTCTTCCCTCCTTTGAATTTCTTAGATAATGTTTTCGTGGTATCTGTCCAGGGTACAAATTGTTTGGCTGATTTACTGTAGGTGACTATTGTATATAGACTCTGTTTTCCCACCCCAGCAATTATCTTGTTGATGTCTTGATGGATTTTCTTCAACAGTGTGTCTTTCTTATCTTTACTACAGGAGAGCTGTACTATGAAGCACAGATCTGTCCGTGTTTGCGCTAAAGAAATTAAATTAATTAAATGAGTAAAGTTAGATACTAATAGAAAGTGTGATTGACATTTCTAGCATTTTTGAAGACATATCCATGAAAACCATGAAGTAATAAAATAAAGTGAATTTAGAACCAGTAAAATTATTCATTCACAATCAGAATCAATTGTAAAATATGAAACTATAAACAGTTAATATTTCAAGATATGAAGCCAAATAAGGTCTGATGTTAGCGGTATGAAATACAAAAGTAAAATGTATATTCTATTATTTTTTATTAATTTTTCATTCACAATGGATGTTTGATTGTATATGTACTCAATTGTTGATGGGACAAACACATTTCAGCACCATGACTCACCTGGTTCACATAATTCCCCCTGTCCAACATGACTCACCTGGCTCACATAATTCCTCCTTTCCAACATGACTCACCTGGCTCACATAATTCCCCCTTTCCAACATGACTCACCTGGCTCACATAATTCCCCCTTTCCAACATCCTTACAGGTTTGATCAAAGAAGTTTGGTGGAAGATCTAAATCAATTCCCCCTCGCCCCAAATTTGGTATTGTTTTTGTTCCTGTGGAAAGTAGTTTGTACCATAAGTTTTCATTTTCACCGTATGTTTGAATAAGTTTAGTGTAGCTTATCCCCACAGCGTACTGGGGTATAAAACTCAGGCATAGTAATACCAGACCAACACCAGCCATTGGAATCATTTGCATCATGTATCTAAAAATAAAGATTAACACGATCTCCTTGTATCCATGAATAAATTCATGGATAAAATCACCAATTTTGTAAGGCCAGTCAGGCTAATTAGTTATTAGTGAACTATTTTAATAGGAAATCCTTTTTTGAGATTCTTAATTTATAAAAAATGTTCCCTTTCTTGTCAAATTATAAGTCATGTATCCTGATTCTACTGTTTGTATTATGAATTAAACTTTAATGTATGTCTGTGCTTTTAAATGTTGCCCATTATGCCCCCTTATTAAACATTTTGATAAACCAAACCATCTAACTTCAAATGTTCAATATTTAAGAGCTTCTAAAAAGATGAACTTACCTCGTGTATTTGGTCCCTTCAAAAAGTAAAGTAATTGAACCCCAACATAGCTTATATATACTTTTACTGATAATTTTGTGGTTTTCTCGAAACAAAATAAAATTCATCAACAGGATCTACTCAACAATGGAGTTGTGGTAGAATTAAGTATAATATATGCAGTATTGAATTAAAGTATCCTATTTTTATTATCTTCATGCAAAATTCCCACAAATATATATGTTTTAATATGTATTGTTAGATGTTCAGTTCATCCACAAAGTCCTTAACAAATGTTGGAAGAGTTTAGGTGCAATACAAACATTCTGAACATTTCCAAGTAATGTTTTTACAATTTTTGCTTTGACGTCAACATTTTACCTAGCATATTTAATTAGTGTATATTATTGAAAGTGACTATTGATATATACTATTGTTTAAAAATAGAAGCTCCATTTAATGAAATGAATATGATTTGTTTGAAGTGAACACTTATAACATACTAGGAAGTGTTCACATTTCTGGGAATCTATGACATGGATAAGAAATATTGTTCACATTTCAAGGTATCACTAATGAAGCATTTACATATACAACTTTATGGGTTTTGCCAACCTACATGATTTCACTAGACATGTAGTAGCCAAGCTCATATACAATATGCTTACAATAGTTACTGAGTAATGATTAAAATAACAAAGGAGGAGGGAAATTATCATAACAGATGACTAGTAATGTTTGACAAAAAAACAATTCAAACCACAATAAAGTTATACATTGAAAAGGTTTAGATCAATCGCATATGAGGTTAATGAGGTAAGCTTTTCTTAGTATTTTCATCCTATTTGAAAACCACATGAAAATGCCATATTTTAATTGCTACATAGTTGTTAGGGAACCCTTTTCAAGAATTTAATCCCATGTCCTCAGAAAGCTACACTTTTTCGACAATTCATATTATACTCAAACTCCAATAAAATCCATCCTCCGATCACAGGGCCTCAAAATCCAAAATATATTATTTTTACCCCCTGCGATAAGCAGTGAGTATTTCCCCGATTAAGAACTCGCAAGAAATCATGTATAAGTCATTAAAGCTTTTTTCAAGTTATTATAAAGATCTTATCAGTTTCGAAGATGTAAAATTATCTATCCTGTTCAGAGTATTGTTAATGCTACTAGACTCTAGGCATCAGGGTATTATTGGATTAATATAATCCGTTTTACCTCCACCACAGATCAGCTGGATAAATATCTCATGGATGCCCTCTTCCTAGAAAGATATATATATATATCTTTTATTGACTCATTAGAAGTCATGACCTGACATATTAATATAACAAAACATGGACTTAAATATATAATTCATATATAATTCAGTTAGGTCAGATTAACTTGGTCATCATATCTTAAAAATATTGCGAACTCAAAAATTGTAATACATTTTCATGATCGATTTGATAAGGAAACAAAAAACAAAACACTTTAGATGCTACCCTTTATATAACCTAGCCATGATATGTACCAGAGATAATATAAAACCATTTATAGAGAGTTGCAACAGCAATATAAACCCATTTAATTCCAGTTTCATATGTTTCTATATACAGTATCACTTTTTCTAGTGTTTATGTATGTTATAGTTGTATGTTATGTTATATATTGTAGGCTGTGTACTCTGATTACAATTAATATAACAACCTTTAACATGTTAACTATTAATAAGCTTACAATATCCTTATGATTTCATTGCTTTTTGATTTACAAACACAATTCAATGTCGTTCAATTGTATGCTTTGGATATTACTGTACCTATTCCCTTAATGTGTTTAAGAAAAAATGATCACCCTATATTCAGATATTGCAATATTGTTAAGTTCTATATAACATTAACTATTATTATTATGTTGTTAGTAATGAAAATGGATCATATATAGCGGTGCATGTATTTGTAAACAGTTCTCATAAACATTTGTGACGAGTTAATCATTGTATTTTTCATGAATTAATTGTTTGAAATGCAACTTCATTTAATCAAATTTAAAGTGCAATTTGTTTGATTATAACTTTGTGTAAAGTGATTGAATATTAGAGCATTTTGTTAAACATAAAATAATAACTTATAACATTGAACTTATAGAAACCCATAATTTTATTGGTGAAGCAGTTGGGCTACCAATCAGTTTGTAGGTTTCCTTGGTGCTGCATAATAGGTAGTCAGGACCAATCAGATTACAGATATCCTTGAAGCAGCATAATAGGTAGTCATCTTTGGACCAATCAGATTACAGATATCCTTGAAGCAGCATAATAGGTAGTCATCTGTGGACCAATCAGATTACAGATATCCTTGAAGCAGCATAATAGGTAGTCATCTGTGGACCAATCAGGTTACAGATATCCTTGAAGCAGCATAATAGGTAGTCATCTGTGGACCAATCAGATTACAGATATCCTTGAAGCAGCATAATAGGTAGTCATCTGTGGACCAATCAGATTACAGATATCTTTGATGCTGCATAATAGGTAGTCATCTGTGGACCAATCAGATTACAGATATCCTTGTTGCTGCATAATAGGAAGTCATCTGTGGACCAATCAGATTACAGATATCCTTGAAGTACCATAATAGGTAGTCATCTAATCAGATTACAGATATCCTTGTTGATGCATAATTGAAGCACCATAATAGGTAGTCATCTAATCAGATTGACCAATCAGATTATAGATATCCTTGTTGATGCATAATAGATAGTCATCTGTGGACCAATAAGATTACAGATATGCATGATGTGGCATAAAACCACCTATCATATTCCAGATACCCTCGATGCAGCATAAAGCGTAGCCATCTGTGAATCAATCAGATTATAGACCTAGATACACTTTATCTATAAGTTACATGTTATAGGTGTCAATTTATGTATAGCAAAAAGAAAAATTCACTGAATATGCTACCCCATATTTCAGTTAACAAAGGTAACAGAGAAGGTAGGTCTCTAACTTGCCTCCCAAACTCTCATATTTAATATATGAGAAATATTTAATGTTTTCATGCATGGATTTTCTTATGGCAAGAATCATTTTACCCATGCTTTATTTTAACTTTTTTATATCCACAATACAGGAAAGGGAACCATTATCCAAAAGTGATACTTTTGATAGAAGTGTAAATATTCAGAAGGATGACATTACTTTGGGTTGTATGTTAGACTGCATTGGCAATTTTCTTAAGTTTACTTTATTTTGTATTTGACATCATTTATTCTATCCAATTCGGTTTTATGAATTATAATTATAACCTATAGCAACTTCATTTTATATTTGCCTTTGTCTTCAATTGCAAGCCTTTACTAGATGTGGAAGTCAGTCTCAATTGTCATAATCTTCTGGCACTAATTTTTCCATTCATTCATTATTCATTATTTGTGGATTTTTAGTTCCAAAACTATTTCATACAATGTCAAAATGACTTGAGTAGCACTTATTTATTTGGCTTATTCCAATTTAGATGTGTATGCATGATTTTAAATAAGATAAGATTTTTATAAAATTTTATAATTGAAAGTAATCTTATATTATATTTTTGATCGACTAATATCAGTTCAATTCCTGATTACATAAAAACATGTCATTTACTTAATACATACACTAAAACATGTCTGATTCACCCAAGAAAAAATATTTGTGAAAACTAAAACGGGAAATTTTTACATTTGTGAGGATAATACTACTTCCCCCAAAATGTTCAAATTTCGTTTTAGTATCACACCCCTCAATTATTATTTCCACCTATCACATTGTTACAACTTCATGGCCCAACTTGCATAGCAGACCTCCTTGCATCAAAAAATTAGTGCTTTCAGTAGAAAAGCAATCCTATCATTTATATCATAATGTTAAACCCAAATTTTAGTTTGATTTGACGCATAATTATTTTACACTGTATATTGTATGTATACTTTTCAGGATACAAGTACATCTCATGCATTTTTAAAATTATGGTGCTATATCTTGGTAAAACCTTCTAAATTGAAGACTGCCTCTCACAATTAGAGATAAACACCTTATAAGTTTTCTGAGTCCGTGTTGAATCAAATGGAGAAAAAATGTTAAATGTCCACTTGTTATGATGTTTACTTTACAGAGGTTTTACTGGAGTGTAATACTATGTTTACTGTAGTGTAATACTATGTTTACTGTAGTGTAATACTATCTTGTCTGAAATGTAACTCAAATACATGTAACTGTTCATTTGTTACTATATTAAACATGATTTGGAACAAAGGAATGTTATCCTGATCAGTCAGTATGTATGTCATACATAAAGACACATGTCTTGCTATATAATGAATATGTGTCCTACAAACTGACACATGTGTGATGAATATGTTATATGTATACCCAAATGTTTCTAACACAGAAATATATGTGTCATATACACTGATATGTTTGTCCTATATTTACAGGGTGAGGCACTAAGACAGAGCCTGTTGACAAGGTACTATGGTAAAGAGCACCCCCGAGCACATAGGGACAGTATACATGAGGCCCCAGGCCCGGCCAAATCATCACATACCAGTGGGGGACCCGGCTCAGTCATGTTGAGTAGAGCAGAGATGACACTTTCTGCAGTGCAGGTAAGGGCAGGGGTTACATATTATCAATAAAATATAAACCTGATTTTTATCGCTTAAAGTTTTATTTAATGCTTTTCTAGTGACTAGAAGTGAAGTTAGTGTAATATTTCATCTTAAGTGTAAATACATGTGTGTAAAAAATAGATGGTTGGAATGATAATGGATTGCTTATGTACATGTACTTGAAATTAGTAATCTTGTTCCTGCCAATGAAGGCTATGATACTTTATGGTCAGCAGCTGGCCCGTAGCCAGGATTTGCCAAGGGTGTTCACTTTTTTAGAAAATTTCAGGGGGGTTCACTTTTGACAATTTTTGAAAAAATTTTGGAGGGGGGGTCCATCGAACCACCCCCCCCCCTGGCTATGGACCTGAGCAGTAATTCAATACACATATGCTACTAGGAGACTTGACCAGCAGTACTCCAATATGTAGTATGCCACCAAGAGACTTGACGTTAGAAGAATTATGAACTGTTTATTTTCAGTGTCATTTAGACAAAGAAGGGGCTTCAGACCTTGTTGTTGATTTGATTATCAATAACCATAGCAACCGCATCTTCCTGGAGACTGTTGAACTAGGAATTGCTCTTTTAGAGGGTGGCAACAGTGTGATTCAAGTAAGTTATTTCTTGTAGGTATATATGGACATTATTTCATTGTTCATATGGAAGATATGATTCAGATGTTTTGGTAACCTCAATATAGTGTCTTTCTCTTGCACATTCTGTCTGTTTACAAAACTATTTTATTATATCACTTCCAAGGAGTATTTACTATGTTTATATAGCCTTCATTTTTGTAAATGTTGGTAAGTTTTTGCAGTGTAAGCAGATTGTAACAAATTGTTATATTTTTGTAACCATATACCATCACTGACTAGATGGTCGCATGTTAATGCTTTATTGTGATAAACATGATGTTTTTGTATAAATTGTTCATTTTTATTTATTTCTGACTTGTAGAAATCATTCTTTGTTCGTGTTACCATGGACAAGAACTCGGAGAAGTTCTTTAAAGTGTTCTTTGACCGCATGAGGGCAGCCCAGGCAGAGATTAAAGCGACTGTAACAGTGAACACCAGTGACCAGTTCCAGGTATAAACTTTTAGTATTTATGTCACACAAGTGGTGATATTTTTATGTCACACAAGTGGTGACATATTTATGCCATACAAGTGGTGACATATTGTTATTAATTCCACGATTACGAGTTTTGAAAATCACACCATAATCTAATTGCATTTCCCAGGAAAGTTGTACATGTATTCATGGAATTAAATGATGGCATATCTCCTTCCAGTTTTGTTCTTGACATAGCTCTGGATTTTACATGGGAACATTATTTTACAAAAAGTCACATCATTATAGATATGTAAAACACCATAAGGCATATATTAAATATTATTTCAGAAAAATGTCATCATGATAATACTAGACTTACATAAGGCATATATTAAAATCATATTTTAATACTTCTTTAGGTGGGTAAGAAACACTTGGAAGGACATGGGCATGGGCATCAACATGGCCATGGACACCACAAAGAGGAACATGCACACAAGAGTAAGAACAACTTGGTTTTTGATGATATTCATGTTATACTTTAACATTCATAATTCCTTAACAAACTGATTTCCCATTCCCATTATATTTCTATCTCTGTCTGAATTTCATTTGTTACAGCATTAAAACAAGGAATTTTCATTTAATTGTGAAGTGTGACACCTACTCTTGGCTTATGAGGGTGACATATGGATGGATCGGCAAAGGGGTTTAAATATCAAGATTTATTTTTTACAATGTTTGTGGCTTTTTGAATATGCCCTTTTGATTCCATAGTCCATGAAACTTTCTTGATTTTATCATTTAGATGGTAAGCCAAATGGTGTCTTAGTCAACAATGAACTTAAGGAACAAATGGACGAAGCCTCTGACACCACTGGGAAAGCTCTCGCAAATGTACGTCACAGCCGTGGTGGTTCAGTAGGTGCTGACGACCAAGCTCAACACCAAGTGATGTCTATTGATGATATGATCGCTGACAAGAACAAGGAGAAAGATGATGAGAAACCAACAATGTCACCAGAGATAGCAATGATGCAACCAATACTGAGGTTTCTGCAGTTATTGTGTGAGAACCATAACAGAGATTTACAGGTACAACTTTTATCCAACAATTTTTATCGGACTTGGAAAAAGTGTTATGTTGTTATTGTCTTGTTTATTGTGCAGATTTGTGTACATCTGGGCGGGGAGCACATAAATTTGTCATCAAAATTCCAGTGTAATATATATCACTGTGTGTATTTTCGTTTGTTTTTGAATTGTTCATTTTTACTGCATCGTTGGCTGCTATTTTATTTGAAACAAATCTTGTTTTAAATATGTGATTAGTCTGTTCATTGAATTTCAAATGTTTTTAATTGATCAGTCTGATGCAAAGGTACATAATATTTAGCCAGATCCATATGGGACTGAAACTCCTATTCCTTTGGTAACATGTCGAATGTTCTACAAACAAAGAGACATCAAGAAAATGTCATCAACCTCATTTCAACTGTATTTATGTTTTGTAGAACTTTCTGAGAAACCAGCAGCAGAAGAATTCATTTAACCTTGTATGTGAAACGCTGCAGTTCCTTGATTGTATTTGTGGCAGCACCACTGGGGGCCTTGGACTCCTTGGCCTTTACATCAATGAAGGCAATGTGGCCCTCATCAACCAAACCTTGGAGAGTCTCACTGAATATTGTCAGGTATGATTTGTACACCGGCATTGAAGTCTTTCTCCATAGTTTTTCTTCCATTATCAATTTTCTATCCACAATTCCACTTAACGCTTTTATAGTCATAAGTTTGTTCTTGGAAAAATTCAACATTATAATGAGTCGATGAATTCTGATGTGCAATTTGTTGTGGTGACACGAATGATCTCAATGGACATTGAAACTGTGTTCGACTCTTTTAATGTAATACCCTTTGTAGAGTTCAATTTCACATCTCTTAAATAGAGCTTCGTCTATACTCAAATTAGTAAAAGTAACCATTTCCTCGAGCCTTTCCAGTCAGTAGCCTTAGAATATTGGTTTTGCAGAAATTAGAGTTAAAGACATCTGATTGGTCAATTACCAATATATTCAAAGCTTACATTTATTTTACATTGAAATTCCAATAGATTCTTTAATAATTTCTTTCATGAGATTTTATACAAAGATTTTATCAATATCAAAAACTAAAGATTAATTTTGATCGTTATAGTGAAGTATACATGTATGTATTTCTTGAATGAATAGGGTATGTGTTCAGCCACCCTCTGAACACAGGCCTCCTGAGCTCATACCTCGAGGAAGAAAGGAGCTTAGTGAATGATGTATTTGGAGGAAAGTGTTCAGTTGTGCATGTTTATCTTTATATTTCAGGGACCCTGTCATGAGAACCAGAATGCTATAGCAACACATGAGAGCAATGGGATTGACATCATTATTGCTCTCATCCTCAATGATATTAACCCTCTTGGCAAACAGAGGATGGACCTAGTGCTGGAACTCAAGGTAAATTGAAGTGAAAATGAATTAAGTCAAAAACATTTCTAGAAACTTTTGTTTTGTGCAACATGAATGCCTTTCCAACTATGGGCAAAGATTGACACCCCTGCTTCATGCACTGATCTTTAAGATTGAACTAAACACATATTTTGTTCCATAGGTGACCCCATTACTAGAATATGATCTAAGTAAGTGTTGTTTTTTCTTCAGAATAATGCCTCTAAGTTACTGCTAGCCATCATGGAGAGTAGACACGACAGTGAGAATGCTGAGAGGATCCTTTACAACATGAGTCCTAAACAATTGGTAGGCTGCCCTTTCTTTCATTCTCTCCCTCCTTGCTCCTCCCTAGACACATACATTTGCTATACCAATTGGGTTTTCTTACGAAGGGAACTATTGACCTGGAGGTGAACAACATGTTTGAAGCAAACAATGTTAAAACTATATTAGTCCTGTATTGTTTTTACATTGTTCCTTATTGCTATGGTGATAGGGTCACACATGTGCGCCATCTGTTGAGTCAATGATTTCTTTATTGTCAGGGTATGAACGTGATGATCATATCTATTATGATTTTTTTGAGTGAATTTTGAAATTGAAAACTTGGAACCCTTGAAAATGTTTATGCATGCTGTGTTCCCATGACAACATACAGCACTGCATATGTTCACGCCATATTAGGAAAACAGTTTGAGATGTGTTTGAATAATAACTTTTACCTGAAAATTGGAAATATCATTTAATTATTGGACAGTGTTGATATCATATTTCAGATTCATACATTTAAAATGATAACATTTTCAAAAAAGCGTGTTTGACGACTGTTTTTAGCATATAACCCAGACATTTAAACTGCATGACTTACAATGATACTGGTTGATGAGATGTTTCCTTCAGTCTAAAACACAGGCACAAGAAACAGCCTCAGTTTGAGGCAATTTCTCGATAGTTGTAAATGCTTTCTTGGGGCTGTGAACCAGGCTTTCTCCTTTCTTTCCTCCACTTTCATAACATCATATTAAAAGACTGCAAGCCGGAGTAACTATGAAGCTGAATTCTTGCTCTTAATGAAACAAACATCCATGTTTTTATCATATTTCAAGTAATTTATTGTGCAGATCAAGTTTGCACATGAATCATGAATCAGTGTACATTAACTCATGCATGCACATGTACAATTCATATATTAATGTACATTTAAAATATACACACTTTTGCATTTTTGTACACAAACCATGCAGTAGTGTACATAAACCATGTTATGTTTTGTCCACTAGGTCGTTGCTATGAGAGATGTCTTTAAACAGGCTGTCGATGACGGTTACATTCCTGAACTACAGGTTGCGCCATCTATGTTTCATTCTTGTTCATTCTCGTACTAGATAGAATTACAGGGTGGTCCACAATTCTCATAGAATACATTGTGATCTATGAACTTTTTTGCAATGTTGGGACTAATAACTGCATGAGATTTTAATTTACACCAATTGTTGGGACCACCCTGTATTGCATAGTGCTCAATGAAAGAATTGTACCATGTAGGGTATTGGGATCCTTTTGTTTACATCGTATCTAAAATAAAACTAGATATTTTTGGTTCAGTTTATAATTTTGCACAGTGTGATCAGCTAACATTTTAACAAGTTAGGGATATATATTTAGGAATATCATTCATGTTTCATTGCCTGTCACCCCAAACAGTCTTTAAACCAATCATACAAGTGGTCCAAAATTGACCATCACGTGTGTTGTGCACTCCAAAATTAACCTCTATATGTGCTGTGATAAGAAGTGTTTTGGACACCTTGTATGTTGAATTCCTTTGTTGCACATTTGACCAGGTAACATGGTAGTATTATTGGAATATGTTACACATAATAGCTCATTGTCTTGATCCCCTACCCTGCATGGTGGAGTTCATGTATATTTAAGGCCAAAAGACTGATTTGTTTGTTAGGACCAGAAGACGCCAAGCGTAGAATGAGGATCTGTTGGCCTCACTGTTTTGTCCTTAAACCAAAATCTAAAATATCTACAGTTATTAAAATTTAATCAAATATTGTCACACCAGATGATATAATCCTGTGGAAGGCAGCTTTAGGAATTTCAGATCAAAATAGATAAGACTGTGGTATTTCTGAGGGGACATTACAGTACAAGTTTAAATCAATCTTATTCACTTGCTATAGTCCAATCAAATTTGTACTGTTATACCTTATAGGACTGTTGTATACAAGGGTTATTTAATGGGAGGTTTTAGATATAGGATTTATCATGAGAGAAATACATACATGGAGGATAAACCTTATATCAAACCCCTACCATTATATAACTGATTTATCCCATACGTATACGAGTTAATTATCATCAAACAGAAAAGTTCCTAGCAGGGCAAATATAAATTATCTTCTGGAATTGAGAAAGGGAAATAAATGTATATTCCCCTCCATCTTCATGAATTCTAGCTACGTATGGGATAAATATTTGACCTATCTAATGATCCTTATTGTTACACAGGTGTACTGTGTAAGTTGTGACATACATGTACTGTATAAGTTGTGACATTAAATGTACTTTATAAGTTGTGACATTCACATTCAATGTACTGTGTAAGTTGTGACATACATGTTCTGTATAAGTTGTGACATTCACATTCAATGTACTGTGTAAGTTGTGACATACATGTTGTATAAGCTGTGACATTAAATGTACTGTATAAGTTGTGACATTCACATTCAATGTACTGTGTAAGTTGTGACATACATGTACTGAATAAGTTGTGACATTCAATGTACTGTAGAAGTTGCGACATTCAATGTACTGTAGAAGTTTTATCATCCAATGTACCTTGTACTGTATAATACATGTATGAATGATTTTTGTAGGACTGTACTGTGAGCTACTATTGCATGTATTTGTGGTGTTTCAAAGATAAGTGTTACAATGTACTGAGTCTCTCTCCAGTTACTTGACTTTGTCTTTATGGACATGTTAACAAATTTCTCATGGAAAAGTATCAATGAAAAGTCTACCATTTCACTGGATCAAGGCTGTTCTTTTGAGTTTGAACACTGGTCAATCTATCTCGTGCGTGACTGTCCATAAGCAATGGTGTCACATTTTTGATCATGTGGATCAATCAACTAACCTCTTAATTTCCAAATGTTTATTGGCTCCATCATTTTGTTTTAAAAAAATCATGTAACATAGATAGTACCAAAGGTTGTTAACAATCAATGTTACACTTATGGGAAAAGCATATTTGTCAAGAACCCATAGAACTATTTTATTTGTTTTATGTTTCAGTTGTCTTTATGTTATTGTCAATATGTTGTTTTCTACTTACACAGGAAAACACCATGTCACATAAACTTGATGAGGCAAACATTCTGTTTTTATGTCACCACCAAAGGTTGTGACATATTGTTATCGTCTACAACTTTTTGGAGGAAAGTGTTCGCTGGTTGGTGTTCTATGGTCAGCATTCGCCTCTAGGTTGTCTGCGTCTGCCATATGTAGCAAACATTTTGCATGTTAATGCCTTGTTTGTATGATGTGTTGTCAATGTGTTGTTGCAATCCCAGTTAGACAAAATATCAATGTTTAAATTATAGGTAGTCTGTTCAATGTTTGTGTTAGCTCAATTTTGTGTCATCTTTATGTTTATAGCAACATGTATGAATATTACCTCATTGATATACAATTATTATTTAGCCTGCTCTATCAGTTCCTATTAGATACATTTTGTTCCTCTTTGTAATAGTCTAGCTATATTGCTTTCTCAGTTTCATGATAGATAAATATATTTTAAGTATTAAAAAACAGATAGATATAGATAAACAGATGTTTATAATTGTATAGGCTATGTACTAATAAATAGTAAGACTCACTAAAGCTTTAACTAACATAAAAGTTTAATTATTGAAGATATTTTTATTACATTAATTCTAACAGGCTTTTCAAATGTAGATCAGTAGTTTTGAAATATACCAAGTAAATGTACTGTATATCAAAAAGAGATGATTTCTTTAGAATTGAAAAAATAGGATTATGACCCAATTTTTCAAATTTCTGAACATTTCATCTCTGTTATTGTTCCAATTAATAAATGCACGTTTTCCTTTTGTTTTGTCCAATCTGTGATGTCCATTGAACATGTAAGTCTGAGTTGATACAATTCCATCAATATATGTTTTTGCTGGTTATGTCAGGTTATGTTTTACATTACATGTATATTACTATATTAGGCTGTATCATACAGGGTGGGCCAAAAAAACAATACCCGAGTTTCAGGATGGATATCATATGATAAATGTAAAATCATGCCATGTATTATATATAATTTTAAAGATAAATCATTTTCTAACAATTTGACACCATTCAATTGAAAACAGTTGTTTTCTTGTGGACTGAGACGCCAATATTAACATTAGGGGTGTCATGAATCATTCATCTTTAAATTTGGGGATTGGTTTTTGGCCCACCCTGTAGTAGTACCGGGGAGAATTAGGTTGTTAGATCTTCAGAGTCTTTTCTTTTGCAATTAACATTTTGGGTTTGAATTTGAGAGGAAAATGTATTAAATGGGTTATACATGATTAAAAGGTATCAATGATTAAATGATCCACTTCTAATATGTGCACTCTACCCTTGTGTTTTTGTAATATAAATCTATTACATAATAGACTTAAGAAGGGTAAAGAAAGTAAAATGTCTAATTTTTATTTTTTGGAGCTGTAGTATTATGTTAATTTAATGCACAGTTCTTCAATTAAGCCAATCATCGATTCAAGAGTTGCCCAAGTAGTGCAATTTGCACAATATATACAGTGAAACCTGTAAAGTGGAACATCTCTAGAAGTGGAACACTTTTCTGAGTCTCAAAACCAATTGACTTAATGACCTCAATAAGTAGATCACCTTCCAAGTGGAACATAATTTAGAGGTACCAAAGATGTTCAACTTAAACAGGTTTTACTGTATAATATATGTATGTACAATACATACATATTTATTCACATCTTACTATATTATTTACTGATCATGCAAAATAAAAACTTATGACAGTGTTCTCCCCATGATATTTTTAGTAGGTTCAAAATTGTGATGTCACAATTCTGAACAAAATATGTCAATATATTTACATGATTTTCCTCATTTTTAATGTGAAATAATGTAAATTCAAATTGGATGCTAGCCTATTTTTGAATGTTAAGAAGATACTACCTGCTTGTTTCAATCCTGGGGAGACTACTGAAATGAATACCAGTAGTTTCAGCTATATAGGTGACGATTAAAGAAAGAAAATTGAAATTAAATAAAGAAATTTGATGAAGATGGAAAACATACCACAGACCACTAGAGTTATGTAAATAACAGCTTATTGATGGATATATTTGCATTTTAGAGAAAATATCACAATGAAAGCATATTCATATGTTGCTGAAATTGAAGATTTCTAAAATCTACAGTTAGGTTGTTACATTATGGTGGAGACCAACAGGGTATTGGTAAATTGTATTCCAATGTATTCACTGAAGTGCCATCTTTATTTCTTCTACTCCACTTCTTTCATATACTAATATATGCAACATGTTGGCCATACCTTTAAGATAGTGTATGATTTTTCAAATTATAGGTCGATGTCTGCAAACAGGCCTTCTACCAGGACAACAGTGATGAGGCAGAGATCGATGATGAAGACGAAGAGGATGAAGAGGAGGGTGCATCTCCAAAAGATGTTGGTCATAATATCTATATTCTCGCTCATCAGTTGGCCCAACATAACCAAGACCTGGCTGAGCTGTTGAAGCCTGGCAATGGTGATGCTACAGGGGACCAAGCTTTAGAATACTATGCAAAACACACTGCTCAGATTGAAGTAAGAATTATGATTATTTATCAATGATTTTTGCAGCCATTATTACCACATATTGACAATTAGCCACATTAATGTCTTATGATAAAGTTGCAATATACTTACACACTAATGGCAACTAAATTAATTGATCAAAGATTCATTGATAACATGTAAATACAAAACTCATACCCAGATATGTGTTTGTGACTTTAGATTGTTCGACATGATCGTACGATGGAACAGATAGTGTTTCCTATCCCAGAGATCTGTGAGTACCTGACAGAGGAGACGAAGACCAAACTCTACGTCACTGCAGAACGAGATGACCAAGGGAGTAAGGTCACAGACTTCTTCGAACAAGTGGATGATTTATTTGCTGAAATGAAATGGCAGAAAAAGCTAAGAGGTATGGATGTACATGAAACATGTCGAGCTAATTGTGTGTGTAAATGTGTGTATGAATGCTACCTCTGTGGGAACAACATTTTTGGGGTTGTCCAGTTGGCCGAGCCATCCAGAGCACTGAACATGCTGGGCTAGGCTCTGTTGCCTTAACCATGAGGTCATGAGTTTGAGATGCGTGAGCTCTATGCATTTATTCATCCATTTTGTGATTAATTACTCCATAATTCAATTTAGAATAGAATGGGTATGTAAATCGAGCAATTGAAATTGAGAATGGTCTTTATATTCCAGCAAGCCCAGTGCTATTCTGGTTTAGCAGTCACATGTTCCTGTGGAGCAGTATTACTTTTAACCTTGCGGTGCTTGTCAACCTTATCGTGGCCTTCTTCTACCCCTTTGATGAGAATAAAACAGGTAGGTTCACCCTTTACTTCAACCCTCATCCTTCCCCACCCCTAAACATTATGCAAGACTTTGAAATATTAGGAATATTCAAAGGGTTTGTGGAGCTGTTGATCTCTGGATTTATGGATCTGCATTGTTAAAGGATGACTGAATTAATAGAATTGTGATTTTGCTTCTGTTAACATAAACATTCTGCAAGATACATTTTTCACACTTTTACAATGCACATGTACAGTAAATTTTATACATCCAAACACCTCTCTAATAACCCAGATGCGAGTAAAAATAATCTTGATTTACGTCATTAAAAATTCAAAATTCAGTCAAAGTAATATCATATTAGAAATGTGGTTTTAAAAAGTTTTTATCAACTTTGAAAAATTAATTTTCTTTGAAAATGTGACTTCTAGCTCGGGGAGATTCCTCATAGACCCAATGCTATAAAATCACAAAAAATGAAATATCTTTTCTTTTAGTGGACAGATAATATTTTGCTTTACTGGACATATTTTCATTAGTATAAGTATTAGGCACATAAGGGTTATATGAAAATTGAGCCACTTAAATTGATAATATTCAAGTTTAAGGAAACTTTCTTATATACCTGCCATGTTAATTGACCCGAATCAGCCACCTGGTGGTGAAACTGGTAACTACCTACTCGCATTTGGGTAATTGCAACACCTCTCAATGTGAACACTATTTTCAGGTCCCAATTTTCCATTGATTCCCATGTTATAACTTTGAAATGTGAACACCAGTTCCAGTATTACTATATGTTCAGATTAGACATGTTTTACTGTATTTAGATAAGCTAAGCGTCATCTTCTGGACAATTCTCTCAAGTACATATATAATCTCTTATTTCAGAAATCAGCCCCAGGCTGTCTCTGTTAATCTGGACATCTATGTTGGTGTCCCTAGCCATTGTGATTACCCTCCCCCGACCCTCAGGGATCTGGACTCTAACTGCTTGTATAATACTCCGGATGATATTCTCTATAGGGGTGGAACCAACCCTATGGATCATAGGCATACTCAATGTAAGTATGAGTTACACTAAATGTACCTCATATAATGGGCCTACTAATAGTAGTCTTAACTTAGGGTGTATTGAACAAACAACATGGAGTAAGTTAGTTGCAAACTAAACATCTTTGGTTTTCACCTACATTTTACAAAAATACTCAGTGACACAAAACTCAGCGGTGGTTGTTGAATTTTCAAACTCAAGTTTATTCAAATATAGATATATTTTCTAATGTACAGGGTGATCCAGAAGTAATGATCAAAGGTGCAACAAAGACTGTAGAGAGAAAATTTGAAATTGTTTATGTTTTCTGAGCTATCAGGTCAATATTTGACTTAACACCTTCTTTGACATACCTATTTTCTTGAAATGTATGTATAAACTATCAATTTCAGCATTAAAAAGTGTAAATTCAGTTCAAAGCTTTTATAAAGGGAGTCCCACTTACTAGTATATATTTTAAGATCCACCACGTTTCAAGAGGAATATCAGCTAAAATAATGTTCATCCAGGTGGTTTCTTTGTAGATAATAAAAATATATGTTAGTCTTGATGAAATATTTTTTGACACTGGTCGATGATCGTTGAATGGCCCCCCTGCACCAATTGTTGCACCTTTAATATCTAAGAATGAAGTTTCTTCTATTTGATTGGTTTATTTCATGGCTACTATAATAGCACTTCTGTGTTTTCTTTTTTCCAGATAACCAATAAAACAGTGTATCTCATCAGTCTGATGGGCAACAGAGGCACATTTACAAAGTCTTTCATGGCCATATTGACTGACTTTGAGTTCATGTACCACTCCATGTATTACTTAGGTCTGTGTATTTGTGCCATGTTTATACATGAGTTCTTCTATAGCTTACTGGTAAGTATGTAGGTATAGTGTACTGAAGGGGAGGGATGTTTTCAGGGGGGAGCTACTGATTATACTGGTATGAATACTGTAAAATATCAAGGCAGTAAAATGTAGTGAAATTAAGAAGTATATTGCAATGGAAAAATTAACGTTTAGGACGTCATTCCTGGGGATGAATGTAATTTGAAAACAAAAATTGATCTATGTATGTAAAAGACAAACAATTGATAAAAAGTCTTTAGACATACATGTAATATTAATTACTCAATGCATTTATTTATAATTATTCATTAAAATTTATCAATTGCATTATACTTTTAATTCAAATGAAGATTGAATTAACTTTTTGCTTTTATGCATTTAGATCAGGAAGACACTATTGCTCAATAAATTATTTGCTTTCAGCTGCTGGACATAGTTTACCAGGAAGAAACTCTGCTCAATGTGATCAAGTCAGTGACTCGCAACAGTCGCTCCCTCCTCCTCACAGCCGTCCTGGCTGTCATCATCATTTACATCTTCAGCATCATTGGCTTCATCTTCTTCAAGGAGGACTTTCAGATGGAGGTCGACATTCTCGAATCTACAGGCATTGATAAAAGTAAACCAAATTTCAAATATTCTAATATGTTTGTGAGGATATTCTTCAAATAGAGAATAAATATCATTAAGGAACCTCTTAACAACCAAATACTTAGTCTAGCTACAGGCACTTGTGAGGCCTCCTCTAACTACAACTGTGTTGAGTAAGTAAACTAGTTGAGGGGGTCCACAGTCTTGAAGCAAGACTACCAAATATGTTTGTTTTGTCACCTTCCTTTGATTTGATTTGATGTAAATTAAAGCCCCAATGTATAGATATGGCGCATGCTACCTTGACACAATTATCCCCCATTTCACACCTTGCATATGTTAAACATTTGCAGATGTTGTTGAAGCAGCTACAACTGTTGCAGCAACAGCTGGTGCTACAGCAGGGACATGTATGGCCAACAAATCATGCCCTCCATCAAAACCCACTGGTCCTGAGGTGCCAGAAAAGAACCATAGTGATACATTACAAGATGCAGTAAATAAAACAGGTGCGTATGATTGATTCAAATTAAGGAATATTTTGGTATTTTCTTTTAATCCCATAAGCAAAATTAATGAAACCAACTTCAAAACCCATATTTGAAAAATGTATTAAGTATTTTCATTTGAAAATCTCTCCAAGAAAAAACCTAATGTATCATACCTGATCAAAAGAGTTAATTTTAATCACACTTGTGAAGTGTTACTTTACTTAATGTGCCGTCAGAGTTAAGGCAGCCCAACAAGAAATTTTGTAATCAAGATCGTTTATCCATTTAACATGAGATCTTAACAGGTGCAAAAGCAGACTTAAATTTGATAAGGTTTTAGGCGTGCTATTTGTGTCTTGTTGTTTTAGAAAAAATCATCTCTGACTTAGCAGCCCATGATGATGACCCTGAGAAAGAGGACCATTGCAGTACACTTATCATGTGTATCCTCACATCTCTTAATGAAGGACTCAGGAATGGAGGCGGGATTGGAGATATCCTGAGGAAACCTAGTGTCGATGTACGAATAATTTTTGCTTCTCGTAAAAACATCCTCGAATCTTATATTTTGTTTTGATCCAAGTACAATTGTGATTTTTTTCAACACTAAGAATTCATCACATCGTTTCACAACACATATTATAAAATAGGGAATAGAACTTGAACAAAATCTAATTTACATTTTTCAAGATTAATGAGAGGGTATTTTGCTCACACAGTGATTCTATGGGATCGACTAGGTGTCGGTCCTTTATTTATATGTTTAAATTCTTTATTTCTAGGAGTCCTTGTTCATGGCACGTGTTGTGTATGATCTCCTCTTCTTCTTCATTGTTATTATTATCATCCTGAACCTCATCTTTGGTGTCATCATCGACACATTTGCTGACCTTAGGAGTGAAAAACAACAGAAAGAAGAAATATTAAAAAATACTTGTTTCATATGTGGTAGGTTATTGTTCTGTTTTCCATTGGTTTGTGTGTGGTTTTGTCTTTAAATCCTCTGGGTATTTAAATACTGCCATATTGCATCTAACAATGTCAACTTGAAATTATTTTTAATAAAAAAGTCTTCATATTATGACTTAAATCAAAACTAATTGTAATATTTTATCCCCACTCACATCTCAACTGAATATAAAAGAACTTTATATAATTATTACCCTTTGGCTTATACAAGAATTGATACATATCTATCCCCGATTTTAAACTGACAATTATAACTTGTAATATTATATTAGTATAAATATCTACAAAACACTCATGTATGTTCAAATACATACTAAATGAAACGTTTATTCTTTTCCAGGCTTAGACAGAGGTTCGTTTGACAACAAATCAGTGTCATTTGAAGAGCACATTCGCACTGAGCATAATATGTGGCACTACTTATATTTTATTGTGTTGGTCAAAGTGAAGGATCCAACTGAGTTCACAGGGCCAGAGAGCTATGTGTATGCTATGGTGAATGTAAGTAGAAAAGCATTAACACCAAGTGTCCTTGCTAAAGTTTTGACAATGATTCATTTGTTAGCTCATTGTCAAATGACTTGCAGCCCATCTGTATTGAGTGTGTTTTTTGTTACTCCTTACAGAATGGAATAAGAACTTTTTGAGCATTATATTAAATAGGTCATAATGGTTCAGTTTGCAGTATTAGATTTTGCTATAACATGAGACAGTAAGATTATTTCAATATGATATGCTAAGTTGCAAAACTAAACTGAGCCAAATGATAACACCTAATTAAACATTTACATACTCAATCCATTCAATTAACCGTTATACTATTTTTAGAATAAAAACCTTGACTGGTTCCCACGCATGCGTGCAATGTCCCTAGCAGCAGATGACGGTGAGGGTGAGCAGAATGAATTGAGGAACTTCCAGGCCCAGCTAGAGAGCACAAACAAACTCGTCTTAACTCTCTCAGGGCAACTCTCAGAACTCAAAGACCAGGTGGGTAAATACATGTGAAGGATTGTGGTTGTCATTTGACTAATGAGGTATCTGGTTGTCATTTGACTAATGAGGTATCTGGTTGTCATTTGACTAATGAGGTATCTGGTTGTCATTTGACTCATGCCTGGGTCACTTTTGCTCCGATTCATCAGCCAGTGTCCAGCCAATTGAGTATTTTGTCAAAAATTGTATTTGGGCGCTGGCCAACAAATCAGAGCAAATGTGACTCAGGCATTTCTAGTATGTATAAAAATAGGAGTGGACTGAGAACTCCATTTGACTATTTGTAATTCAGTGATTTGTCATCAGTCATTTTATTGGACAGATACTGACCACATATATATTTTCCTATTTTATTATCTTTTATCAATCAAATAGAACTCATCATTTTAAAAGAATATTAAATCTTCTGTTATGAATCTTCGTTTCACTTTTTGTTTTTAAAGTTTGAACAGCATAAAGTGATGAATTGTAGTATTAATTGACTAAATGTACTTTCAATATATGTATAACAATTGGTTTAGTTGGGTTTTCCTGCTTGCAATTTTTTGATTATTGTTGCTTTTATCATTTTAATTGTGTCGCATGTTTAAGGGTATGCTAAATTACTTAATAAAAGGGACTTGTTTTTAAAAGTAGGAACACATGTTAAAGTGTAATAAAATGAAAGAGTTGTTTTATAATATATAACTTTTGGAGTGTTACTTAATAACCAATCACATTTCAGATATCAAAATGCTATATATTGTAATTAATCGGCTTGTGAAAGTGAAAATTCAAATAATTACACTATTTTTCTTTTAAAAATTGACTGTACATGAAAAATATATCTCAAAATCATTTCCCTTTTATGAATAAGTCCTTGTAGAAGGTGCATGCTATTTAAAGGTTGTATCCAATATTGAAATTTTTTTCTTTTCTTGCCTTTTTGGACATAACTTACATTTAAAGGCAGAATCAGGTATAATGAGCAACATTTCTATATATTTGACTCTACCTTTACTAAAGGGGTAGTATGCCAATATGAAATGCAGATTTGTGGAAAAAGTCATCCAAATTTTCAAGAGCCTTTAGATGTGAAAATTTCAAACTGAGATACAACCTTTGGGCATGGTAATGCATGAGTTTTCCTTTATATGTTCCTATGTTGAATCCTAGATGGTTGCAGAAATGAGACAGAAGCAACGGTTGAGAATCTTACCCCTGGACTTTTCAAAACCAGTTGATGAAAGCATAGATATGATTCAAAAGAGACGGTTTAGCTTAAAATAGTTATGTGAACACCTTTTGTACTCATTGAAAGTGTTCACATTCTAAAGCCCCATTTACACTGACCAGTCTTTTTGTAGCGGTTTTCATCAGACTTCACTGGACTCCATTGGATTTTTTAAAAAAAGACTGATCAAGACTAGCTGAAGTCCAACCTAAGATTCATATTAAGACCTGGAAAAGACCGGTGGGCTTTTCTCCCATTGGAAATACTCAGGGGATCAAAAAAGACCAGTCAATGTAAATGGGGTTTAAGTTGTAAAGGAAGGCTAAGTGGAATAAGTAGCCTAACTTTTCTTACCTTAATATTTGGCATGCCTTGCCTTTATGTTTTGGTCTTCTATTGATGTGACAGTTTAGTGACCAAAGTCTGTCCAATATGTTTTTGTAGACATGTGTTCAGAAAATGTTCACATATTCAGATTTTATACTTTCATATCAAAGGAATTTGTTGGAACACATTTTTAGAAAATATATTTTTGCATTTGGAAAGAGCCCCAGTAAAACCTAATTTGTACAGTATTATGTACTTATTTTTATTTGTTAGAAAAGTATTATATTTTGGTCAAAGGGCATTGTATTTTATTTTGTGCTGTACATTTATTCCCAATATTGGTTAATACCCAAGGTGTAGAGTTTTTTATTTGCTGGTTGTAAATGCAGGATATTTTCATTGGTGCAAAATCAGGTTTATTTGTAGTTTATCAGTAACATATTGAGTCAAGTATTGACTGTTAATCTATATTGAATATTGATTCGATTGACCAGGTTGTAAGACAAAGGCTAAAACAAGAGCATTGTGGTCTGTCGAAGATATCTGAAATCGCGGACCCTCGTTCCCCTGCCCCTTACTTGCAGAGGTGTCGTAGAAGACTCTCTTCTATCAATCTTAACTGATTGTTGACTCCCGAAGAGGTGAACTGGTTCAACTTTACATCTCACAAGGATGGAGTATCAAGACTGAGCTATTAAGAATAATATCGAAATAAGTCATTTTTAAAGTATTATGTAGTCAGATTTATTTACATGTGATATGTGATGGTTAAGGTTGATGAATTCCCGGTGTTTGATTTTATAATTGCCCCATCACTGCTAATTATTCAATGTAGCCAATGTTTATATATTCAAATCATTATCAAGGAATGTGATTCTAGTGGTCTGAAATGCACATATAAATGCCCATGCAGTTTGGGTGACAAGTACTATTACTTACAAATGTATGCTGCTGTTACAAGAATTGGGTGTTCATTGCAAACAATTTACTACATATGTACATACTACATACTACATATCTACATATTTACTATACTTTCCTGTATGATTCTTTCATTATTTGCAATTCTTGTACAATGTAATAGCATGTTTGCACAGTATTATGGTTTGATTGCACAATATTATGGTTTGATTGCACAATATTATGGCATGATTGCACAAAGTAATGGCATGATTGCACAGAGTAATGGCATGATTGCACAAAGTAATGGCATGATTGCACAAAGTAATGACATGCTCTCACAATGTTATGAGATGCTTGCACACTTTTATGGCATACTTGCCCAACTTTATGATATGCTTGTAAAATGTTATGGTGTGCTTGCATAATCTTGTTGCACACTTGCATGATATCACCAGGTGGGATCGCAAAGGTTGTCTGCAATGGGGGACTAAGTCCATACATGAAATTCAGAATCCCAATTACTAACAAAAAAGTAACATTATTTTAATCTGAATTTCATGTTTTAACGTAATTCCCCATAGCGGACATATTTTGCTATCCCACCCTGTGGACTTGTCTGGTAGCTGTACTATGTTTAGTAACATGACTTTTGTTGGTCTTTATTTTCTATTTGCACTTTATTTCAAGCTTCATCTTCTCGCTATTTTCAGATGCAGGAACAGCGCAAACAGAAGCAGCGGATTGGACTATTGAACACACCCTCACTTCCTGTGATGGCAAATTCTAACTGATGCAGCGGTTTTTATTTGGTGCTTGGCCACAATGAGTGGAATTTGGGTCTACACTCAGTATTACTAACAATTTATTTTGTGGTGAGGGAGTGGAGATTCAATTGCACATTTGCTGTTCACCAAGTGTTCACCAAGTTGAAAATGTACTTACCTGGGGCACCTAGGAAATGTAATATCATACTTTGGGCACCTGATAAATGCTCTTTGTCATATGGGAAATGTTGATTGTGCTACAGAGGCTCATGGAAAATGTTACTTGTACCATGGGAGGTGCATACAAAATGTTACTTGTGCCACGCAAGATTAGTGGGATATGGACTCAATAATATGTTATTTCTCCTCTAGGGATATATGATTTGAGGTTCATTCTGACACACAGTTCCAAGTAATAGCTCAACATTACCTGTGCCTATCACCATACAGGTTGTAGTTTCCTGTTGCTGTGTGTCATACTGAGTAATTTGTTAGTGATCCTGAAGAAGTGAAATGAATTTTAATTCAACCTTTGCAAAATACTAGCATGAGGCATTTGTAACACTTGGTCTTATATCAAGGTTATTTTGGTGAGACCATTTAAAGTTAATTATATGTTTAACGTCCTGTTCGAGGTTAAATTTAGGAGGATGACAGATGAATAATAATAAAAAAACAACTTTTTTTATTTATTGCCTTTGGATTTGCTACAAGAACATATCTGAGTTCTTGAAAAGTTTTTGTTCTCAAAACCTGCCTTAATATTAGGAGAGGGGATGTTAAACATATTTATGTATTTCCTTTGAATGGCCTAAAAGGCAGGGTAACAGTTCATCAAACACAGTATCTTCTTTATGATTTACTAATACAAAATCTAGGAAAATGGTGGAAATTATAATTAGTATCTAATATGGCATTATTTGATTGTTTGCATTGCACAACTTACTGACAACTGTCTGAATTTGTGACTCTATTATGAATAGCTCTCGATTTGAAGTTTCCATTATGCAATGGTCTGTTTTTGATACGACTGAGACTTCTGATTTCTAGGAAATCATTCTCTTTTAGATGAACAATGATCTGCGATCGTACATAAGTTACAATGATTTCAAAAACAGACCTCAGAGAAACTTGTATATATAAGTCCAGCACTTTTCAACTGCTGCAATTCTTTTGTTAACACAAATTTGCTTTATTACAGAGCTGCTTTTTACTCAAAGTGTTCAATAAAGTCTGTTAAGCTTTATCTTTTGTAACATTTTAAATCAAGTCTACCTCATTTTCAACCTAACCATCCTATTGTCATTGTGTATGAGTTTGATTGAAGTATCGTTAAGAGAAACAAGCTTTGATTATAGTAAATCTGACCCACTTTAGTAAAGGTTTAATAAAAGACACTTAAAAGTGTGAAAACATCTAAATGTGAAACCCCAGTCTTTTTTATTAAAAATTGTCATGTACATGTATTGAAAGATGATAAGTTGTTTCTGTTTTACAGTATATGCATATGTTCTATTGTGTAAGTGTTCCCGTAATTCAAATACCAGAAGAAGTTTTTGTCAGTGGTGCCGCACCCGTGAGTGTGGAACATATATTTTCTAATACCGTAGATACACTTATTTTGACGCTTCTTAATTTGACGGATTTGCTCAATTTCAAATATTGGTGGATATTTAATTTGGCGGACTTAGGACTGAAGCTTAATTTTTGTAGATGTTTATGTCATTAGGACAGGTGTTTACTGAGATATTCCCTGTATTTAATTATTTGGAATAATTTAGAATTGATGGCATGTTGACAGGAAAAGGGGCCCCTGGAGTTTAATTTCTGTGCAGTGCATTGGACAAAAATTCAAAACTGAAATTTGACGGATTTTGAATTTGGCGGATTTTCTGAATCCGCCAATCCGTCAAATTAAAACAGGAGCCAAATTAAGTGTATCTACAGTCATTGCATTTATGTTCGTGTATTGACTATATAATGGCTTAATAGGCCAAATGTGTTTACAGTGCCTGGAAAATATGCAAATGGAAATATAAACATGCAATTTCTATAATAGATTAGAAAATGCCAAAAACTGAAACAAAAAGATTGAACGATTATCATGTAAAACAAAGTTATGTTCTTTGCATGACCCATGCATTTAAACATATGCCACATTTGAAAATAATGATAAAATCAAACCAGTGCATGAATATTGTTTTGCACTGTAGTTTGTTTGTTCAAAAAGCTTTAACTTTTGCCAGTATTTTTGTTACCGGTATTATGTTTTGTCATCGACTGAATTTAATCGGAACTACTGTGCTACAACCTCTCAACATGGGCTAATATATTATATACCGATAATGCTGAATGGATTGTTCGACTATTTAAAAGTTTGGGAATGTCTTTATATTTTGTTTAATGGATTATTCAGCCTTCTTATATTTCTAAAGAGAAATTAAAAAATGATAGACATGATTTATGAATTAATTTAATTTATTTTGAGATGTGAATAATTTATGTTTTGTAATGTGTGTAAGTTGATATGTTTGTTTTCTTTTAATTTTATCATGTAAATGTACCTAAAGCCTAATTATTTACCTTGTGTATTACTTATTGGGTATTACTATTGCAAGTGATAAGAATGACAGATTCAAATATGGCATTTTAACCCATTTTGTAGATGATATTTATCAATAAATAAAAATATATTAATGTATCCATTTACAGTAAAGAAATAAGGAATGTGGTTCACCCCACCCCTTGAAATGTAAGTGAAGATAAAATTTGCATCTTAAAATTATGGGATGTTTAATTTATTCTTGGGAGTTTCCTTGTTGCCTGAGACTGTTATGTAACATAGGATAATAGGCATGGGTAGTATTAATTGGGGTTTATTCCAAAAAATGAAATAAGGAATTTAAGAATCTATACAGGGTTGACCATTTTTTCATGATCTTATGTTATTTTTACATTTCTAATCCAAATGATTTTGTTGAAATTGATTTAGCAATCATAAATGGCCCCTCCCCAAGCCCTAACATAGTTACTATTAGTATGTTAATATGGGCATTATATGTTGATTTTCTGTAAATCTATAAATTATATATATGACATAATAATTACGATTATAAAGACAAAGATGTGTATTTTATTTGTATATTTTAATTGTATAAAAGATAATTTATTATATATGCAAAATTATTACATAATATGTGTTTCTATTGTATTAATGGAAGTATGCTTCTAGCTCAATAGATGGCATGTTATGTTTTGTGTCTATAGCTCCATCTTTTGAGAGGCGACTGTACATTAATGATGATAGTTAGACAATAGTGGATTGTGCAGTATAAATATGTGTGAAACTTTCAATAATTTTCACAATATGTGAAATTGGTTCAATAAATTTTTCAAAAATATTTAAAAACCAAAATATGTTTTGTTTAAATGATGTTGTGTATACTAGCCATGAGGAAATTATATATCGTGATGAGGGCTCATGATAGTATTACCTTCTTCATGGAGTCGCCAAGAATCTGTAAGGCATAATGATTCAAACTACCATATATGGCCGGATATATTAGTGAGATGTTTTAATTTTGGTGGCTCATTTTTTTTTTAAATTTTATTTGTGATTGTTTCAATGAAGGGAGATACATGTACATTGGTTTATAACATAGCACATGTTTTAAAATTTTGGTAAGGAGTAGGTGGGACAAGGGTCTATGGATTTGAATGGGAAATGGTATAAGTGTTTACCCTATTACTCATTTTAAATACATACACCACATTTTCCCATTCATATTCTATAATACATTTCATAATTAATCATTTTATACAGGGTAACCATATCACCTATTCTCCAAGCAATCATTTTCCCCAAATTGTCCACGTTCAGGAAAACCTTAGTTAAGCATCACCATGGAAACCATATTGCATGTATTTCATTAGTATAACAGCTCAAAAACACAAAGCCAATATTTTATATTTATTCCATCATTCACAAATATTTATTTCCACTTTACAAGTACAACTGCTGGTACAGTGACATACAATGTATTGAAGCAGACATAACAGCAAAATATGGGATAGTCCTGCATCAGTCCCCTGCGCTACCATCCCCCTCTCCCACTCCAACACAGGGTGGAGAAATTGATATTGAGGAGGATGTAGATGGGGATAGTCAAAGCAAAAATAAATCTAGAATTAGGAACAGGAACATACAGAATATGTGTCTAAGAAGTCCGTTTAAATATCAATGTGTCCTTTTACGCAAATGTATTATTTAGCAGTTAATTTTACAAAATGATGTTCATTTTATTTTGAGAGTACTTAAGAGAAAAATACTGACTTTTGACACATACCCTTAGTCAACGTATATAAGTACATGTCCGTGCACTGCGGTTAAAATTGTTAACAAAAATATGACATCTAACAACCACTGAAAATAACATAATATTGTTCTGAACTGCAGATACCATTACAATCTACAGTACATCTACATATAATATACATGTAATATAAAGTAAGCATTCAAATTTTATCCTACATCATTGTATATAGGTGTCATCCCTTTTTGCAGCCCTTTTCTTGTTAGACCTTTGTCTTGGGGAACTTTACCAGAAACTAATTTCAAGGTAACAACTGGACAAAGCTTGTATTTCGATCTCCTCCCCTATTAAACAAAGTCTCATGATAATTTGTCAAGGAGGATTGAGTCACGATACTCCTTGACAATTCTCTGATGGAATTGTGACCTTGTCTGTCATGATTATAAAATTCAAAAAATTAAACCACCACCATTTTTCACTTCAGAATTCATATCTTGAGTTTTGGTAGTATTACCCAATCAAAGCATAAGTTCAAATCTTTTGGATTGGTTTTATGACCTTATATTGTGTTGTATTATGTTGTTGTACAAAATTGGTTGTCGCTTTCAACACACTGGATGGACTATCACAGGAAGACAACATTTCCTAAATTGTCAAAACTATGACTTGCCTTTGCCAAAATTAATATTTTGCTTAGGTGACCCACAAAGACAAATCGTAACTAAAAGAACATGATTCATTAGGATGTGTGGGAATATAATATTGAAATGAAAGGTTGAAATACACCCAACTGTTTTTAACATCCATACTCCATATACTTCTTGCATTTAACAACTGCAAAAACAAGAGATACATCACCAGCTTGATATCTTTTTGCTTTTTTAAGTCCTTAAATTAAGATATTATTACTACAATTTTCTGCTTTTCATAATATTATAATTCGATAATTTCACATTAGATGAGGATTATCTTAAAAATCTTATTGTAATTATGCTATTCAATCTATCTCTGGTCCAAATTCTTATTTATTTTGGCTGGATCAACAATTCTTTTTAATAAAAAGTACAGAAAAACAAAATCCAATACATGTATCTTGTTATAAAATAAATGCTTGTGTGGCACCAACATTATATTGCACTTTTAAGTGTGTATGTCTTGAGAAGCAAGATGAGTATTACACTGTTAGACTGTTATTTAGTAAATATTGAGGAAAATTAGAAGTTACAACATAATCTTATGAATTTGTTTACTGAAAATGCGATATCCATGTTAAACGTTTTATGCTAAGACACAATAGTAGAATTGTCTAACATAATTTGGTATGAAGCGAACTCCATTGGGAGCACCTTGGATCTGTGTCTGGAGCAGTCATAGCTTAGTCTTACAATACAGCAATGCACTGTTCATGTACAATAGACCAATATATTGCTCCTATACAATACAGCAATGCACTGTTCATGTACAACAGACCAATATATTGCTCCTATACAATACAGCAATGCACTGTTCATGTACAATAGACCAATATATTGCTCCTATACAATACAGCAATGCACTGTTCATGTACAACAGACCAATATATTGCTCCTATACAATACAGCAATGCACTGTTCATGTACAATAGACCAATATATTGCTCCTATACAATACAGCAATGCACTGTTCATGTACAACAGACCAATATATTGCTCCTATACAATACAGCAATGCACTGTTCATGTACAATAGACCAATATATTGCTCCTATACAATACAGCAATGCACTGTTCATGTACAACAGACCAATATATTGCTCCTATACAATACAGCAATGCACTGTTCATGTACAACAGACCAATATATTGCTCCTATACAATACAGCAATGCACTGTTCATGTACAACAGACCAATATATTGCTCCTATACAATACAGCAATGCACTGTTCATGTACAACAGACCAATATATTGCTCCTATACAATACAGCAATGCACTGTTCATGTACAACAGACCAATATAATGCTCCTATACAATACAGCAATGCACTGTTCATGTACAACAGACCAATATATTGCTCCTATACAATACAGCAATGCACTGTTCATGTACAATAGACCAATATATTGCTCATATACAATACAGCAATGTACTGTTCATGTACAACAGACCAATATATTGCTCCTATACAATACAGCAATGCACTGTTCATGTACAACAGACCAATATATTGCTCCTATACAATACAGCAATGCACTGTTCATGTACAATAGACCAATATATTGCTCCTATACAATACAGCAATGCACTGTTCATGTACAACAGACCAATATATTGCTCCTATACAATACAGCAATGCACTGTTCATGTACAATAGACCAATATATTGCTCCTATACAATACAGCAATGCACTGTTCATGTACAACAGACCAATATATTGCTCCTATACAATACAGCAATGCACTGTTCATGTACAACAGACCAATATATTGCTCCTATACAATACAGCAATGCACTGTTCATGTACAACAGACCAATATATTGCTCCTATACAATACAGCAATGCACTGTTCATGTACAACAGACCAATATATTGCTCCTATACAATACAGCAATGCACTGTTCATGTACAACAGACCAATATAATGCTCCTATACAATACAGCAATGCACTGTTCATGTACAACAGACCAATATATTGCTCCTATACAATACAGCAATGCACTGTTCATGTACAATAGACCAATATATTGCTCCTATACAATACAGCAATGTACTGTTCATGTACAACAGACCAATATATTGCTCCTATACAATACAGCAATGCACTGTTCATGTACAATAGACCAATATATTGCTCCTATACAATACAGCAATGCACTGTTCATGTACACCAGACCAATATATTGCTCCTATACAATACAGCAATGTACTGTTCATGTACAACAGACCAATATATTGCTTCTATACAATACAGAAATGCACTGTTCATGTACAACAGACCAATATATTGCTCCTATACAATACAGCAATGCACTGTTCATGTACAACAGACCAATATATTGCTCCTATACAATACAGCAATGCACTGTTCATGTACAACAGACCAATATATTGCTCATATACAACAAAGCAATGTTCCATTCATAAACAGCAAAGCAATAATGTAAGCACCAAGTGAGGTGTGACTGTTCCAGAAATGGACCCCTGAGCAGAGCATTATTTTTACTTTACAATTACACATATCTCTTTATACAATTACACACATCTCTGTATACAATTACACATACATACAGATCTGATTCTTGTCTACAATCAACTACAGCAAAATATATTCCAAATTAACATAAATAAAAATAACAATAAAAATGCTACAATAAATCTATCTACATATAATACCTACAATTTTGACACCATATAAGGCATGTAATTATGCGTCAATAAAAATAAAGCAGGGTCCGCATCTTTCAACTCCATGTTACATGCGAGAGGTAACATATTTTAACAACTGGCCCCCTTATGAAATATGATAACAGATAAGTACAATCATCTGTAAATTATACAAATATTTATGTGTTTGATTGTTACACTACATGCCTAGGCAATATACATATTTTAAACACACAGTAAAACCATGATGGAAGAACACACATATTAGTGTTCAGTTTGCACGTGTTTTACTGTAGCTAATATTTTTGTAAAAATCTGTATTTTACCAAGACATGTAGCAAGTCAGAGCCAGCTCTGGATGGACACCTCATAATGAGGAGTATGTATGTAGCTGTGATGAGATAACATTTCCAAATAATTTCATGAAAAAAGAATGTCCTAAACCAAATTGTCATCAGTCATAGATCTTGTTCTTGTAAATGACCAAAGTAGAAAGTCATTAATTTTGCTTTTAAGAAACTTTCAAGAGAACTCTAAATGACAAAAGTAGAAAATTTTAATTTGGCTTCTAAGAAACTTTTAAGAGAAATCTAAAAAAGACATAAGTAGAAATTTTTAATTTTTTAAAGAGAACTCTATCATTATTTGTGAGTGTTCTAATACCACTATCAAGAAGTAGGATTTCTTCAACATAGGTGGCGTGTTAATGAAACATGTGATCATTACTCCATGAGTAATTCTAATTATAATGGAATTCCTTTACCATGAAATCATTTAGAAATAGGAACAGATCTACTAGCTACATACATGCTATCTACCTAATCATATATTTACACCATACATCTAATGTCACACGACAACATACACTACCATATAACTTTCAAATAATAATGTCTTAATATGGGGGAGCAGGATTACTATAGTAACCTATCTTATGGGATAGCAGAGGTACAAATATAAATTATTATGGGATGGCACGAATACAAATCCTGGGACTGCAGTAAAATTAAAAAATTATTGGATGGCAGAAATAAAAACTCAACATTATAACCATCTATTTAGCAGCACAAAATAAACAGATAAATATAAATTAAAGTTATATTGAAAATTAGTAAAATAAAATTTCTATTGATATTCTGAAGGGAATCAGGTATCTTGATATCCAATGTACAGAAAGAATGTCAATATCTATTAATAGTCACATCATTTTACATTCTTATACAGGGTGACCCAAAAAATGTAACCTACTATTTTTTAATAAATTTGTTCATAATGATTGAATATTCTCACATTTCTTGTGATTTAAAATTTGGGTTGGATTGCTATCACTTAATTGGAGTATCTGATTGGTTGGAACTTCCTGAATGGCATCATCTCACGGGGAGTAAGTCAACCCCTTTTTATATTCTATATACTTACTGACTCCCGTGCGTCATACCAAGCAAGACATGACAGTGAAAAAATTTACATCCAGGAAGCAGTAAAATCAACCGTAATCAAATAGACAATCAATCAGCTAGCGGTAATAATGAGGTTCACTTGAAAAGAATCATTTATTACGGAGAAAGGAGTTTGGTAATGGACTCAATGATAGCATTACATTAAATAAAGAGGTTTCAAGATATAAAATTAAGCCAAAATACAAAATAATAGGAAATGTAGACTTTAATACTCTGAAGTAACATAAAGTGTTTATGAGTAGCCCTTGTTATGTCATAATACATTCAATTATCCACTCTGGAGCAATGTTAATTTATCTGAAGTCGAGGTTTAGTTTTGGGTTTAGAGCCTACTACTCCAATACTCTCTGAATTGAACTGACCATTTTACAATATTGCATTCAACCAATGGTAGAGCAGTAGATGAGCCAGGCATATACAAATACATATAAAGTTGAACACGTACTTCGAAAAATTGTTCCACTTGGGAGGTGTTCTACTTGTAGAGGTTCATTTAACATTAAGTCATTTGGTCTTGTAGGGATTCTGAAAAGTGTTCCAGTAACAGAGGTGTTCTACTTTACAAGTTTCTCTGCATGGAGAAGCTACTTCTGGCTACCACTGGCTCATACTGGGTTGACTGTTCCCAACTCGTAACTTTGCTGTTACGGAAAAGTAACTGGTTGGGGAATAGTGTGGATTGACGAGTTAAGAGATTTGTCAACAATGTAAAAGACAGTGAGTTAAAGAGTAGCTTCAGGCTGGTAAGCTTGACTTACAAAGATGAACAATTCTTAGAGTAATTCTTCGGAATTATAATGAAATGTAACTATGTTCCACAAATATCACGACAGAGTTTGAATATTCAGGTGACCTTAAAAACCGCAATAACGATAATATATCTATCCAATTATCATTACGATAATGTCAGAACTGTATACATAGGGCTTAATCATAATGTTAAATTTTGCGTTTTTGATTGAAATGTTAGAACTGAAGAACCTCAACTTGTATTTTAGAACTAATCCTTTAGAATATTTCTGCCATGCGCTTCTAATTCATCTCAACTATGTCAGGTTCGTCAAAACTTGTATTATTTGAGTTATTAGTGTCTCCATTTAGGAGTAATTTAAGGGGTGATTTAGGCGTTATCTTGGGTGTATGTTGTATGCTAACATTAGGCGTAGTCTGATTTAGGTAGGGGGCGCCTCTAGTATGATGGTCCCTCTAGGGGTGGTCTGGCACACTAGCACTGTACGAATAAAATCTCAAACCCGAGTGAAAATCCCTATATCGGCTTTTCCATAAAAGTCCGACAAACCACATTGAAACTCCACTTCCAATTGAGTTCAGCGCACATAATAATATTAAATAATCTTTGATGCTTGTCATGACAACATCGCAACTTTCAACTTCGTTGAAATCGTAAGTTTTTGTATCTTGTTCACACCGACATGTCTGAGTGATTGTGCTATTTGTGCCAATGTTTGTGCACTCATTAAAACTGGCGATCATGTTTGCTGGAATTCCACAGAATACGCTGGAGACCATACAGACGAACAGACAGCAGAATGATAGTAGAAAACACGTCGACTGAAAATATAAAACAATCATGCATTAAAATCACAATTGTGACTTTCAAAGCCTTTACTTAAGCTTCTCTGATGTATTTGGAAAAGATGGACTCAAAATGCAAAACTTTTGCATAACTGAAGTGATTTGTTTTTGGATAACATGTATTATAAAAATATTATGTCACTGTATTGCAGGTTATTGTATCATCGATGATAATGATTCGTTGTAAGTGCATTGTTATAGCCTGAAATTGTACAATACTTCAATTATACAATATTATGATAAACTTCTGGTGGTTACATTATAATCATGTCTAGATTTTCATCCCAAGTAGTATCCTTAGTAAAATTCAAGACACATGTAACTTCCCAAAAGTTAATCAGCTCAAAAATCCAACACAGCTGTAAAAATTTGAATTGAATCTAACAAAAGGTTTTCTTGATTCTTGATGATAAAGAATATAGAAAAAACAATCTGCATTATAGAACACAAAGAAGCTGTACTTTGAACTGAATCTGATAAGCGAATCTGAAAATGAGATAAAAAATATCCAAAATGCCTTCTCTTGGATCCATAAAATTTCAAGTTAAATGAAGTTTCCTTGCTAAAGTAATGATGGTTTCTTTTTCCGAGAAACATTAAGCCTAACCTTAACGTCCTCTAATAGGAAACTAATGATACTGAAACTGAATGCTTTTCATTATAATTACTTACTGGTACTGAAATTAGTGACATCTGACATCTGAGAGAGATTGCCAAATACTAGTATAAACCCAAATGCCAAATATAAACCAAAGTAAGCCCTGGGCAGGGGAAAGAACATCATAAATGGCCATATGAAAATGCAGACTAGAATGCAACTTCAATGGCATATAACAAACTCAATTTTCTCAAGTCAGTAAATTGCTAATTTCAAAAAATGAATTTAGAGACAAGAACTTGAATCTTGATGACCATATTAAGTGAGACAAGATTCTACCAGTCAATCTATAAGTGAAACCAAGCCTGTGACCCCCTAATAGTCTGAATACGAAGACCAAATGCCTAAATTAATTGTTAATGAAATTAAAACTGGAAGTCCAGTATAAAAAGCTCTATAAAACAGTATATATCTTACCACCTATCCACTATTCAATTATATGGTACAACTATTCAATAATATGATACAACTATTCAATAATATGGTGCAACTTATCAATTATATGGTCCAATACAGTCATATGTGCAATACAGGATGATTTGGTTCTACACATATGAGACATCCCCTTAATCCAACTCCTCTTAATTGTTCTCCTTTGGGGAACAAGCCTGAATACTAAATGTCTCTAACAGGAAGTGAACTTGGGACCTTTTAATCCAGGAGTTGCTCAAAATATATTTGCAGCTTAAGCTTTTTACCTAGGACTGCTATAATAATGATTCATCATATTGTAGGACATGGTTACTATATCGCTCCATGCTGACAAATCTAACTGGGGGAGTAATCAGTAAATGGTTAACTATATTTGGGGATGGATGCCCGTTAATAGATGGGGGCAATTTCAATTGTAACAAGGCATCAACATGCAAAATGCCACTACCTGCCATTTGTTACAGACTCCAAATGCCAAACGCCAACCACCAAATGCAAACCATCAAAAAACATTCTTAAACATGTTCTTCATTTGGAATGAATTTTTGGTGAATTAATATGACGTAATATTGTTTTTATTTAATTGTTTTGTAGTGCTTCAGTTATACAGTTGAAAAAGGATCCAGACAGGATCCGAAACGTCCTGGTTAGTAAAATAAAGGCTGTGAAAAGAAGAAAAAATATTTTTGTCATCTAAAAACAATTAGAGATTATAACAATTTGTCACCACTTCTGGTGGTGGTGGTATAATAAATAAAGTTTTGACACAACATTTAGAAAATACTAATATGTTCCCTTAAGGTGTTGGGCCAACCTGACCGCTGTCAAGATGTAATTTAGAATTTAATGACACTAAGTGAGTCTCCCTATTTCTAATATATTTCATTAATTTGTAAACACGCAATACGCCACTGATTGCTAATCTAATAGCCCTGCAGAATCAATAGGGCTGATTGTGAGAGTATGTATGCAATGTCTACATTTTCTTCATCTACGTATAGGTTACTCACTTTCAAAATCAAAACTGCCAGTTTGGCACAGGTAGGAAAACTTGTGGCGCCACCTATGAACTATTGAAGTATAAGGCCTGAAACTTGAAACACTTTTTGATTTGGCCTTCAATTTTCAAATCAAATCTGAACTCCTGGAAATCTGAAAATGATTTTGAAAAAAATTAGGTCACTTTGAAGCAAGTTGAAAATTTGCTTATTGACCAACTTCTGAACTCTCATAATTGGTGCAATTATTTTGAAAATAGTGAATTATTAAAATGTGCAGACTACGAAAAGGAAAATATATGGGGTATATTCCAAGTTTCAGTTGAAAATATTGATCTGTAGTCCTAAAGTTAGATGATACTTTTTGTGACATCATTTAACTACCTTGATATCTGACCCATTGGAAATTCAAATTTTACCTTTTCTGATGCCTAATGTCTTCTGTAACCCAGTTGACCTAATTTTGAATCCTAAAAAATGATTTGAAAATCCCAATAAAAAAATTACCTTTCATAACAACAAAATTGACAAAACTTTGACAAAATTAATAGGAGGCATTCTCATCATAAAACAAAATACAACAAGGGATCTACCACATCAGGAAAATAAAGATTAATAGAAAAAATAGAAAAATATAGAAAAGGCGCTATCAATGAAAGGAAAGATTTATGAATCATCCGGATATTGAATACATACAAACTAAGATGAGTTCGTTGGCAAGAAAATAGATTGTTTACATCTTTAGTACTCTGTTATAAATCCCTTTTCTGGTAATAAATCACAGGAAAGATTAGAGATTTTAAGGACAAATTCATAAATCATCCAATACCATGATGGTGTGACAGCTTGCTTGGTATCATTCTATGATAAAACCCGACATTTACCCTCTCATGAACGGAACAAGATGTTTCATTTACCATCCTAAATATATATCTAACAACAGAGCATATTTTCCATTTATGTTTCACTATGTACATCGGTTCCAGAAGAATACACAAAGAAATAAAAACATGATATAAAGATAAGATAAAAGAACTGGATAAAATAGCCTGTAAGGTTTTTGGTATTGGTTATTCTAGCTCATAAATTTCCCGCACGGTTGACTGAATATTGTCCATTTGATAATTTGCTGGGAAGTCAATAATTTGGCAGTTGCAAACAATGTTGACGCATTCAATAACTGTTTATGCCTTCATGTGGAAAGATATCTCTAATTACAAACCTTGAGCAATTGTATGAGTGTGTATATCTGCTTGTGGGAATTACTGTTAAAATGAAATGGGAAAGGGAAAATGGGAAAATAAGAAAACATGAAAGTTTGGAAAAATATGGAAGTTGGGATGAATATGGCAGGTGGGAAGATCATGGAAAATAGGAAGAATATGAAAGTTGGGAAGAAAAAAGAAGGTGGAAAAACATGAAAGTTGCGAAGAACATGGAAGGTGGGCAGGACATGGAAGGCGGGAAGAAGATGGAAGGTGGGCAGAACATGGAGGGTGGGAAGAATAGGAAGGTGGGCAGAACATGGAAGGTAGGAAGAATAGGAAGGTGGGCAGAAAATGGAAGGTGGGCATAACATGGAAGGTGGGAAGAATAGGAAGTTGGGAAGAACAAGGAAGATGGGAAGAACATGAGAGTTAGGAAGAACATGGAAGGAGGGAAAAAACCCAGAAGGTGGGAAGAACATGGAAGTTGTATAAAACATGGTAGGAAGAACATATAAAGGAGGGCAGAACATGGAACGTGGGAAGAATATGGAAGTTGGGAAGAACATGAAAGGGAGGGAGAACATAGAAGGTGTGAAGATGAGGAAGGTGGAAAAGGAAAGTGAACAAAGGACTCAAAAAGGGTAACAATTAGAACAGAATTTGATAAATAAACTATATGAAGATGGGGGGTGGGGCACATGTGAAAGGCTGACAAGAAAACAACCTAAAATTCAACATCTAGAGCAACAGCAACATACCATAGTTCCTAAGGCCCATAATCAAAATGACTTTATTTTGTGTTAATTTCCGAAGCTTACTTAAAGTAGACGCCCAAGAGACCAGGGAATTTATGAGAGCAACTAAACCGAATGAATCAGGCTAATGAATTGGGTCTTCATAACTTTATCCTAGCCAGCGTAGACATTCAGCACAATTAAGTCAATGATAAAGAATGAACATGTCTACCAAATAGGCTTTGGGCCAGCCCTTGATTTGTAGTATTGAATTGGAATTTTGGGGACCATGTTAATTACATGCCAAAATGCATTTCTCATCCAACTATGTATTTAATTAAGTAAAATACCCCCTGTGAGCTCCTCTGAGACAAACATGGGTTCATTGAAAACAGTTCATAACTTTTCAAATACTTTTCAGTAAAACCTGTCTAATTGGAACATATTTAGCACCTCTAAAAAGTGTTCCACTTAGGAGGTGTTCCATTAACAGAGGTATTCCATTTCTAGAGGTGTTCCACTTTACAGGTTTCACTGTACATCCAAACAATCCCATTTCTTAATGTATTCACTTGTTTAAAAATTCTGTATAAATTGTTAATTCAAATCTTGGAGAATAATCAATTCAGAAAAACTTGATTTACAGTATATGCTGAGTAAATAGAAATGAAATACCACACTTGTGTCAACAAATATCATTCAGAGATCAATTTCTGTACTTAAGATGCTACTCTACGGACCAATGAATTCATCAATTCAAGCTTCATAAAGTATAGCACAGAACCTAATCATGTCATGGAACACTAACGTGTCATAACAATCGAAGATAAACTACATTATAAGATTTATTTTACTATTTTGTCTTGTGTCAAATAAGGTAGCGACCCAAAAGGCACCCCCAAGGGGGACTTTTACGGAAATCGTCATTAACTCATTTTGACAGTTGTAATTTTCTCTTATGGAACAAGATGTTTGGATGTTATTGCATTTTCAGTAGAGGGAATCAAACCCTGTACTTAATACCCACGGCAAGTGTTTTTCAAGGGATTATTTTCTGGATAGTATTAATTTAGAAGTAATATGTCATGAGGTCATTATTTAAAAATATTAAGGAAAATAGTGGAATCGGTAACAAATGACTCCAAATATGTAAAAGCAAGAAAATCAAAGTGTTCATTCGATCAAATGTTAGAGAGAAATAGAATAGAATAGAAGAGAAAGGAATAGAATAGAATAGAAGAGAAATAGAATAGAATAGAAGATAAGAGAAAAGAATGACGTGTCGCAAAAAGGTCGCGCACGCATTGTTACACATTTTTCGCTTTTTAACACCACAGAATGTGACGTTTTTTGAGAAAAATGTACACATATGGAAATCCTTTCGTCCTCCACATTTGCCTCTATATCTCAAAATATTTAAGGCGAATAACTCTGATATCGTATATGTATTAACAATGGAATAGGAGCATCATAAAACACGAATCAATTGATATTTTAGGTGAAAGAAATATATGTGTTGCTGTGCTTGAAAATAGGCGAATGGCGTAAAATAGCCTTATCTTAATGAATTTTGAAAACCTTTCATCCTCCACTTTTCCACATACAACAGAAAACACATACTTTTGCGAACAAAATAAACAATTTATTAATAAACTAGAGTTTAAGAGCAAAATAATCATGTATGTTTTATTAAAAATTGATCTCGTATTTTTTCTTTAATGTACACCTGAAAAGTTGAAGGTAACAAAAAATGAGCAAAAAAGGTCGCTGTCAACAGATTCTATTTTTCAAACTCTATGACGTCACAATATGGGACGCTTACTAAAATTCATCCTTTGAAATAAAACTTCCATCTACTTTTATCAAGACGAAAAATAAGTATAATAGTCATATATTGTATGAGTTATGAGCGTTTAAAGACGAAAAATAATTCAAAATGTAACGTATCAACAGGGGATATTTGCCAGATGTTTTGGTAAAAAAGAATGCGCAAGAATCGTGAACGGAGTGTAGTTGATCTAAAAACTTAAACGAAACAGCTTTTAAATGATATATAACTTTAATTAGAATATTATCTTATAATCCGGGGAATCAAAGTTACATTCACGCGATACCCTTAAAAAACAAATGCGCCACCTTTTTGCGACATGTCAATAGAATAGAGAAGGACAGAGAGAAAAACAAACTGTTGGCAAAAAGCTTTGAAGTTAACAAATGTCAATGCCCATATAATCTATCACATAAGTTGTCAGTTGTCATGTATTTTATCAGATCAATTAACCCATTAATTAAGTTATTGATGAATTATTTAAGCCTATATCAATGACATGGATGATCAACTGATATGTTCAGGAGACGTGATCATACTGCATGGTGCACACTGTATATACCCAGCCTATTGCCAGGTTAACTTTAGGTCTACTTTAATAGGTTAACTTTCAGTGAGTCTATAATGCTTTCAGTCCATTTTAGGTCTATGTCCTATAGGCAAGATTTAAACCTCAATTTCAGGGTAAAATTATCTCATTGGTAAACTTGTATCAAGACCCTCTACTATAGCTTCTCATTCTCTCTAACAAGATTAGTGTTATTCCATATATTCTTTATGAAAATGTGTGTCATCTTATGGTTATCATTATCCCCTTTATGGTATCACTAGCACTTATCCCACATATGTTTCACATTTATATCTGGAAGTATCTGGGAGTTATCCCCTCCCTTTATCTCCTTCATGTTATCCCCTGGGATTTCCCACCATATTCATATACAGGGAGTTATCCTATATAAGTTATCTATTCACATATCCTGCCTTTGTGATGGAGCAAGCATGATAAGGCAAATATATTCTATATAGATACATGTAGCTTTATTAAGATATCATGACAATACATTATATTTTTGAACGTACAATCTGTTTATTCAGCTTGGTTTAGCCATTTCTAATGTGAAAACCACAAATAAGGCAAATTTTTTCCTTGTCTGACAATTTATTCACTTACTGATCAGTATCATTAATCTCCAAAACCAGTATGATACCTCAGGCCTGTAGCCAGGATTTGCCAAAGGGGGTTCACTTTTTGAAAATTTCCAGGGGGGTTCACTTTTGACAATTTTGGTCCAAAAATGACCTAAATCACTTAAAATTGGCTCAGAATGTTGAAAAACTACATGATTTTGAAAGAATTTTTGGCCAGGGGAAGTTCGCCCGAACCCATCGACCCCCCCCCCCCTGGCTAAGTGCCTGTATCTAATATCTATTATTTGTGCAGACCTTTCTGAATGAAATTCAGACAATGGCTTCAAGATTGTATCATAATCTCAATAAGATCAAACAGAACATAAGTAGGAAATTTCAACTTGAGGCGAAACTCTTGCAGAATAATGAAACGTCCTTGTTACGGTATTAAATCGTGATATGTGATACAGTGATAGAAGCACATAAGTTTAAAATAGATCCTCTTTGTCATGGAGGTTCTTCACCTTACAGCGTCAGTCACCTGTGATTATGCTGTCAACACTTTAAGTGATTTATCAAGCGCATTTACATTCAATTTGTTCATGCTTTGTCCAGCTTCTACAGACTGTTGTTAATGGTAGCTTTAAAATGCATTTGCACAGTACATTGAAAATACAAAGGCCTCATATGACTGATATGATTCCTTGAGTTTGTCCTGATGTCTGAAATGTGAAACTCCGAAAGTGTATTGTTTTTAATAAACAGAAAATTTGAAAAGAGGCAAATTGTACGTTCATTAAGTATATATGACTTCAGTATTCTTTACTTTATATAACTTTTCAGTTTGTGGTGCAAAAACTTTCAAATTTTCAAAATTTTACTCTTAAAATTCTCTGATTTCCCTCCCCGGATTTTCTCTGACGTAAAATTTTCCAACCATCTTTCACCATCGTTAGAACAAATTCTGAAATTCCACGGTTTTTCAATTTAGAGACTTTTCCTAGATTCTACAGCAACTCTATATGTTAAAATGGTTGATTTACAAGTGCCAAAATTATAATTTTTCAAATTGCAATAAATACCAGCATTCATTTCTGTAGGTTTGCTCACTTTTGCTTTTAGTTCTACAATAAAATGCATAATTCAATAATTCACTAGTCAGGATAAATATAAGATGAATCCCTCAAGAAAATATCTATATCTTTCCTCAGGTACCACATTCCCTTGCATTTTGTTGACATCAATGATTTCTTCCTCACTGGTGATCCACTCGATTACGCTGGTTACCAAAACGGTTCGTTTTGGTAACAAAATGTCGGAACATCGAAGGTACAATTTTTCTTTTTTCCTTATTTCACACGTTGTAGGCAGAATTCCCACGACATTTTTAACCAAAAGTGTATCAGTATCATATGCTTAAGAAAATGTACATATTTGCGAACAAATAGTTCAGAAGACAACAGAATCGTCGATTTAATTACTCACTTAAGTTACATAAACGGTTTTTCAAAAAACGGTTAAGATCTGCACTTTTAACCCAAACCGTTTATGTAACTTAAGTGACGAATTAAATCGACGATTCTGTTGTCTTCTGAGCTATTTTTTCGCAAACATGTACATTTTCTATAACATATGATACTGATATACGTTTGTGAGAAAAAATGTCGGGGGGATTCTGCCTACAACGCGTGATATAAGGAAAAAAGAAAAATCGTACATTCGACGTTCTGACATTTTGTTACCAAAACGGTTCATTTTGGTAACCAGCGTAATCGAGTGGATCACCAGAGTTCCTTGTTACATATCCTAAGGCTTATATCCCCTCCCATATATAACTGATACATACTCATACATAATACAGTATCAAATATAAATGGCATGGTCTTGGTGATATGATGCACACTTTTTATGTCACGTTTGCCATTTCCTAAAATATGAAGGGCAGACAGACGCTTCATAACATATAACTGAAGTACAGGTAAAATGCTACTTTATACCTGATTAAGGTGACAAGATTAAGGTGACATTCTATGAAGGAGTTAAATAAAGAACTGGGTGACATATTAAAACACTGCCCACTAAAGTAGTACTAAGCTCAGTTCAGAAGTGATAAGAGATTAAATTAATAACTGCTTCTCATTTAGAAAATTACTTTTTGCAATAAGTAAGATTAAGATAGTAGTCATTTTGAATTGTCTGGCCATATTCAAAAATTAATTTTTGAGTTGAGGTTCCTAAGCCCATAAGGCATCAGCCCATAATATCTGAACTAAATCTGATGACTGGTTTTTAGCTATCAATATATCCATACATCACCTTCATTCGTTAGATGGGATAAAAGCATAGAATATTTCCCATAAGGTAAAGAATCATTTTGAAAATGTGAGTGTGTTTTTAATCTTTTTTTCAAATTGAAGCCCCTTTCTAAAAAGACTACTTTTATTATAAAATGAGGCAAAAACTTTCCCTATTCTTGACCTAGTATTGAAAATTTTTGTGCTTCAGGGCTCAAATAAACTTACAGTTTTATCCAACACATAAGTCAAACATATGTAAAAAGAAGATAACTGACCTTAACAATAAATGCTTTTGTACTCCCAGCATACGCAGCAATGTCTGTAGCACAGAAATAAATACCCACAATTCCTGCCACCAGCAACTGGAAATATAAAAACAAAATTACATAAAGCAAGGTGATCAACTGATCTCAAACAAAGATACAATACAAGAACATGACATATAGCCGGGCATATAGCTAAGCAGTAGAGTGTGTACCAATTACACATAAGTCCCGGATTCGATCCCTAGTAAAAGCAGGACATAATTTGCTTGGTTGCGTAAAGTACTTCAGGGCAAGACTGAGTGGTCCAAGGCTGTGTAATTGTAAGCCTAGATATGAGTGCACATAAAGTAAAACTGGACTCCTTCGAGGAGGGGTTTCTGTGTTGTCTTTCGAGATGATTCAAGTAAGTTACGATATGTACATGTATGGGATATACCCAAGAGGTATTGATTACCTTCATTGGTGGTAAACATAAAACAATACAATAAGACTATGAAGACAAAGATGTCGACAAAGATCACAACAAAGACGTAAACATTTCAAGATTCGAGACAAAGATGTTTACAATGATCATGACACTGATATTGATAACAATCGTGAGAAAGATACAGACAATGATCAGAATAAGATATAAAGTTCATGATAAATCGATGGAGACAAAGATCATGACAAAGATTATGTTAGCACGTTTCTAACACACTTTTAAAGAGGAATATATTTCTCTAATTGTCATTAACTAAAATGCCACGTGTGTCAAAAACATAAAATCACATTTTGTTGCTGTACCTAAAAGCTTTGCCATTTTCCTTTGACAGGATATCTCTGATTCATTCCCTTTGTTAATGATGGGAATATGAATGTCATAATCATTTACTAGATAGGTTTATGGTCCCTGTTATAACAACCCTTAGAGGATGATGTACTAGATCTTCTTAATGACTAGTAGCTTTATTTATCTTCAATGACAGTTGGAGGGTTTTTGAATTATAAAGCAGAAGCAGAAATAATTCAGCCAATTTCTTTGTAACATTTCCAAGGGAATTGTTGAAGAACTAATAACAAAAGGTTAAAATGTTTTCAAGTTCAGTCTCCTTGTCAAATACCCTGCGTGCAGAGTCTAGTTAAACTACACAAAGACGAAGCTCTCTTTTAAGAAGTGAAGTCAAACGAATGCAAAGGGTACTTGTCAAAGTATATTTTCAGAATACATGGATCACGTTTTGTATTCCAAAAGTAAGGTGTCTCAAAATGGCCAACTCTTACAATATTGTTTATCATTTGACTAAATAGGACCTAGGGCAAAAGTGTTTTCATTAGGTTAGGATCTAGGGTCTTTTATTAGTTAGGTCCCGGGAAATCATATTAGGTCCCAGAGTTTTTCAATGGATTAGGCCTTTCATTAAGCCCCAGGTAATGAGCACAAAAAGTATAATTCACAACTCCATTACTCATTTCAGATTCCATCCAACAAAATGAGATCAAATTATTTCATTTCTCTTTTGGTAATGCGGTTTGTCAACCTCCTTCAAGGCAATCTCCTGTTCATATCATGACTTCTATGTACCAAATGTCTTTTAAAGTACATCACTCCAAAACCGCAGAAAGATAATCAAGATGAATCAAAGAAATCGTCACAACAGAAGCCGACATTGAAAATGAAGAATTTGATAAAACAAGTATCCTCACGTGTTTCAACTTATATAAATATTTCACAGCTGTTCAGATGAAGACAAATTGCCGGAGGACTTGTTCTTCAAAAGTCTCAAGTTCTCTGAAAAGCTGAACTTGAGATAAGATTATCTATAAATTGACTGCAATCAATATGTATATAATAACTGACACTGTGTAATTTATAAGAGTTAAGATGACCTGTTAATTCCTAATCAATGAATGCAAATGTTACTCTGATCCTCTTAGGGTAGGTGATAAAGTAGGTGCAATGATCCCATCATTCAATGTTGAGGTTTCTCCCAGCAAGTTAAGCAAGCAGGTTAAATGCATCATGGGGAAAATTAAAAAGTTAAAACTAGCCTTACATCATGTTGAACATTTTTTAACTAAAAAATGACTATCATGAGGTAAAGATTAAAGAAGTCCATATACATGTATATGTCAAGAATTTTAGAATTCAACAAGTGAGAGCTAAAAATCACTATACCTCACACCATGTTGAGAATTTGCATAATGGTCTTAATCAATATATATTTGACCAGTTATCTATGTTAGATTTGTTCAAATTAATATTTGCACCAAACAGTTGAAAAAACTCATTCTTGTTACATTAACGTTTTGGTCTATTGGCTTGGAACCTGGGAAAGAAGAGATGAAATCATGATTCACATACATGTACTGTGATAGAAGGGACGGGCAGTGATAGATTTGGTCATCTAAAACTTTCAATATAGAATGATTGACGTTGATGGATCTGGTCATCTTCAATATTCAAGATAGAATAACTGAAACCTTGTAAATCGAGATTGAATTTGGTTATGACATCAATCAATCTTTAGTCAGGAGCACACAGGGAAATTGCTATATATGTGGGTGACTTACTCCCTATGGTCAGGAGAGAGGTGACTCCTATGACAAGAGTAGAACAATCTGGCAAGGAAGTCTTGATCACATTCAGAGCATGCAACTGGTTTTCCTTGACAATGAAATTGGTTTTATTAGGTTTCCCGCAAGGTAGTGATAAAAATACTAATATGAATCTCATCAAACTACGGAAGCCTTAAATCCCAAAGCTCAACATCCAAAAGTAATTCATTTTGAACAGAATCAATCAATTTTATACGTCTCATTTTTAGAACACTATACGTATATATTGATGTAAAGGGTGGTAAAAAAAATGGAAACCCTGCATTTTCCTTATATCTTTGTCACTTTAAGAAATTACTCCCTGATATTTCACACATTTGTACCTCATTCAATTTTCTACCACCCTATCATATTTCATGACCATAAGACTGATAGTCACAATTTTACAGCACTTTGAATAACATGCTTCAGATTTGGCCATCATCGCGCTGTAGGCAAAACAGCACAGTTGTCAATGACCCGAATGTATTCCTCAGCAGGTATGGCCTGAATGACACAAATGATCTAACTTTTGAGGTTTGCAATTGTCCTGAGGTCATTTTTGTGACTATCAATCTGATGGTCATGAAATAAAGTAGGCTGGTAGCAAATTGAATGATGTACAAAAGTGTAAAATATCAGGGAGTTATTTTTTAAAATGACAAAGATATGAGGAATATGGTATTAGGGTTTCCATTTTTTTGACCACCCTGTATATTGAATGATTCAGTTTCTCGGAGAAATATAAACAGGACAAAACAAGCCATTTGTTACAGACACTGACTGCCAAACACCAAACACTGAATGCCAACTGCCGAACACCATCCACATAAAATGGAAACTATAAGACTTATGGTGGTGACATAAAACAGCATCAATACTTCTGATCAAACAAATAACACATCATTTTATTATGATCTCCTAATAAAAATTTAATTAGTTCACAAATATAAAGTTATGATATCAAACCTTTGAGACATATTCAGATAATTAAAACTAATGATGCAAAACAATGAATATTCACATACTATAAATAAAGTCTTGAAAAATTTAATTTTAAGGCAGATTCTTCATGACAGCTGTCAATCATTATTTATTTTTTCATTAAAAAGGCTTTTGTTATTGTATGATCAGTGCCTTCTTAGACAAATAAAGGACAATGAGATGTAAGTCTATAACAAGTGTGTATTATATGAGAAAAGGAATATCATAATTGACAATCCCATGTTAAGAAATGCATGATGTCAATGAGCCAGCTATGAGACGCTTAAGCACGCAAGCAATAACTGGAAGTACCTGAACGGATGTGCTCTATTATACTTCAAGACAATAGAACCTTCATAAAGATTATCTCCTATGTCACAAAATGTAACATGATAATTACCTGTGTCTCTATCCAACGCACCTCATCATCCATATTTTAATACCTTGAGGCAAAGGTAGGAGACGGATCAATTTATCAAAATTAAGCCTTTCAACGTGACCTAGACAACACTTACGTCTTGTGTAAGGCTTTGAGTGAGGGATGGAGACAAGATATGGTACAATCTATTGGGAATTTATAACCCATTTTTAAAAATTAATCAAGGCATCAACATGCAAAATGTCACCACCTGCCATTTGTAACATATGCTGGTAACAGCCAAATGCTGACTGCCAAACACCAACAGCCAAATATCATCAAGAAACAAGAAAAAAGTTGGAAAACTGTAAAAAATGTCAACACTTCTGGTGGTGATATAGCACAATCGATGTATAGTGAACGATATAAAATAGCTAATAAAATGAAAATTGCTGCCTTAGAATTTACCCAGTATGCCCAAAATTGAATCACTTCTAGATTTTCATACCAAAAGACATCCTGACAAGCAGTTTGTCTGAAAATGTGTACTGTAGACAAGAAAAGTGAGACTGCTTTTTATGTAATCCCAGCTCCATCATATTATTCCGCTATCAATGTGAATGGCCTGCTATGTTAAGTAGGGTCTTTTAATCAGGATTTATATAATTATACAATCATATGATTCCTTGGTTCAACTCGCTATGGGCAGGCTAACATTGTTCCGTATACTCAAAGAAGCCCTGGTAAACACTTCAAATTTTGATGAACAATCATGATATAATCAGTGGCAGATACACAAGCTAACAAGGGGGGGGGGCCCAAATTTTGAGTCAAATACCCCCCCCCCCCCTGGATATGCCGCTGATAATAGACCAACTTAGTCAGCTACTTGTTCTTTTATATATTCATCAATGATAGTGATTACGAGGTCAACAAAGTGAACATGTTTTCCTGAAATTTCTACCTCTTGCATTGCATTAATATTCTATTTTCAAATCTTCTTTATCAGTTTAATGTTTTCTATTACCAAGTCATGAATTTTATCTATTCGTTTTCTTTGTATCATGATGTATTTGATTTCTTCCACTTTAATCTTGACAGCATCATAATGTAACCCTGGATGAGGACATCACTTGGAAGGTCACTGCCCCATCACAAATCAACAACAAGACGGTGATAACGATACCTCACCCATAGGAGTCAATGACAAGTATGCAATACTGTCGGAGCCTGGTATATAAGTAGATGAAGCTCTCTTTTGAAGAAGCAAAATTAAAACAATTGGCAAGGGACAATGCTGTATTTCATCAATTTCATATTGAGTCTTTTTTGATGATGACAAATATTCTCAGTCTCATCATTCTTCATCCATTTTGTAAGGCTAATCCCCTCACTGTGGGTTTCAATGTTGTGGCCTTTACTAAGTGGGAATGAAAATATTTAAAAACAATTTATCTTGGAACTTAGAAGATGTAAAGCTTTGGATCTAAGTTCCATTTATCCCATTCAAACAATTTTGGTTGGTAAACTTCTTTTTAGCCATGCTGAACCCATAGGCAATTACTTTGGTGTACTTTGTTTATTTCCTTGCATGTTACAGAAACCTCTCCCAAACTCTCAGCTTATCTTGTCAATACAGCATTTTCAACCTTAGACCAATTCGTACACTCATTCACTTCCTCTATCAATAAAGCTAGCCTAAGTGAAAAGAGAAGTATCTCACCTTCAAGTAAATTTCATAGTAACCGTAATTCTCTTCTCCCTTGTTTTGCAAGGAATCAGATGATGAGATCTTATATGGGTGGTCGCTCTTCGTAGCCTATCGGTAATCTCATTGTGTAGAATTGCAGTATATCACCCATCAGAGAATCAGCTAGTAAAGCAAGACAAATTGCTGGGATTCACCTCATAATCTCCACCCACCAAGATAAATGGACAAGTTCATCAAAACCTGATTCCTTAACGAGCAAATTGCTTTTCAGTAAATCTCCCGATTATCTTGCAAATTTCGGTATTTCCCCAGATGTAATATTTCTTGATATTTTGGGAAAAATTCCAGAGTGGAAAGAAACAATTAGTACAAGTCTTTGTATTGAAAATGAGATTAACCGAATTGTGAATGCAAAATATCTAAAAAACTTTAAATGATCGTTACAGTATAAGGAAAATACATAGAGTTAATTGTCACAGAATTGACGCAACAGCTTTATAGCCTTTATAGCTGATTTTTCAAATAAAACAATTCTTTCACTAATTCCAACAGGAAATCAGGATGTCAGGTTGATTTGCAGTACATTCAATCAGACTCCAATCAAGCTAAGTACGGAAATTGAATTCATTAAAGACCAATTGAAATGAGTGATGTTAATACATGTAAGAGAATTCAAATGAATTTAATCTGTGTGCTCTTTTATCTCAATAGATAATGTGGAACAATGAAGTAAAACTTATTGGTAAAAGTACAATAGATGATATGGAGCATATTTGTTATGTTTTTAATCAAGGAAATGCCATTAGCATAAAGATGGTGATAAATGAAACAAAGCACATAAATTGATATTTTTCTGATTAATAGGGGTGAGGTGGAAGAGGAGGTGGAGAAGGGGGGGGGGGGTTTAGTGAAGAGGGGTAGGGAGAGATAAAACGCATGGGGCTGAAGTGATATTAACAGGCTATTTACAATAGATCATCATCACTAATAGGAATTAAAAGAAAAAGATTGGAGGAACTAATATATTGGCCCAGATATAAACCCCGACTTAATTCCAACCAATGCTTTATTATCTGACTATGGAATAAGAGCACGGATTATTCTTAATATTCCATAATCATTGTCTGTGTCAGCATGTCATAAATACTAATACAGCATGAATCAAGAAAAAGTTCATATTGTCCCGGGAATAATTTTAGTCAGGCTTACTTCCACAGACATCCGGAAACACTTGTCTTATGAACTTAATCGTTAGTGCAATTACACCAGGGAAAACAGGCCTTAACAATCAGCTTATACCTTTTTGATATGTTTATACCTTGCTTGATATATGAAAGACATTTTCAATAAATTGGTGTCTCAGTCTTGTTGATTTAGCTTATTATTTCCATCACTTTGTTTGAGCATTAATGAACTTAGGCCCCGGGAATTAGGCGAGCACTTATATGAAGGAGGTATTCACGGCAGTTGAAGTCGTTGAGTGCTTCATATCTAATTTAAACATCCTGAAGAAATCAACAAAGGATTACCACCCCAAAGGGATGGATAATCATATCATAATTGTTCAGACAATATTATACCATCAAGAATACTAAACGTGAAAGCTCTTGGGACTTGTGCAATTTACTAAATGGCAGGCCGTCAAGCATGCTGACCTATCGTCTCCCAGCTGGCCATAGAATATGTCAACACAACTATAAATCATAACTAGGACGATGTAATGACAGCTAATATAGTAAAAACAATGTTTCGAGTAGAAACAACATTATAATATCACATTGTACTCAAAACTAATAAACAAATAGTATTCCTTTAAGCTCCTTAGCAGATATTTGGAAGGCGGGACTTGATGCTGTACATGTAACTTCAAGGCTGTAAAAATGATCAGAAATGGCTTTATATACACAATCATTGATCAAAATTGTGTTTTTTGTATGGCCCTTGTATGCATACAGTATCCTGTAGCAAATGTATTTTTGGTTCCTTGAATTACTATTCACTTTTTGTTAAACCTTGAAACGATTCAGAAGGTTCTTGAACATTGAACCTGGGTCTTTTGATCATAATATAAGTGCATTTATTACTATTAGTTGTGTTACTTCTGGGCATTTTCATATATTAATTGGATTCACTACCAAAGAGAGGTATATCCAAAGATCCAAGGGCAAGCATTAAAATTGTAGATGGAGCTCCTCTCAAGAGAATTGAAGTTATATTCTGTACAAAGGAAAAGAATCCCAGGATGAGAGAGCAATGCACGGAGCCTTAGAAAAAAGCAATCATCAGCACCTGGGTTCTATCTAAATATCAATATTATGCAACACATTAATCTCTGACACAACTAGCTTTAATTTGAGATCATCTCGTTTACTGTAGATGCATCATTTAACAGAACTCACTCCAGTAAAAGGCCACTGACACGAGAAACAAATACATCATACTTTCACAGAATTATTTCATAATCAATCATTTCTTCACAAATGTTAACCAGGCATTATATTCAGAAAATTACCATCCAAAAACAAACATAATGTTATGTCTGGTTATATTTCCTTTTTACAACAGCATACCTGAAGCTAGGGGGGCTTTCTGGGCTGGTATGTACCTAATATATTTCATGCACATCTTTTGTGCATATATTTTTTTAGAATTTATGGGTTAAAATTGCATACATTTGATCAAAATTAACATTAAGATTTTAATAATTTCAAAATTAACATTAATATCTCCAAAATTAATATTATCAAAATTTTTCGTAATTTAGAATCCCGCAGCAAAATGAGAGCCCACCTGAAACAATGAAAGCATCTTCCTAATAAAAGCTTAACTTGGGCCTGAACCATAACAATGACATTATGACAAATGGAATTTTGCACCAGGTGAACTAAGACATACTTATGGGTCAGGCTGACTCACCCATTGCAACACAAACTGAAACAAAGAAAAAAAAATTATACCTGCATATAAGAGTACCTACAAGCATTTTTATTGTAATTCGTAGGTTTACCAATGATAGCACAGTATAATATATTGACCAAAGTTCCTCTTTCTCTTGTGGAAGATCCTATCAGTAGTACATGCTGTGGAGCTCGCAATGATAAAGTACTATTATCTTGGAAAACTGTTGTTGGTGGTTCAAGGTGAATGGAGATAACTGACACGGTTATTCGCCTCAACTTGGGAGAGATTTATAAGCCAGCTTGATAATTTCCTTGTGTCAAATTAAACCAAGATAAGATATGACAGATTTCCCCTTTGGTAGATGGTAATTTGCATAATCTTTGAGCAATTTGGCTAAAAACGGGGGCACATTGGAAACTCTGCGTGACTGCAAATAGTAAAGGAAATGCCAAGTAGTTCAAGGTAGAATGCTTGAGATTTTTGAATAATTTATTGGTCCAATTAATTGTAAAGAAAATACCTTGCCGTTTCCTCCCCCCTGAGTGATTCAAGGTGAACCTGAAGTTATTCAAGGAGAGATAATTGATGAGGTTACTGAACAAGTCCCGCTTGAGTACAAAATGACGGATCTGGTGACTTGATTCATTCAATTATCAGGATGACAGATTTTTCCCACAAGACAATGAAATGCATTGGCAGTACATGAACAATTAACTTTTAGAAATTGTTTTGTTCATTCCGTCTGAAAAATCAATATATCGTCAAAGTATGACCGCTTGTTTGTTGTTTGTTTTTGTAAGTAATAATAGATTTTTGTGTATGTATCATATTTCAATGTTTGTAAACACAATTGTGGTTAACAGGATGTCTTTATAAAGCTACAATACTTCATTACAGGTCGTATTCACCCTTTTCTTATAATTAGCTTGAGTATGAATATGAGCAGCTTCAGGCAGTTAGCAGTAATTTGGTTCACCGCATCGTTACACCCATATCAAGTGAGAAAACAGAGATATAAGTCACTGGTACCACACTCTTCAAACTAGTTGTTACCGAACACCAGTGCTTTCTATTGTATACTCATAATTGATATTGTATACTGATTGCGCTTGACACTGCACATTAATTGTGCTTGTTATTGTAAACTGAATGTGTTTGATATTATGTACCCAATATGTTTGATATTGTATACTGATTAGTTTGATATTGTGTACTCATTATATTTGATATTGTATACGATTAGTTTGATATTGTGTATTATCCTACACTTAGTGTACTAAATGTATAATAACATGAAAAAATAAATTTGATATTTATTGGCAAAATGAATATCCGGAGGATATCGTAACGATATACTCCGGGCGGAGGATATCGTGACGATATACTCCGGAAAACCCAATATGCGGAGGATATTGTGACGATATACTCCGCTTGTTGATTTCCCGCCAAATTGACTCTATTTGGAATGGAATTAATTTTACAATGATATTATACATTCAGTACACTCCTTGTAAGTGTAGGATAATAAGAACATCCTATGATTTTTTCAGAATATCATTTTAATCTACTCGGTGATATTGATATATGCACTCGTTCGCTTTGCTCTCTCGTGCAGATATCAATATCACCTCGTAGATAAAAATGATATTCCTCAAAATCATAGGATATCCTATAAATCATTATGTTTGAAATTAATTACTGATTAGTTTGATATTGTGTAATCATTATGTTTGATATTAATTACTGATTAGTTTGATAGTGTATATTAATTTTGCTTGATATTACATCGATTGGACTTGATATTGTGTACTGATTTTACAAGGTATTGTACACTAAATGTGCTTAATAGCATAAAAAATCTGTATGATATTGTGTGCAAATTTTCTTTGCCATTGTGCAGTGATTATACTGAATAATGTATAATGATTATGATTGATATTGTGCACTGATTATGTTTGATATTGTATTGATTGTCTTTGTATTGTAAACTGATTGTGCTTGATATTGTACACTGATTGTACTTTTTCTTTTTTTTATACATGAATTTAGTCCATAAGTTAATAAAACAATTGATTGCCAAAGTTTTATAAAAAACATTAACAGCAATTTTGTACTACGGATATTATGTACTGACTGCATATTACTGTTTACGTCTTGTGTGTTCTTTTCATCAAATGATAAACATTCTGGATGCCATTCTGTTGTTTACAAAAAACATCTCTCAGCCACGCAGAACTTTCATTGGTCTAATATCTCACAATAAGTGTGACAGTCCTACTTAGAAGAGTCTACAGTATGGATAAAACCATCGTAAATATTGCAAATGAACTCATTTAAAAAACATTGCTGCTGTTTCTTGTGACCCGGGATCTATGAAATGTTGCTTGTTGACTTTTGATGAGATTATATAGTGTGTATGTATATTTAGGGAAGCATATCATTGGATCGTATAAATAAGCAAAATATCTACAAAAATGTGTCATTTGACGGCTTTATTTTTGAGATACTTACTTTTACTAAGATTGCATGAATTCAATTCAAAAATATGTTTCGCTTGTGACTGGTGTGTACCATGGGCTTTCGATTAAAAGTTGAAAGCCCATGTGTGTACTTACGGTAGATGCTGTTATTTTGTGCTGGGTTCCTTGACAATTACCCAAATGCGAGTAAGTAGTTACCATTTTCACCACCAGGTGGCTGATTCAGGTCAATTAACATGGCAGGTATATAAGAAAGTTCCCTTAAACTTGAATATTTTCAATTTAAGTGGCTCAATTTTCATATAACCCTTATGTGTCTGATACTTATACTAATGAAAATATGTCCAGTAAAGCAAAATATTATCTGTCCACTAAAAGAAAAGATATTTCATTTTTTGTGATTTTATAGCATGGGGTCTATGGGGAATCTCCCCGAGCTAGAAGTCACATTTTCAAAGAAAATTAATTTTTCAAAGTTGATGAACACTTTTTCTAGATGTAATTTTACATGTAGATTTCAAATATGATATTACTTTGACTGAATTTTGAATTTTGAATGACGTAAATCAAGATTATTTCTACTCGCATCTGGGTTATTGTTGTCATTTCGCTTTGGCACCTGTGTGTTTATATCTATTAATGTGTTAATTAACACAAAGATCTATGTCAGATCCTATTATTGCTATATTCATGAAATAAGCTCTTTTCTCCTAATTTAACATCAAACTTCTTATGTAATATTTCACATTGTTCTCTAATAATGCGATTCTATGACTATTTACTGTGGTACTAGTAAATCACACACAAGGGAGAGCAGATCATGAGAAACTAAATGGGTTCAATGACTGTTTAATTTAAATACAAATTTGATTAATTGCATCCCATACAATACTATGCTATTGCATGATAAGCAATCCATAGGGACCCAAAAATTGATTCTATGGAGTTGGGTAATTTGTTCTCAGATAATGACCTGATGGGTAATCATACATTGCATGCAAAACAAGGCATTAACATGCAAAATGTCACCATCTTCAATTTGCAACAGACGTCAACTGCCAAACACCATCCATAAAAAGTGATGTAGCAAACTGTTATGTAATAGAGCACTGGGATGTGTATATAGAAGCTTGGCAGACAAGTGACATCTTGGAGAGTGTCCAACAATTACCCACATGGAGGACATTGCCTCCCTGTCCTCTAATAGAAAATATTCATATAGATCTTCAAATTGGTGGTGCATCAAAAGTGAGACTTTATATTTATCAATATTTTTCAACAGATATGCTCTTTATGAAGTGGAGATGGGGACATAGAAAATACAACTAGAAAAACAGCAACTTCGCAGGTAAAAAATCCCACTGAACAAAACAAAATCAAATTAATCATTAGTTTGAACGCCACATTGTCGATCGAGTGCTCTAGTTCAAGATTACTTTTGAGTGTCACATGAAGGTATATTCTTTTTATTGAAGAAAATCTTAATTCTTAATGAGAGAATAAATATCTCCTTATTCAAAGACATATATCATATTTCTTATTTATTTTGCACTTCAGGTTGGTTACAATACAAATGCATCTAAGCTGCCAATCAGCTAAATCTTACAAAATTGATACAATACACGAGCATGCAAAATGTCACTACCTTCCATTTGTTACAGACACCAAATGACAAACACCAACCACCAAACACAGTCAATAAAAATGGAGACTTTAAGAATATGTCACCACTTGTGGTGTTGACAAAATAAAAAAAATAAAACAGATTTTGAATAATAAGATACTTTATAAGAATGTTTGTACTTAAAGAGATGTTCCGGACAAACAATTTTTCAGCTATTTTCAGAAGATGAATTTACAGTTCTTTGTATGAGTAATTATAATCAAGCACTCTCTTCATATAATACTATAAATGATATATAATTTTCTTGGCATATATCTAGAAAAGCTTGCCAATCAAACTATCAGGTAATAAGCCAATCAACAATCAATCAAGCAATCAACTAAACAATATGCTCATCAATGAACAAGGTATTGAGCTCAATTGTAATTAGGATTGATTTGTATTTTGATATAAATACAATCAAATGAAGGTAGAAGTTGTAAGCGGTAAGTCTAAGATATTGCTTCTAGGTTATTTGAGTAAATCAAATTTTCCTTATCGTGAAATCCTCAATTTGCGATCGTGATTTTGCTGGGATCATATCCAGATTATAGAGCTAGAGATGATCATGTAACAAGTAGGTCAATAGACTTTTACCCAATTTATCCCCAGCTACAGTAAAACTTGTCTAAGTGGAACACCTTTGGTACCTCAGCTACAGTAAAACTTGTCTAAGTGGAACACCTTTGGTACCTCAGCTACAGTAAAACTTGTCTAAGTGGAACACCTTTGGTACCTCAGCTACAGTAAAACTTGTCTAAGTGGAACACCTTTGGTACCTCAGCTACAGTAAAACCTGTCTAAGTGGAACACCTTTGGTACCTCAGCTACAGTAAAACCTGTCTAAGTAGAACACCTTTGGTACCTCAGCTACAGTAAAACCTGTCTAAGTGGAACACCTTTGGTACCTCAGCTACAGTAAAACCTGTCTAAGTGGAACACCTTTGGTACCTCAGCTACAGTAAAACTTGTCTAAGTGGAACACCTTTGGTACCTCAGCTACAGTAAAACCTGTCTAAGTGGAACACCTTTGGTACCTCAGCTACAGTAAAACCTGTCTAAGTAGAACACCTTTGGTACCTCAGCTACAGTAAAACCTGTCTAAGTGGAACACCTTTGGTTCCTCAGCTACAGTAAAACCTGTCTAAGTGGAATACCTGTTCCACTTGGGAGGTGTTCCCCTTATTGAGGTTAATTTAATATGAAGTCAGTTGTTCCACTAACAGAGGTGTTCCACTTTTAAAGGTGTTCCTCTTTACAGGTATTACTGTATTTGCCTATGAATGCATATAATTCAATACCAACAGTTCTAATTTGGCAGTAATACTTTAGATAACCAAATAATATTAAACTAAATAATTTAAAAAATACATAAATTCCTGTCTACAAGCGGAGTTTATACTTTATAGGACAAAAATAATTGAAATGATACAATATCCTCAACTTACCTTTCATTTTAGTCAAATAAAGCATCACTTCAGAGAGATCTCAAAATAAATAGATGGACGGATAGACAGAGAGATAGATGGACAGACAGAGAGATAGATGGACGGACAGAGAGATAGATGGACGGACAGACGGACAGACAGACAGAAGGACCCATCTATGGGTGGACGCTTCACCATATTTCTATCAAACTTCATTCATTGTGATGATAAGGCTAGATTAGATAAGGATCAGACTCATTTCTTAATGAAAGAGTTAAGATAAAGATGTGAAATTAAACCTTTTGAAGGAGGATATGAAATATAATCTAGGGAGATAAACATCTTATTACACAGATGTTATTAAGGTCACTGAGACTTGGATAGGTCTGAGGGACTTTCACAAGATACCTGAGAATTTTCAAATAACGGAAATATGCTCTTAAACTATTTCCTTGAAGATGCTAAATGGAGTCAATTGTTTCCCTTGGGTTATATTGTCATTTGTTCTTCTCATTTAACAGGCTTAAGTAATAGCTCCTGTCAATACTTTGTATTAAATAACCTTGAAACGTGTTTTGAATTACAAATCTAATATCTTAAAGATAATAATGATGAGTCCTTGGAATTCAGGAAGATATGAAATATATATTTCATATTTGGTAGTCTGGACACAAGTCTTCACTTTATTAAATTGTGTTCCTTTAATTACACAGGTACCATTAGTTAGGTACCTGGTGGATATCTAGGTTGAATTAGAATATTGCAGACATTGAAGTTCCCTTAAAGGCCCCGTGTAAAGTTTAAACCACTTTGGATTATATTGTTGCCTTGCGGTGGATGAAACTTTTTTCAATTTCAAATGGTCATCAATCTGGCATTAAGTAAAACTCAATGTATAGCGCTCAATTTAAAAGTTCAACAACTTTTTTTTGAAATTCAACTTTTCAAAAAATATCTGAAATAGTTTATTATGTCATGACAAACTATATTTGATTGATGAAATAATATTTTCAAAACTTGCTTTTTTATCTGTGCTTGGTGCGAGACTATCTCTTTATAGATAGCTCTCTTTATCAGCATATTGGCCTAGAATATATTCTATTCATGAGAACAATATATGTCGACATACATATCAACGTTTAGTAGGTTAGCTGCGATAATTATACCGTGATATATAATACACATTGTGAGTTATGGTTAGCTGGCATGTAAAAAATCATTTTACAAGAAAATAATTACCAGTATAGTAAAAGTTATTGTTGTGTTCGCTTTTCAAGGAAGCTATAAAATACTTTTAAAAGTACCATCCGCCTTTTCTAGGTCGACATTGAGGCCAAATTAATCACTTTATATAAGTAAGTTTTAAAAGTGACAATCACACTTATCATTGTTATTTATTGTTATCAGCTGAGTGCTTCATCCGTTACTAGGTGATTAATCAAATCGATGGAATTACCCAGTTTCAAATCAAACTATTACAAAAGGGATATCAATTTCTATAAAAAAAATAAAGCCATTTGCAAGAGGGATTAAATTCAGCCTACACCAAACCCCTTAACTGCGAGCCAATCATAGCCAATCATCACTCAGCCATTATTTCAATATACATTGTTGTACACTTAAAGTAAAGAGGATTGGCTCCAAGGGTCTCAACTAGAAATTCGACCTTGACCTTGATCGTTGACATTGAAAATGCTTTTATTTTCTGATATTATAACCAACTATAAATTCAAAATCAGCGATCCAGAAGATTTGAACTTATAATATCCTGATCACTTCTTGTGTGTTTTGAACTTTTTTGCTTGGAAATTTGGACCAAAACTTTCAATTCAAATTTTGAAGTGAAAAATGACAGATGTTTTGATTTTGATTTTTGTAATCACGACATGACTACTTGAAAATAAGGTTAAGGTCATAACACCATATATGACAAGAATATCGATGTTGCATTCTGGGAGCCAACCCTCCTTGCACTTAAAGTAAACATATTAGCATGAATCTGTAATGCTCTCTGATTTGTTAAATCCCATACTGTAAAATGACAGCTCTCATAGGGTAATATACTTTACTAATATGAGACCAGGGTAAGTATAATCTAGTAGATGGATCTGGTGGATATTGGAACACCCAGTATATGTATGCTGGTTGAAAAATATATCTTACATAATGCAGTCATGAGATCCAACCAGGAATACCGGTTTATTGAAAATGATTTGTCCAAAACATCCTATATCACGGGTGTTAAAACACGAATATACCATGAGCGCATGCTTTGAGGATCCGCGTTGTTTGAACCTACTGCCGAGCACACTTATACATTAAGACCCGTTACACAGTCATGATACCGCCGAGCAAGCTCATTGCATCATCAGGTCTGCTTTACCCCCGTGTATTTTGTCTACATCATTTTTTGAAAGATCCTGAATCTGTTGAGGATATGGACAAGGGGATATTTACATGAACAATCAATCAACATGTGAATTGCATTTATAAGGAATAAAGACTGAGATTTTATGATTTATGGAGTAATATATGACCGAAAATTTAATTCTGTTCATTCTTAAAAGACCGAAAAATATATACTGTAGACCAATAAATCAATTGTTCTAGCTAGTGTGACATCACATATCATATTAGAATATTTTATATTACAAGAGTTATACGCGTGAATGAATTAGTACATAAAGTTTAAACATTACAGAAAATCCAAGTGAAGGGAAAATTTAATTGTTGGCTATATTCGTCATTGCTGACAACATTCTTGCAATTGCCGTTATCAGGGTACTTTTCCAGTGAATAAGGTAATATAAGGTTATAGAGGCTTATTTATGAATATCTACTTGAATGCTATGTTTTATCTCATCATGTGTGATAAATATTCTAAGGGGCCTCTTAAGAAGGGCACCTTGTTACTTTCCTTTGATACATTTCTTCAATGAGAAGTTCCTGGATTATTTCATGTTCTTTGGCAGACTTATACTATTCCCCTTTCATTTTATCTGAGCCCTTATTCCCCTTAATGGTAAAAACTCTTAATCGTATTTCAAAGAAAATCTCGTGCTTACTCGACAAATACTATCCCATCATTCATGAGAGTAATCAACGTTATTTTCAATGTCAACGATCTCTCTGGAACCTCAGTGTGGAAAACAAGACTCATGATAAATGTATATCAGTCCAAATGAAAAACATATCTTTTGTGCAATTCTTATCTCCTTGATATTAGCATGGTTGAAATGATTACTCATTTAATTGATTTTTCGATGTCTGATAATGCAGTAACGTAATGAATTTTCGTTAGTAACAAATAGTATTGGGATGAAACCAAGGTTGCGCTGCGATTTATCAGTCACCAATTTAGATCACATTGTCAATGTCACTCACAATTTACCTGTAACTGATTTGTTATGTATGATACTCTGTCTCAAAATCCCAATGGGATTAGCAGACATGACAATTTGCAAGTGAAATGTCATGTTAATCTGTCATCTGATATGGCATAAATCAGAATTACAAATTAACAAAGTCTATAAGTTATTAATAATCACTGTACAATATGTAGTTAATAGTTTCAGCTATTATTTCATTTGACAGAATGTTAAACATGTGGTGTTTTGTCTCCTTTGTTAGCTTTCAAATATTATTAATGGCCTGTTATTACATATGTGTGATCATGTAACATTATTAATGGCTTTATATCACATGCAGATACCTGCAACTTGGTGCTGCACCCGGATCTGACTCAATTTCAACATAATCCTTCAATTTGTAAGGTTACTTCTCAAAAAAAACGTTTAAAAAATCATTCCTGCATCTTAAATCTTGAATATATCTTGAAATGATATCTTAATTTACTTTCAGAAATTAAAGAAACTGCAGTGAATGTGTATAACTGAAAACGTCTTTAATCTGAACACCTTTCAATATGAACACTTTTTCAGTCCTTATTTGGTAATCTCCCATAGACTCACATACTGAGAGAAACCTTAAAATGTGAATACTTGCCAATGTAGAACAGAGGTATTCAGATTAGTCTGGTTTTACTGTATGAATTGAGACATAAAAAGGAACACAAGTGTTCATGAACTCATTGCTGGCCAAAGCTATTTTGGAAATTTTCTGCTGGTAACTGGCCATTTTGATGAAAAATGATTATGACTTCATAGGCAAAATATCTCGGGGGTTGGTCAGCAATGAGTTAAGAGGATATTCCAAGATTTACCTTTCAAGGTAGAGTATGGCAAAGACATGTCATTAGTCATTACTTGCAAATGACATCAATCGCCATGTGCCATCAATCAACATGTGACACCAATCAACATGTGCCATCAATCGTCATCTACACATGATATCAATCACCATATGCATATTAATAGGTAGGTCTATAACAGTATACATACATGTATATCACATATCAAATATTGTATTATGATTATAGATTGTAAGATGATATATGTAAAATAAATGTTCCAGGAACATATACTGACACACACAACCTTCAAAAGCACATTGCCGCAAGAAGATCATATTGCGGTATTCACAGCTTTTCTATATCTGTTGAAGAGAGAGACGCTCGAAATAATTAAAGTGGGAATATCGATTGCCGAGTCGTATCCAATGATCCTGGGCCTATCGTAAAATGAAAGCTTTGAATATGTTGTTGCCTTTAAAAATGTATCTTTTTTCCATGTATGCAACTAGAATTTGTGCACATACCTTATAACGATCGATAATGGCAAAGGAAAATCCTCTAATTCTTCGTCATAATTTCTCCTTCGACGTCCGCCATTTTTTATTAAACCGGAAGTTTCTCTCTGACATCCGCGCAATGTTTTTTCACTTTTATTTCAGATTTCGCTTCGGATTCAACATTTAATGCTTTCTAATATTAATTTAGTGTTTTCTATCAGAAAGATTTCATAAAAAGACTCACACTATCAGAGATTTTATCGATTCGAGCAGCCAGAAAAATTAGTTTCGATTTCACCCGCTAGGTGTTTCGACGTCGACTTGGAAAGAATTTGAAAAATCTATGAGTGGGACTCCTTGTATGGAATTGTAGATTCTAAACGATTTGCCAGTTCTACTGGTTGATGAATATTGCCATATGCATACATTTTTATAAAATAGGAATAAGGAAGAAGATGTTGGACCAAACTTCACCCCGATAGCTCAGAAAAGGTAAAATTTCTCCATTTTTCTCTCCACAGACCTTAGAGCCGCTTTAAACAAGACTGACTATGGCAATTTAGAATAGCACTTGTTACATGCTACTAGCAACTTATCTTCAACATTATTACATCATAATAATGGTTACAGGCCTGAGCCAGGATTTGCCAAAGGGGGGTTCAGTTTTCAAAAATTTCCAGGGGGGGTTCACATTTGACAATTTTGACCCAAATATGGCTAAAATCACTTGAGAAGTGCTCAAAATGGTGAAAACTGCATGATTTTGAATTTTTGGCCAGGGGGGGGGGTTCGCCCGAACCCTGCAAACCTGCAACCCCCTCCCCTTACTACGGGCCTGGGTTACCTTACTTTTCTGGTATCGTAAGATTGAAAAATAAATAACAATAACAAAATGCAAATGTATTCATAGGTATGTTTACACATTGTAATTATTGTTTATGGTATCAGCAGATCATATAATCCTTACAGAAAATTTCAGTTCTTTCTCGATAGATTATCTTACTGATTCTGATAGAGATGTTTTTAATTTGTTTGGGTTTCCAAGGCTCAAATGTGATCGAAATGTGACTTTTCTATTGAAATTTTGCTATATCACTTATGCATCATGCAGAACATAGCAACATTAAAATGCGGGGAAATTTTACTTCCTTATATGGTATTTTAACCAATCAGGAAACAACCTCGATAAAAGTAAACAATCTTGATAAACAAATGTTGCGAATATTAATAAAATAAATGTTTTTCACAATTTGTATATTTCACTCAATTAAAATGTAGACTCCAAAGTAATATCTTAGTTGCTAAATCTGGTCATTTTAATTAAACAAAGGTCATATGATATAAAATAGTATTTTTTAATCAAAAACTCTGATAATCTTAAAAATATTGAGGGAAAAATATGTAGCTATATATCACAAAGTGGTTCAATGGCAAAGCATGGACATACATATGTATGGAGATATACTAGTACCACAAACATCCAATTCTAGGATAATTAATAATCAGAGAAAAACTTTGTGGCAAAATGACATGAAAATTGCAATTTGATGTACATGTATTAGTATTCCTGGTAATACAAACTGTAAGAATAATGCAAAGCCTGAACCAACACTTCGACTATGGGATATTGTAGTAGATAAAATACCTGTATAAACAACAAGCATAAAACACAAAAAGTCGCTCAAAACATCAAAGTCTCGTAGATTATTAAATCTTTGAAATGATAGCTTTATGTGTGATTATAATATGAAAGACAGATGAATGATTGAAATTGAGAATGGAAATGATGAATATTTCCAGTGTGAATGAAATATGACGAATTTTTTCAATGTTTCAATGTCCATGAAAAATGATGAATACTTCCAGTGTGAATGGATAAACGATGAATGATTGCAATGTGAATGAAAAATGATGAATGATTGCAATGTGAATGAAAAATGATAAATGATTGCAATGTGAATGAAAATGATGAATGATTGCAATGTGAATGAAAAATGATTGCAATGTGAATGAAAAATGATGAATAATTGCAATGTGTATAATAATGATAAATGATTGCAATGTGAATGAAAAATGATGAATAATTGCAATATGAATAAAAATGATGAATGATTGCAATGTGAATGAAAAATAATAATGATTGTAATATGAGTGAAAAATGATGAATATTTACAATGTGAATGAAAAATGATGAATGATTGCAATGTGAATGAAAAATGATAAATAATTGCAATGTGAATAAAATGATGAATGATTGCAATATGAATGAAAAATGATAAATGATTGCAATGTGAATGGAAAATGATGAGTGATTGCAATGTGAATGAAAAACGAGGGATGATTCCAAAAGAAAAAATGATGGCTAACAAACAGTAATAATTGTAACGTAAATGACAGATGATGAGCAATAACAATATGAAAATCTGAAATTGAGGGAGTTACATGGGACTTGAGGTGGAATGAGACTAATCTACTTAATTACAGTCCATACACGTATAGTTCGGTGTGGGAGGCACGTGGATTGAAATATCACCCAAGCAATTAATTACTGGATGGATAATAACTGACATACTCAAACAAAAACTCTTCATTAAACGAGAGATAGGAATAGCCTTCATCATTTCATAATAGTCCCATGTTAATAAAGCCTGGGAATAGAAGTGTAACTTTGCTTTGAATTCCTTTATTCCGCTATCTTAATACTTTTAGAAAAACAAACAAAATGAACCGTGTTACTGAATTAACTACATTTACATGCAAAAGTTTGGGAAACAAAACTATATAGACAAGCATTGACACGTAAAATGGCCCTACCTGCCATTTGTTACAGACACCAACCACCAAATACCAAACACCAAATTATGAATGTCACCAAATGCCAAACACCGTCCACAAAAAAATTAGAGACCATAAGAATATGTCACCACTTGTGGTAGTGAAATAAAAACGGCAAGTCCAAGGAGTAGCAAATCTCAACAAAAAAATTATTCATTGATCTAAAATATGTCATGATATAATATTTACAACCTACTGTACTTAAAAACTTTGATTTGCACTCAACCAACTTTTAAAAAAAATGATGTTGAATATGTGATAAATAGTACATCAAACAAATAATAAATTAATTTTGTTTATATATTTGCTTCTGTCTCCAATATTGAGACCTGGTAGACTAATTAAATAAATAAATGAATCAGATAAATATATTGGTATAATACCATGTATGTACATATCTCTTGTCTCCCAATTAATAAAAATATATTTACTGGCTCATGTCAGTCTATATGGGTCACTCATGATATATGTTTTACATATACAGCAGTTATACAAATCCTTTGGTTATTGAAATACATATGCAGAAAAATAAACAATCAAATATTCAGATTTGTAACTTACAAATTCCAAAAATCATAAAAAAGCTAAATAACGCTAAAAGATTTAATTAGAAATCAGTAATAGGTTTTGCGATGAATATCAGAAGGAATAAAAAAGGTATTCTTCTGGGTTTTATATTTTAAAAAATGAATAAATTTAACTCACCGGCAGCCCAGCCCAGTATGGGGTCTCTCTTATTTTCATTGATGAACTGAGGGTCTGTAGGTAGAAGGATAGAGCGGTGATGACGATTCCGACACAAAGCTGCATCGTCACTAGCAACACCTTGATCTTGCAACATTTCATCTCAAAGTTCTCACGCTTGATGTCAAACTGACTCATCCTGCGTAAAGTGAGTGTCGGGCGCCGGCTCGACCTTGGCGTAAAGCTGTAAGTAAGATCATTACTTGATAATAAACTATGCCCAACACCATTATTATTCATAAGTTCGTTACTTGCTAACTGCAATTGTTGTTTGGTAAGTTGCCGTGTCAACGGTGATTGGTGTATGCTCTTAAGGTAATGTTTTGGGAACGCAAATGATGCTCCATTAGCGTGAACACCAGCGTGGATTATCTCAGGCGCTGAGTTCGCTCGTGGACGCCAATTCATGATATCCACGTCACTATCTGAATCTCTTCGCCAAATCATTTCTATATTTATGCATGTAAAAGATGGAATTATCTTGTTATTTAGTCAAAGTGTTTTCTATAAAACAATTGTTATTTTAATTCTTTTGTATTAAGTTAGTTTCCAGTTTCCAGTTCCTGCTCATTTCCACAATAATCCTAAAATAAATTGTAGATAATTTACTTCTAAGTAATAATATCTCTAATTGACGTGGTTTGATCCCACAAGAATCAAGAATTACGTCGCTTAGTTCTGCTATTTCTTTGTGATGTTATTCCATTTTCACACGTAAGGTGTAAATATTGTCCAACACTCCATCCTTAGAAATGTCAATTTACTTAACGTTATCTGTCGCAACATGTTTATATCATGCGATAATTCCGGAGAAGAGTGAGTTAATACTCCAGTTAAAGCCTTAAGTCCTATCATTGATGCAGATACTCCTCTTGTCCAAGGCTAATGAGGTAGACATCAAGTAATTGATCATGCAACGTTGTAATTTCACTTTAAGATTGTTTCACACTTTCAATGTTATTGACGCACAACCAAAATGAGACTTCTCGCAACAGAGCTTGATGATTCAAATAGATAATATTGATGCAAGCGATTGTTTTATATCACTGCTAAACATTACTGCATTGTAACTTTCCAGTTCTAGCTATTCAGTCTGTGGTTATAAAATCACACTCACTATCGAGCCAAATCAGTAAATAGAATTATGTATCTACTATCTTAGCGCTATTAGAGACATTCATTCCTGTAACTTATTTATCGAGACCTGGCAATAGGGCAATCTGTAGCATGGATTGATCTTACAATCGGTGCCAAATCTAGATATATTTCAAATAGTCAATAACATCTGTGAATAATGATGTATCGTCCAAACGTGACCAAGTCCAAGTTCAAAAGAAAAATCACATGTTTTGTGTTACTTATAATTGATTGCTTTAAATGATCAGTTACTGATTTAAATGCTACGAACTTATCTATTGTTTATAGTTTAATCCATGCTAGGTTAACTGTTCATTTTGTTGTTCACGGTGTTAATAACTAGGAATTCTCTAAGCTCTAATAGTGGCTGGCTCCAGGGTCTGGCGTTCTATTGATTCCTAAGTCGAAGGTTTACTTATGAATTACAGCTGCTATTTCACTAGTAAGTGCCCATTGTCTTTAATATATTCTATCTCTTAACCGATTGTTTATAACCTTCACAGCTTTGTGAATGAATCAGTTTTCTCCCAGATTAAGCCAGATTTACAGGACTTTACCAGTAAAGAGGAATAAGTTAAAAATCGATGTCAATGATTCACAAATATTAACGATTTCATTTATATGATATTAATATATCCACATAGAATTCCTGAGCATTTAAATGCTATTATTCCCAACTGTGTATTTTCCAAGAATCCCTTTCAGAAATTAATACACCAACCAAGTCAGGATCTTCCTGAGAAAAAATTCCTCTTTTCTTGTATCTATTCACTTCAGCCTGGAACTATTCAACAATTCATCAATTCCTTACTGTTAGTAATATCGCCAATTTAACATTTTTCTAATTTTTCTGATTTTTTTTATCAAACTAGAAAACTGCCTTGTTATCTAGGGATATATACCAGCTGCTTTGGTTTGCTACCTGTGTTTACAATGTAAAGCCAATGATTTGCAATCCTACATAGCTTCATATTATTGTGATATTTCTAACTTCTGTAGCTAGGTGTGCTCACTTTGTAATTTTTCTCACTACTAACAGTTGGTGAAATGAATAATGAAGTTACAGAATGTGTTTAAATCATACTGAATTTTCTATAGTATTTACATGTAGAGACAAATTCTTACTTCTGAGTCATATTACTTAAATACTTGATCTATAAGTAATTTTACTTATACTTATTACTTATAAATACTTATATAGAGAGGAACTGTGTCTTTAACTAAATAAATAACTGTTAGATAAGATTACAGCCTTCCATTACTATTGTTGTCCCAAGGGATGGGAATGGGGAAATGTGTATAAAGATTATTACTCTAGAGGGTTTAATTCTTAGGAATTTGCATGATGATAAAGTGAGTGGGGGGTGGGAATGTGTTTAAAAATGACTGTCCCAATGGGCTCGATTCTTGTAAATTTGCACGTTGGCAAAATAGTGGGTGAGACATGTGTATAAAGGTTACTACTCTATGGGGTTTAATTTTTATGAATTTGCATGATGGTGAAGGAGTGGGCTTAGGGGAATGTGTATAAAAAAGACTGTACCAGAGGGTTCGATTCTTGGATTTCGCATGATGATAATAGCATTGGGTACTTAATAAAAATGTCATTTCCAGGATGAGTTATTTAAACGTGCTGAAAGATCTCGAGTGGGAGAAGTAGGCTTGTTATAATGAATTATTATTTAACGTTGTACTAATATCTCAATTAAAATAAGGAAAGTACATCTCTTAAAGTGATTTACATCCTGCCTTCATATTTTTATGACTTCCTTTCAGAATCGGTACAGTCTGACTTACAGGTAGAATCAGGGCACCCATATTTTAAGTCTAGCATAAAGCCTATACAAGTATTTACTTCCGGTTGAAACATGTGCAAACAATTTACATGCGTTACTACAAAAAAAGCATTATTCATGATTTTACACAAGTTCTGAATTTCTCAATATTTTGTTGGCTTCATTTGAATTACTTTTCAGAATTAGCAAAATGAACATTTTTTACAGCGTTTATTCTAGGAAAAGCTGATAACACAGAAATTATGTATACTTCATAAAAGTGTTTTTGGAAAAACAAAAGCTAAGGCCTGCCACCCTCCCCCTACTATCCTCCCTTCTGCACCTTCCATCCACCTCATTCTCTCTCCTAATAAAGAATGGAAATGTCAGAAGAGGGGTGCATAGATTTGAAGTGAGACTACTCTTGGTCTTACATGAAGAAAGAAAGCTCTTGTTCTCAACAGGAGACAATAGAAGTAATAGCTGCTAAAAGGCTGAGATTATCGACCATCTGCATCATCAACATTCAGAACAAGGACAAACACCATTATCCAAATCAAATAATACATGACAAAAACTGACACCAAATGGCATATATTAGATAAAGTCAAGTACCAAAAATGCCCTTAATAAAAAGTAACTACAAATCGGCAATACAGAGTAGCAAAGCCTAATTTCCTGGAGGACGAATCAGGAAAACAATACCATAATTGTGATTTACTCTAAAATTGTGTTTAAGATGTCATATTTGTATGTCTTTTAAAAGAAATTTTGGACATGTTGATGAAATCCTTGAGACGAGTGAAGGCACATTATGTTTCATGAAAAATTGGTTCATATACTCAATATGGAAGCTGTCAAATCGAAACTATACATATTGCAATTTTTCTTGAATTGAAATAATAAATGCCTACTTTATCAAGCTTTATGAACTAATCAAATATTCAACTGAACTGTCCTATGGCATGCATTTCTTACCCCTTTGTGTTACAAATTTGCTTGACCTGAGCAGCTATTTTAATAGCGGAACAAGAGTAATACAAGTGATAATTTCAAGAATGTAGAGATTCTGGATATATATTTCCAAAACATCCAAATGAGGCTCAAAAGGGGTACAAGTATTTTGATAATATACTGTTAGTGCATTAATTCCTTAGTACTATCAAGGGATGTCAGAGATACATGCGAAAAAGATTCATTAGTTGATTTTGTTGATTTTTGATATCATTAAATGATAAAAGCCAAATAAAAGAGACCTACAATCAAAAGATTTAGAATTTATCAAAGATTCATGAAATGTCAATGAGATCTGCATATGCACAAATGATCTTATCATTTATGTAAAATGATCTCGAATGCCAAGGCTCTAGGCTAGTAGATCCAAAATACAAGAGAGATCTAGGTTGATGTAAGAAAGATCTAGAATACAAGAGAGTTCTAGGGATAGGCTGATGTACAAGTATCTAGAATTCAATGGAGATCTAGGTTGATATAAAAATACTGAGAATGCACTGTAAAGAATGCTAGAGAGATCTGGGTTTATGTAAAGAAGATCTAGAAGGCAAATGAGTTGTAGGTTGATGCTAAGAAGATTCAAAATATAATGGAGACATAGGTTGATATAAAAATATCTCGAAAGCAAGAAATCCAGAATAAACTGAATAAGAAAGGAAAGTTTTTGCTAAAATTAAACCATGAAAAGATTTCATTCCCTCAAAGGATTTTATCAAATTAATTCCCGACTCAAAGTAGCTTTTAAAAAATAATTACTACATCAAAGAGTTAATCCCTTTGATCCTTCCCATGAACACACTGTCAGATAATACAACAATAAGCTTCATGCTATATAAAAAGTAAATGATGACCAAAGAAGTAAATTCAGTTTTATAGCTTTTCTACTTTTGTACTTTTATTTAACAAAAGGAAATAGATCTCAGGTGATATGAACAAAATCGTCGACTTACAGATAATACAAAACCATAATAAAGTAGCATTGATTAGGGATTGTGAGTCCATTTATCTCATCCACAATAATCTGTACAAATAGATTCATGATTTATAAGCACAATTCAAACTGTCCATTGTACAAATGATAATGACCGAAGTATAAAAAATAGCTGAGCCCCTGAGATAAATGACATGTAAATTATTTTTATCTCACCTTGAAGAAAAAATGCTGTGTTAATGTCTGATTTTATTTGTTATATCACTCAAGGTAATTTGGGACCCTGGGTATGTACCATCATAACATATGATTCCAAGAAAACCATCGTCTATTTTTTAAACAAATTGTAATGTTTTGTAGATATAGATAATTTTGTGATATACAATGTTATAAAATTTGTTATAAATAATCAGTTATATTAATGTCTTATTATCTATTTAGCTAATTAGTATAATCAATAATATCATAAATATCTCAGATTATGATCATCTGACAATACAAAATGGAATATTATTCAATTTCAGTTTGGCATATAATAACCATATATCTATAATCATCTCAAACAGTCTACTTAAGTCCATCTATTTCAATGAATAATCACGTAACTTGTCAAAGGGAATAAGAGTACAATTTCATTAACTTGCCATTCTTGTTGGACAAATAACAAATCGAAGACTAATAATAGCTGACATAGCATACAGTGACAAATGTGCTGTAGTTAACTGTTTGACAACATCGTTAATTGGAGCTGGATTAATGGACTAGCCATGATCGACATTGTTAGTTGATTGATGTATTTTGCTCTTATTTGATAGGTTAGAATGTATCTATAACACTGGTCATGATTTTCATGTATCCCTTACAACATAAAAAAGATCTTCTTACACCCTAAGTTAAAGATGAAAAATACTGATTCCAGTTTATGATATAACCTGACTTTACGTGGTATCATGTCTATTAATGAGTCAATGACAGTATGAGAGGGCAGAATTAATTAAAATATGAGTTTGAAATGAATTCACATGTTCAAACTGAGTGACTGTGCTACCTGTAAAGATCATTGATGTCACTGATCATCATGCATATATAAAGGATAATCAACTTAAGTTACTTATATCATGCCATGATGTCATGCTTATGTGTGGAATATGGCAATAACCTGCTTTTCAAAGGGCAACATATAAGATTTCACTATGTTGCCCGCTGAAATGAGGTTATGAGTATACCACCACCTACTGAAAACTAAGTACTTGGGATAATGACCACTTTGGCCCACCACTATGAACCGGCACTAAGGTTCCACCTATTGCTCAAGTCAATATAGTAAAACATAATCCTTCTAAACAAGTACTAATACATTGAGAACAGGCCTCGCAAGATAATGATAATAACCATTAACCAATTGACATATAACTATATCTATAATGGTTACTAAACTACATGTAATATAGGTATAAGTATCACAGGATAATGTTCAAAAACCTGATTTAATTTAATGTTCAAAAACCTGATTTAATTTAATGTTCAAGTACCTGATTTAATTTAATGTTCAACTACCTGATTTAATTTAATGTTCAAAAACCTGATTTTGAGACATTCACAAAGAACAAAGGGGAGAAAGGCAAAATCTAAAGTAAATGAAAATAGTACAAATTGGAATCAACAGAAATAAATTTTCTAAATTATATTGGAGAAAATGTAGATATTGAATCATTTAAATAATTATGACAAAATTGAATCAAAGATAACAAAGGCGCCAAGTTAAAAAAGGCACCCAAATAAAAACCATATGTCATCAAATTCTTACAGAAACAGTCTATTTTGAAATGATTTGGTTCTTTGCATCAACGTTACCTATGATGAAATGGTGCTTGAAGCAAAATTAGGTAAAAATAATGAAACTTAACTCCTCCGATATATTTAGTGATACACTATGTCTGGGTAAATAAAATCACGGGTCTTCATTAGAATTGCTCAATAAGATTGCATACTATCATCTCCATCCAGAATTGCCTGATGATATGAATGGCATTCAAAAACATTCCTTTTGCTGTAAAACAATCCTGAAACACCTCACATATTCATCAATAAGTTCACATAATATCAACAACATATCAATATCATTAATATAACTCTATTCTTCTGGACTTTAGTTGGAGGTAAACAATACTTTTATGTTTTCTTTCAAAATGGCAAACAGGTGTTATATTGACAATTCTTGATGAGGCTGGAATTTCAAAACCAAAGCACCACAGGAGGAGGTAGTTTCCATTGGAAGCGAAACAGTTCCTGAGTACCATTTGGAAAGAGGAGGTAATGGCCGTCACTGTTTCCTGATACTTATCAGTACTTTTGGCACATGGGCTTACAAATTCATCCAACTTCAAAACATTGAGGATACAGGTTTGATTAAATATTGAGCATTAGCTTGAATAATTGAGCAACCAAAAACTCATTAATGAAGATAAACCCATTGATTAGTCAAATGACACCATTGATATTCCACAGAGTAACAAATAAATAGTTCAATTATTATCTATCTACGCATATAAACAAATTATTTCAAAAATCAATTTAGCAAAAACCATTTCCGGGACATTTCCAAGAAGTTATGATTATTCTTACTGCGGATATACCACAATGTTAATAATGAAATAAGAAATTCTAATAAATCAGTGTTTATTGAATCATATTGTTGCACATTGAACATCAGATTTTAGATTGTTTGTTTGTTTGTTTGTTGATTACTGATGCTGAACAGGCACTCACATCAATCATATTTACCTGAAGCTTGTAATTCAATGTTTCTTAAGAGAGTGGAAACACTTGATGTTGCCTGTGCAAAAGTATAAAGGGTGCATGTCTCTACAATAAACATGTTGATGCTGTGTAATAATTGTAATGCATGATTGCGTTAAAACATTATGAATTGGAGATCAAGAGTTGCATTTACAAGTATAAAATAGTATTGTGAAGAGGTTGGTTTAAATGTTCAATTAAATCAGTATAAAAAATAAGATGATTTTTTTATCTGTGAGACTGGTATGTATTATTAGTTCTTCATTAGTTCTCCATCTAGTACAATACTTTATTTGCATTATCAAAAGTTGGACTACATGAGATCAATGTGGCCATGTATGATATTATACAAAACTTGTTTTATTAATTTTTAATTTCTATAAAGTTTGTATCTTTTATTTTTCATTTACATCTTGAACAGCCAACCTGAACATACATGTTATCACATCTAATTCATTTATGAGTATAAAACAAATGTCTAAATTGTTTACTTCTATGAGTAGACAACAGATACCTTGATATCATTGGCACTTTTGTTTTTACACCTATTATTCCATGGGTAATTCACACTAAAGCCAATGTCTGGTTTCTCAAGCTGCCAACCAGACTGCTTCAATGTAAACTTTCCTTTGCTTCTATCTGACTGAGGAGTTACATCATTTGCATGCCATGTATTGAACGAATCTGGGACACATGGAAACTCAAGGACAATAACCCAGGGTCTAGATGGCTTTTTGGCTGGGATTAATATCCGTCCATTAAACCCAGAGTTCCACTTGGCAGTATATGTTGCTTTAAGATCATCAAATCTGTCATTGTTGTCATTGTTTCCAGATGTACATGAATGGGTGTTACATGCTCTCTGGTTTTGGTTATTACCCTTACAGAATCGTCCACCATTTTGAGGAACAGGATTGTCACAATTACGTGTTCTGGTCTGTTGTCCTCCACATGGCTTTGAACAGTGAGTGTAACTAGACCAGCTGCCCCAACCACCATTGATCTGCTCAGTTGGTGGTACAGGCTGAGTTGGTGCTACAGGTACTCTGTTATCACCAGCAATGTTCACTGAAAAATATATAATAAAATTCATATAAATAACATATAGAACAATTTAGACAAAATATTATGGTTAATATTTCTATACCAAATAATTTTCAAATTTTGGGTCTTCCAAAAATGGAACAATTTCTGAGAAAGAAAGTTTATGATCCTGGGAAAGTCAAATTATGGGATTTGAAGTGTTCATGGAGCCAATATCTAAGTCAGATGAAATACATGTTTTTGTCACTAATAATATAGAATCTCCGCAAATATTAATCTTATAACAATGCATTGACAAAACAAAATGCCACCATCTTGTAAGTTCTTGCAAATGGAAAGAATTAGTTACAGATGCCAACAGCCAAACATTGAACACTGTCCACAAAAAAAGTTGGAAAATATAACAAATGAGAACAAATAACCTGCTTGTTAAAAACATATTGGAGAATATCAAAAATAATACAAACAAAGACCATACCTGGATCACTTGTACTTTGTTTTCTTTGCCTTAAAATGTGATCACGATCAGCTCTCGATGCAACTACATCAGCTTCCCAGCATCCAGTGTAAAGATCATTCTTCCCATTGAAGTACCAAGCCCATAGGAAGGTATATCTCCCTGGTTGAAAGTCACTAGGCAAGTTGAAAGCGTATGTACCAAGAGCTTTGTCTGGATTCTCACAAAACTTTGGTGCATTCTGGAAACCTGGTTTTGGATATGTCATGGTCATCTGATTACTTATATGATGCCCGAAAGGTGAGACTCCAAGATCAACCACCAAGTTTTGTTTAAATACTGATAATGAAGGATCATCATTTCCATTTCTTGGGCCAACGTAGATGAAATTGCCATTGTCGGGTATATACTTATTGGTGCATCTGACATCGACAACATGGTTTTTGGTAGGATGAGTGATGACAATTCTTTGTCCTGGGAAGTAGACTGCCATTGGGTGGAGACTATCATAGCTGGAGTCATCACGGGAAGTCCTACATGGTGCATGTGAAGGAGGATTATTGACATCGAAACCTGTGTCACTTCCATGTTGGCCATCTCGATGAGCAAACCTATGAGCATGTCTTGGCCATGCTCTGCAAATGTTTTTATTCCAGTATTCACCGTTCTCCTCCAGATAGTCAGTGCAAGTGAGCCAAGAATGACACATCACTGCAGACACATAGCTTATTAAAAGTACATATTTGAGCTTATCGTCACCCATCACCTATTTCAATGTTGAAATAAAGTGAATAAATGATGTTTTCTGTTCTTTTGGGTTTTCAAGTTCAAAGTAGTTTATCGGATGATTTTCGTTCTGTTATATACTCAAGAATTCCCTCATTTCCTCTCTGAGTCATTGGTTTACCTTAAACACTCCTTTCTCAATTGCTGCTTTTCTGAGAATGTTACTTCCTCTCCTCTTTTCAGTCAGCACAAAGATTATACATAGATTGTTTGAACTTGAATTTCAATTTCAATGAATTACTTTGTCATGTGTAATAAAATATTTTGCAGGCCTATTTTTAAAATATGCTTACCATTTACAGTTATTGGATTTCATATAATAGAAGGAAGTGAGATGACGTCATTCTTAGAAAAGCAACAACCAGAACACTTTTGATTCACATGCTTTAACACATAAAGCAAGTGCTATTCAGAAATGAAGTGAAGTAGTTCAAAGAACCAAACAAAAGAGTTGCATGTTCTCTCTTGTAACGAGAAAATGAATAATAAAAAACATATAGAGTCTATTACTTTTTATTTGAGTTTTGAAGTAGATGACGTATAACCTAAATCTTATTAAAATTCACACGCATCAAAATTAAAAGAATACAGAGCATTCAATAAACCTTGTAGACTATTGAGAAAAAACATGTAACTATAAATTTCTACTCGTTTTTATTGTATATTTTTGAGTAATAATTATAGTAAAAAAAAGTAAAACAAGAAAAAGTGTAAGTAGGTCATATCAAGTTGGTTGGTGGTCTGCACCCTATAAATGATCAAAGTCATAGTCCTTAAAAATACAATATGTACTTTTACTTTTTACTGTACTTTTACTTAATTTGGCGGCCGTTTTAATTTATCGGATCCACCATATTACCAAATTCACCGATAATTTTAGTATCATGTAAATGAGTACCATTAATATTTAATACATTGTCATATTGCAAGTCCACCAAGTAAATAGCCGCCAAATGTTCAAAACAGCAAATCCACCAAAATAAGTAGCGCAAAGTTAAGTAGATTTATAGTATTCAAATCAATTTGTCATATTGAGTAATCACATACATTGTACATAGTTCTCCTTTAAATTCAACTATTTCTAGTTTCCAGATATTGCACAGCATAAGGGAAAAAACGATTGTGACAGAATACAGCCTCAGTGAGGTGGTCATTAGGACAACCGATCTAACATAATGCAATTTTCTTCAAATAACTTCAATAAAATGAGTCATGAAATCCTGCTAGCTATGAGCTAAAACGTGATATTATACCATCTGAATCTCTAGAAGGAAACATAAAACAGCGTAATGTCCAATACATTTACCAGTAAATTGGAAGAAAATGGGGATGGACAGTGATAAAATTGAATTAAGGGATAATAAAAAAATGTACTTTACATTAGGTGGTCTGTGTGTTGTATTTTATCTGCTAAGCTGACATAAATATCTATTAAACATACAGGAACTGGTATACGGTCCCATTAAATCTATACTTTTAACATTGTATATAAGGAATTAACTTGACAAGCAGATTACCTTGGCTAGATTATCCCTTTAGGCTAGATGGAAAAATAAAGTGTTTAGAATATCTGCACTTGGCCAAAACCCTGCTATCCAAAACCTGCTGATTTAAAGTAACACACAAGGCATCAACATGCAATACCTGCCATTTATTACAGACATTGAATGCTGGAGGTTGAACACCAAACACCATCCACAAAAAAGTTGGAAGACAATAACAATATGTCGCCACTTCTGGTGGTAATATAATGATATGTATCTGTATGATATTAACAAGAATGGCCGACTTTGTCTCATATTCTTTAAATTACATCTAAACAACTGAACTTGGCAATTTATTTCAGACCAGACATTATCACAGGGATCGTTATGTGGCACTGTAGAGCTTTTTGATTGGAGGGATATCAAACTGCAAAATAATGGCTCCTAGTAAGAGGGCAGTACAGTGTACTAGCTGATATGAACAGGTTATAGTAAAACCTGTCTAAATAGAACACCTTTGGTATCTCTAAAAAGTGTTCCACTTGTCTTGGGACCTCTAAAAGGTGTCCCACTTGGGAGGGAGGTGTTCCACTTACAGAGGTTCATTTAACATTTAGTCAGTTGGTCTTGAGATTCTGAAAAGTGTTCTACTAACAGAGGTGTTCAACTTCTAGAGGTGTTCCACTTTACAGGTTTCACTGTATATGCAACCTCTCTATCAATTCAGCAAGTTAGCTTCTATTTACATTATTCATGATACTAAAGAAAGGTAAGTTACCTGAGATGCCGGATATATGAAGAGCCATTTATTTCATTGCGGTAGTTTCGACAAGCAGAAATAAATAAAAATAATTCTGAATCTCATAATAAGTACTTTCCCTAAAGGTTAATAGTAATTGAGATTGATTTGAAGATTCTATAATTTGTCATCTATAAACTAATTCTTATCAAGTCTTGCTCTTTACTTGGCACATAAAATGTTGTCAAAAGTGAATCCCCCTGGAATTTTTCAAAAAATGAACCCCCCTTGGCAAACCCTGGCTACGGGCCTGACATTATTCATACAGGCTAGGATATGACTTACTGCGAGAGGCTCATAATAGAATATAATCTTGTATAAGTCTAATAAGACTCCATCTCCCCCCTCCCCCCGCCAACATCTTTTCACTAAATAGACTAAAAAATGGTTGATTATTACCATAAGGCAATGGACTGAATGTAAATATGGTAAAAAATGTTGTAGCAATAATGTTTTCCATCTTTGCAAAGAACCCTGGTCTCTGGTATTCCCTTACCCCCTACCCCACCCACCCTTATCTATATCTATTTTATAACTTTGCACGGTAGCTTGATGAATTGTCAGCCAATCCAATCTCTGATTATAAATCTTACCTTGATCTCAGCAGATTACTGAGTGGAATGTTTGTTTTATTCTGTTTATGTCTCTGGAAATTAGCAATCTATTTTCTAGGTTCCAAGAATTTGATTATCATCATAATCATTTTAACATAGAAAGGGTCATCATGACAAATCTGAATCTCCAATATTTTATATACTTATTAGATTAAGACAACGAGAGGGCTAAGCTGACAGGTCACAGAAAGGGGAAAACAATCGATTTTCCATGACCTGGTCACTTTGATACCAATCGTATCTTCTGTGACTCCAAAGTTTTCCTGATTATTGCGTGACCATGACAACCCTGATGTAGGGTGTTTTATTTTCTTGTTAAGTTAATGATAGTGTCATCGAAATCGAAAATAAATTCCCTCGGAGTCAAATATCAATTAATTGGAGCCTTCACCTGATAGTTATGTTTGAAAAGGGATTACGTAATTGAACCTGTCCTGATCCGCTGCAGGAGTTATAGACCTGAAGTCCTCATTGGCATGACACAAAACTATTTCATTAGCGACGGGGCCATTGAAAAAATGAAGTATGGGAACAAGGTCTAAAGAGGATCAAGTTCAGTGCAAGAATCTTTGTATTGAAAGCAATTTCAGAAAATCTATGACTCTAATGTCTCGAATGTCCTTTTATATTTTCTCAAGTTCATCTTTTTCCCCCTTGGTAAACCCAATTTTACCTAGAGTGGGTCACTTGGAAATAAACAGCTGACCATTTATTTAATGGGTATCCTAATAAAAGTACAATATCTCAAAGATTTTCTCAACGTGCCAATAAACTAATCAGTTCTAGAATTTGATATAAAAAATCCCTGAAAATTTCAAATCAATCTGACATGTTGTTTGTCTGGAATTGCACAGAGAAGAAAAGTGAAACACTGCCTGTCACCCCACCCACCAAGCTGAAAACAACATTGTATTCTTTCTTAGGTAAAATAAAAAATGTCAATGAATACTTAGTGAATCAGTAATAATGAGAATGCACAAAGGGCGATACCTCAATATTAAAAAAAAACAATAGCTCCTATTAACAATATGAACCACATTAATGACACAGGGCCTCGAAATAGTAAACTGGAAATCCTTTCCTGCACTTGTGTATACGTGAAAATGTTGAGCCTTTTTGAAATTTGAGTTTATGTTTGTGTTCTCTTATTAAAAAAGTGGGCCCTAAATAATAATAACTATGGTGATCTGACTAAAAATGTCTTGAACTCGTCAACATGTTTTCATGATTTCTTGAATTCTCACTGACGTGTAAATGCATTTCAAATGGGTGCAAGTTATTTCTCAAATTATTAACTCGTGTTACTGCTTCTTGAAGATCAGTGATAAAGGAGAGATTGACATCATATATTATTACACAGAAGCTCATAATAGTTGAAATGACATAAGAAATAATCCGCAACTAGCAGAGGAAGTAATTACTGAAATCACCGCCCCTCGATACCCCAGGGACATGTAACAAAGCTATGCGATCAAATGAATTCTACTCTACTAAAGTGCCTATTAGAACAGTGTATCATTCGTTTTGCACTAGACTCTACACATAATAAATTTCATTTTGTGGCTGGGTGGGTGGTAAAAGGTGTTTCATTATCAAAAAGGTGAGGAAATCATTTTAGAGTACTCTCTCTATGAAAAATTATTGCAATCCTATGAAGTGTTTAATTACCAAAGATAGCTTGATAATGCAGTTGATGAAATATATTACAGTTTAGTACAATTTAGTTTGATTTGAGATGATCCCTCTCATACAGCAAGGTATTTATTAAGGAACATTTACGCAATAATTTAATTAACGCAGGTGGGAATGTTCCAGACAGACATCATTAGACTTCACTTCTTTGTGAAATGAATGAAATGCCCTTAATTAATTGGTTCAGAGAAGGCTCACTTGTATAACAAGGAATTTCAATAATAGCTATACTTAAAGGCAGAAAATGTACTGTCATGATCTTATTAATACCATGACCACATTTTCCAATTTGATAAAACCTATATTAAGAATACTAGCTTATCTTAAGAGGAAAGAATTCTCATCTGTCATACCATTAAAAATTTGTAGTTTGATTTTAAGTCAACTAGATTTTTATAATGACCTACTGAACTGTAAGATAAAATAGTTTTATGTACCA